AAATACAAACCCAAACCGAAAATCTCAACCAGTAGAGAGGATATGGCAGATGGAAAATAATATGAACTTCAAAACGATCTTGTCTTGGGCGTTTGCCAGAGTCACATGTCACATGTGTGTGAAATTGAATGGTGCCCTACTAGAAAGAAAGTCCCATGTGATGAGCTACACCCTGGACATTGCTGTACACGTCAGTCAATATACTATATGATAATATTATTAAATATCCTCACATTATTATATCTTCTTTTTTTTGCCTTTTTCCCTACGTTGCATGGCATTAACCATTGACCTAATTAACAAACAAATGTATCACACAGGTATGAGCCGACACAGTAAATCTCTATTTATACTACTGATTTATATGTGTTACGTTTTTTATTTATACCGAAGTTAGGAAAGGGAGTAGGTTTTATCACACATCTTGCCAAGGTCTTATTGGGTATCGAATATGAAATCACTCCATCGGACTAAATCCCGTTAACTTTATACTTGTTAAATTAAGAAGCTAGTTAATTAACAAAAGGGTATTAGTTAATACGAGTGTGCCTGACCAAAAGACAACCCTCATCTCCATAGAACTGGTGAAGGTTGGCGAAGACAGAGACAAACAATCACGAGGAAGGGTCACGATTAAAAGGTTGCATTTGGTAGACAGAGAAATGGAATGGTCGCCATGGACTGACCCAATAACAATGTGAGAGTGTCTGTTTGGTAAAACGTCCAATTTCAAAAATCAATCACCAGATATTACACATATAGATTTGATTCCATCGCCCCATGTAGAGATCAGCACGAATCCAGGATCACCATATATTGTGATCAGATTTTAAACTCGATCTTGCGAAACCTAGCAAATTAGCAATCTCATGTTAATCAATATTTAAGCTAGCCTTCAATAATAGAGTCAGAAATCCTAATAAGATTCTTGGAGTTTTCTCAATCCATACTGTGTGCGGATTTTTCAGTCCTTTGCATTATTAGTCTTTAGATTCAATCCGAGTTTCAACCATGGGCCGCACAATATCTCTTTTTTCTTCCATTGGACTTTGCGCGTACATTAGTTTCATCTTCTCGGCTATAGAAATCAAACTTAGAGCCTCGAGTGCAAGTGTAAATAATCTTAACCATTTGAGTTACTAGCCCCTTACAAATCTCATTCTTTAAACTAACTGAACGATGTCAAATTATGTGAACAATACATATGATAGATGCATTCATTAATAAATATGATCAAAATTCGAACCCAAGATTTCCCAAGTGCCTTTTTTGGGTTTTGTTTCTATGGTCTTTGAACAGACCCAACAGACTTTTTAAATTTGGAGCACCTTCTTGGACCACCTTTAAAGGTAAACAAAAACAAAATAAAAAAATACCGGGCTGGGCCGATTCAGTCGATTTAAGTTGGGCTCATTTGTGGCTCGTAGTGTGCTGTTCTTGCCCATTTAATACTTTAACCAAATAGGAAAATACGAATGAAAAATAAAAAAAAGCAAAAAAGAGTGAGGTGGTGGTTGTTGATGCATGAATGATATGATTACGATATAATTGTGAAAGGCATGCAAAAGTTTACCACATCAAATGAAGCTGTGCCGTGTCTAACTACTAATAACAATAAATAGATAGACACCTCCATCTGTCATTTTCAAATCAAACCCCCTAACCCCAATTTCCATCCCCGGTTCATAATTTCAATCTCAAACGCGCACTTCCCTCCCTTCCCCCTTTTTCTTTCAACAAACAACAGAAGAAGAAGGTACAGCAAAGAAAACTGAAACGTCTTGTGATGTAAAATGATTAAGATTTTAGGAGAAAGACTTTCTGCAACGGTCCCGGCTCATAACGCTTTTTCACGCGTCATTATGTTATTGGTTGAGAATATCAAAATAATGTTATTTCAAGTAAATTTTTATAGAATTCAGGACCACGCATTAAGTATATATGGCCCCTCTAATTAATATCATACATAAATAAATCCTGCGTCATCATTACGCAATATGATTTTGTTTGGTTGCACGAATATGCCAAACCTATGCCCTTGCCCTTTCTAATGGCTTTGACTCTTAATCCTTAAAATTATATCTTATTTTTTTTTTTTTTCCTAAATTCTAATCTTTTTTTTTTTTTTTTTTTTTTTTTTTTTTTTTTTAATAATTGATTGCTAGGAAGGGAATTCTCATCCTCTTGATTGATTATTCTTCTTCACCCTCTCAGCTAGGTCATAACCAGAAGAAGCAACTATTGGACCACCACACATAAATTTGTGTTATAAATTATTACCAACCAGACCAGCAGAATGCATTTACATTTCTGCAGGGTGGGTTTTATTTTTATTTTCAATGACTTCTGTGCCTGCCAACTGTGAACCAAATCTTATTGGACAGCAATTTCCTGAAAGAAACAAAAATTTCAAAGCCGGCCTCTGAAATCCAGAACATTCCGGCTTTATATATTTATTGGTTAGGTGTCTGTGTCTATGCATCAGATTAAGAAAGTTGGGGCATAAAGTAAATGCCGTAAGCAGGTTTTGTAGGCCAACCATATACTATTATCTATATTGTCAGCTGCAACAGGTTCCGACAGTTACGTTTTGTAATAAACTCAATCATGGTAGTACTAAGTGAAATCTGTTATTTCTCACGGTAAAACATGAACGACTGATCTTAGTAAAATTTTATAAATAATTGACGACCTTATGATTTATACGGGCTACAGTAATGTCAAATTGAAGAGGCATTATTAAGTTGTATGCATGTAACTTGTACGATGAGATCTCCAATATTCGGTCACGAATGAAATGATAAATGTAGACATTTACGTCCACATACGTGCATTTTCTTAATTTTGGAATTATTATGATTTTATTAGAGGGGTCGCATTCGTAACAAATAGGGCACATGATGTGGCCATCAATCGGCGAAACGCTAATAGCTGTCCAAGTCCGAGTCCCCGTCTCCTTTTATAACTTACAATCAACTACCAACCATTCTAAATTGTATATTTTTCCTGTGCGTGTAAGTTTGTTGAGCTTTTCAAATAAAAACAATTATTTCCCGGTCAGTATCAAATGTAATGTCTGGTTTGTTTTTTCGCAAAACGTTGCTTTCAAATATCACTTTGGAAAAAGCTTTTTAAAACCCTAGAGAGAACGCACCCAAACAAGCCAGTCGTTTTCGTTGCCCATCAGCATCAAAGACTCGCAAAGGGGCTTTGGATGACATCGGAATGGGGTTTTCTGAAAACTGCTTAATATATGCAACAAGCAAACTCTAATCTACATCACTGGATGGATGGGGGAAAACGACAAGCCATGTGGAGCGGGGATGACTCTGGTGTGCCATTATTCTTGCTAAAGTTGGTTGAGGCTGACCAATCAGGATAAAAGAATCTCCAAAGTATGAAAACCTTTTTGCCGCTGTGATCGATGGACCAGATGTAGGGAGATGGACGGCCCCGATTGCTTGATGATCGTGATTGTTATGTCAATCACCATCTGCTGGGCTGTACACGAACATGTTACAGATGTTATGTCTTCCACTTGACAACATGCGTGCATGCTTTGATGATCAGAGTTTGATCCCCCCTCCTCATTGGTGACAAAGATAACTCTTGGGGCTGTTCTTAAGACTTTCTTTGATAGTTCATCGAATTAAGCTTGGTAAAATAAAAGATTAAAAGTGATTTGGGTTAAAATCCCACTTTTTTTGGAACTAACTACTAAAGATATGATACCTTAACAAAAGACACCATAATTACTGTCCTATTAACACTCAAATCATATTTTTCTCCAAAACACTAATAACAATCGTACAAACAAAATCCAATACATTGCCACTACGGATTCGACACAACAAACCCAACTTATTCATCAATTCTTAAAATACTCATTAGCGGTTTAAACAACAAAATCCAATACAATGCCACCACTCAAAACTTAACATGTAGGACATAATTTCCTTTAGTTTTCTCAATTAAAGCTTAATTACAAACTATTTATTGGATATTTGAATATCAAAATTGTTAAAACTTATTTGTTAGTTGTTATGTGCAACATCAACAAAAGATACTAGATTTAAATGACATTAATTTATGTTGATATATTTGATTATGCAGCCCATAAAATAGTGTTTGAAACTTCTGTTGAAGAGCTTTTCATCTTTATTTTGTGAGAGTTTTATTTGTATTGTTATGACTTGGTTTTTTAAGCTTTATTTATCTTATATTATTATGAGTTTGTAATCTTAGTTGGGATGCCTATTCTAGAATTTTTTTTATCTTACATAATCATTAGTGGACGTATACTAGATTGTCTTAATTTTAATATTAGACCGCTCCGTTATTGTAATGACCATTTGTGGCTAGTTTGTATTGGCTCTTTGTAGCTAATGGTTTTTTTGGCTGAATTATGAATGCAATTATAGAATTTCTTGAAAAAAAAAACCGAATAGATTAGAAAGTTTTTTTATATTTTTAAATCATGCCATAAATCGTATACCATTTTTTTCCTTAAAGTTTGCAAATGTTGAAACGACGTCGTGGTACTTGTCACACCGAAGCATTACCTGGGCAACACGGGCAATTTCTTGGCCCCAAACCATTTTCCCCTTTCGTTCTCTCTCTTTCTCTCGCCCATTCCCCGTTTCTTCTTTCGTAGCAAATCTCTCTCGCTCTCATCCCGAGCTCCTCGCACGAAATCTTTGGATTTCGCTAATTGAATAACCTTCCTTCCTTTTCGATCCCAATCCCTCAATTCTCTCCCCTTTCTCCGACCCGACCTATGGTTACATCTCTGCCACCTAAGCCCTAGACTTCCGAATCGTTCCGTTTGGCGTTTACCCCTCATCCAATCGAAGATCTGGGGCTTGATCTAGGGTTTTATCTCCCTTCGAATTTCGCGAATCTAGGGTTTCTGCTGTTGAATTCGACTCGGGATTGATGTTTCATCTCAAGGACGATTGTGGGATCGATAACTCGGAAATTGAAAACCAAGATGGAGGGCTATGCATGGGTCGCCAGCTGAGAAGTCGAAACGGCGTCGGCACATGTGGCCTGTCCCTCATTCCAACGCCACGATTGTAGCTTCCAACCTTTCTAGCGCATCCGATTCCTTCTGCAAAGTATATATCACTTTCTCGGCGCGTTTTCATTTCGTTTTTCCTGATTTTGTGGTGAATTCCTGCTGGTTTTTGATTGCCTTGAGCTTTTTATTAGTTATTTTGTTGTTGTGGGGATTATGCACTTAATTACTTCTGGGTTTTTTGTTTGTCGTCGTTTGGATTTTTTGTACTGTTCATTTGCTGAAGTTCCTTTGTGGCTTTCTCAATTTTCCTGGGTTTGGATTTTACTTGGTTAATTTATCATCCAATTGGGTATTTATGCCTTTTTAAGTTTTCCGTCGCTAGTAGGATTATCTAGTTTTTTTTTCTTCTTCTTTTTTCTAGGAAGATTACTGGGTCTTTTCCTTCATTTATAAACATACCATTTTATAAGGACAATTGTACCATTTATATACGTTCGGTGAATTTAACGTGTTCCTCTATCACAGAGGCTTTATATGTCTGTCTTGATAATTTCATAGAAGAATTTTTTGGTTTCAGTTTTGGATATTATTAAGTACCTCATATCGCATTACCCATTTTGAATTGTTTGTTTTATTGTTGGTCACTTTGATGGGTTTATTTAAATCCTGACTGAATGTGCATGATAATCATTATTGACAAAGAAGCTGGTCTTTCTCTCCCCGTTTTTAAAATTATATTCTTTTATTTATCGTTGATTCTGAAAGAAAGAGTTTGATAGACAGCAACTCTCTTGATCATTTCCCTTAGAAATTATATTTTCTCTGAAACTAATATATAATTTGTTTGTGGAGTAACCTACTTTTATGTTCATTACTTGAACCTTTACGAATTGACCTTCATTTCTATTAATCGTGAAGCTTTTAGATGGTGTGAACTATCATTTCATATCTGAAAATCTTTGCCTCTGTTTTCTAGACATGTTCATATTCCTTTGTTTATCCATAATTTCTGCATAATTTTTATGTTATTTGATGCATTGAAAGTGTACTCCATACTTAATTTAGTTTTAATGAAACTTTCACTTGTTATAGGATGGACGCAAAATTTGTGTTGGTGACTGTGCACTTTTCAAGCCACCTCAGGATTCCCCGCCTTTCATTGGAATAATTCGTAGGCTAAAATTAGACAAGGAGGATCGCCTAAGTTTAGGAGTGAGTTGGCTTTATCGACCTGCTGATGTAAAGCTTTCCAAAGGGGTCTCGCTAGAAGCTGCCCCAAACGAGGTCTTTTATTCCTTTCACAAGGATGAGATACCTGCTGCATCATTACTCCATCCGTGTAAAGTCGCATTCCTTCGTAAAGGTGTTGAACTTCCTTCAGGGATATCCTCATTTGTGTGCAGACGAGTGTATGATACTGAGAACAAGTGTTTATGGTGGTTAACTGACAAAGACTATATTAATGTGAGTATTGATTCTTTCTTCTTTGTTTCACCATCTCGGGGTCATGATTAATTATTTTAGGTTTATATTGATTATTCTTTTGACCACAGGAACGACAGGAAGAAGTCGATCAGCTTTTAGACAAGACAAGACTAGAAATGCATGGGGCAGTGCAGTCGGGAGGTCGTTCTCCAAAACCCTTGAATGGTCCATCATCAACACCACAGCTAAAATCTGGTTCAGATAGTTTACAGAATAGCACATCCTCCTTTTCTTCGCTGATTAAAGGAAAAAAGAGGGAACGAGGAGATCAGGGCTCTGAACCAGCAAAACGAGAACGGTTAATCAAAACAGAGGATGGTGAGTCTGGTCAGTCCAGACCTGAAAATATGTTAAAGTCTGAGCTTGCTAAAATAACGGACAAAGGAGGACTTGTAGACTTTGAGGGAGTCGAGAAGTTAGTCCAACTTATGCAACCCGAAAGTGCTGATAAGAAAATAGATTTGGCTGGCCGAAGAATGCTTGTTGATGTGATAGCCGTCACTGATAGGTTGGATTGCCTTGAACGATTTGTACAACTGAAGGGTGTGCCTGTATTGGATGACTGGCTCCAAGAGGTTCACAAGGGAAAAATTGGTGATGGTAGTAACCCCAAAGAAAGTGATAAATCTGTTGATGAATTTCTTTTTGCTTTACTTCGCGCACTGGATAAGCTGCCAGTGAATCTTCATGCACTACAAACTTGTCATGTTGGCAAGTCTGTGAATCATTTACGTAGTCACAAAAACTCTGAAATCCAGAAGAAAGCTAGGAGTTTAGTTGATATGTGGAAGAAACGTGTTGAAGCTGAGATGAATTTGAATGAATCAAAGTCTGGATCTGGTCGTAGTGTTTCCTGGCCTACGAAGCATTCACCTTCTGAAGTTTCTCATGTTGGGAGTAGGAAAACTGGAAGTTCCTCTGAGGTTGGCTCAAAAGGCTCTACTATGCAACCTTCTGTGTCTAAAACACCTCAAGTTAAACTTGGCTCTGGTGAAACTGTTTCCAAGTCTTCTGCTTCTCCTGGGTCAACGAAATTGTCGAGTATATCATCAGGCAATGTCTCGAAGGATCAAAACTTCAGAATGTTGGCAGGTGCTGGAACCTCAGATCTTCCATTGACACCAATTAAGGAGGAAAGGAGCAGCAGTTCTAGCCAGTCTCAAAACAACAGCCAATCGAGTGATCATGCAAAGACTGTGGGTTCTTTATATAGAGAAGATGCAAGGAGCTCATCTGCTGGTTCAGTTAGTGGGACCAAAATTTCTGGCAGTGCTTCTCGCCACCGAAAATCAAGCAATGGCCTTCATGGGTCTTCTGTATCAGGAGTTAATAAGGAAACAGGGCAAGGAAAAGTTTGTACCCCCAGTAGAAATTCGACTCCTGAAAAGGCTTCAACAGCTGGAGTGTCCTATGAGAAACTTCCTGAATTGCCCTTGGTTGACCATGGAAATAACCGGATTATTGTCAGATTGTCAAACACGGGTCGCAGTCCTGGTAGAGGGGCCTCAGGAGGTTGTTTTGAAGATCCTGTTAGCAGAGCTTCTTCTCCTGCAGAAAGGAATGACAACCATGATAAAAAGGCTAAGGGCAGAAGTGATGCCTTGCAGGGGAATAGTACATCAGATGTGAACTCAGATATGTATCACAGCAAAGAGGGATTGTCTGGTTCTGAAGATGGTAACATGCTACCTTTTTCTAGTGAACATGATAGGACTGGTGAAGATGATGATAAACCAACAGAGGCATCAAAGGCTGCTGGTTCCTCATCAAAAGTTATTTCAAGGACAGGAAAATCATACGAGGCATCATTAAGCTCCATGAATGCTTTAATTGAAAGCTGTGTGAAATTTTCTGAAGGTAGTGGTAATGCTTCACCTGGTGATGATGTTGGGATGAATTTGCTAGCTAGTGTTGCAGCTGGAGAAATGTCCAAATCTGAGAATGTGTCACCATCAGGTTCGCCTGGGAGGAATTCTCCTGTGCCTGAGCCATCATTCTCAGAAAACGATGGCAAGTTGAAACAAGTGGGTGAAGAAATTGCTGAAATCCAATGTCAACCTAATGGAGGGGCCAACAGTGGTGCTACTTCAGAGATGGGAAATGTTTGTGATTCAATGCGAGGCAAGAATGAAGCAAGACATTCTGTTACCCACATGCCAACTAATGTTTTTGGTGACATTAAAGGCACATCATCTGGCTGCCGGGATAGAACATTGGAGTGCAATGCAAATTTGAATTGTTCTTCAAATATGCAACAAAATATGGATGGGCAATCCCTGGGGGCTGACGTGAAGCCTGGCGAGCCATGTGATGCTTCTGCATCAGAGCCATCTTCATGTGCTAGAAAAGAGGGTCAGTTGGAGGCTCAAGGATCTAACCAGTTTCATGAGCAAGCAAAATTGGGGCCTCCTACTTTAGCATGCAGCATTTCAGATTCTAAATTACAAGTTATGTCTTCCTTTTCTGGTGAAGATAAGGGTGTTCATTATGCAGATGAAAGAACCGTAGGGAGCCGTACACCAGCTGTATCTGAAGCAGCCTCCGGGAGTGCAAAAGCTGAACAGGACAATGAACTGTCTACCTGCTCATCCTCTGAAGTGGCTGAGGAGAACCGTGATGTGAAAAAGGATTCAAATAGTGCCCTACTGACAGAGCAAAAACCATCTGTTGTGGCAGGAATTCATTCAGAGTCCAAGGAGGGGAAGAGTGAGGATGCTGCTCTTTGTTCTGGTTCTGGAAATACTTTACATGTGGAGTCTAAGGGTGAAAACACAGATGACATTAAGGCTGCAGATCTCTCTGAGCAGACTGAGAAAGAGATGAGGGATATTTCTGTGCCAGTCTTGGAAAACAGCTGTGTTGCGCGGGAAACTACGGATAGAAAAGATTCTTTTGGTCACTGTTCTGACAGACCAGTTCCCCGTGTAGAGTCACCATCAATACCTGAGAAAGAAAATCAGCAGCATGACAAGTATAGTTGGTCTAAGTCAGAAGCCATTGAATCAGGGGGGATGGAGGAAGGGCAAGTATCCTGTGTGAATGCATCGGGGTCAGATGCTGCTGTAAAACTGGACTTTGATTTGAATGAGGGCTTTCCTGTTGATGAAGGGAGTCAACCAGAGTTTGTTAAAGCAGGAGATCCTGGAACATCATCTTCTTTTCATTTTCCTTGCCCTTTACCTTTTCAAATATCTTCCATGTCAGGGAGCTTCCCTGCATCAGTTACTGTAGTCGCGCCTGCCAAAGGTTCATTTTTCCCTCCTGAAAACCCGATGCGGAGTAAGGGTGAACTTGGATGGAAAGGCTCTGCAGCTACCAGTGCATTCCGACCTGCAGAACCCCGAAAGAATTTGGAAACATCACTCAGTGCGACCGATACACCTATTGGTGATACTGCTTCCAGCAAACAAGTCCGCACTCCATTGGACTTTGACCTGAATGTTCCTGATCAGAGAGTTTATGAGGAAGTTGTTTCCCAAAACTCTGCACATGTGATGGGTTCCAAGTCTGGGTCTCGTGATCGAGGCGCTGGAGGGCTTGATCTTGATTTGAATAGAGTTGATGAGAGTCCTGATATTGGGTCACTTTCTGCAAGCAGTAGTTGTAGGTTGGAGATGCATCCTTTGGCAAGTAAGTCTTCATTATCTGTTGGACTATCTAATGGTGGGGTTAATGACTCCAGGGACTTTGATTTAAACAATGGCCCAGGCCTTGATGAAGTGGCAACCGATACAGCACCATGCACCCAGCATTTAAAAAGCAATGTGTCTCTAAGGACGCCTGTTTCTGGGTTAAGAATAAACAGCCCCGATTTTGGGAATTTCTCAGCATGGATCCCTCCAGGAAACTCATATCCTGCCATCACAGTTCCTTCGGTTTTTCCTGGCCGGGGTGAGCAGAGTTATGGTCCTGCAGCTGGGTCACAGAGAGTTTTGTGTCCTCCCACAGCTAACGCATCATTTGGTCCTGAAATATACCGGGGGCCAGTGCTTTCGTCCGCAACTGCAGTGCCATTTCCACCTGCTACTACATTTCAATATCCAGGGTTTCCTTTTGAAACAAATTTCCCTCTGTCATCGAGCTCCTTTTCTGGTTCAACTGCATATATGGATTCATCATCTGGTGGGCCACTTTGTTTGCCCACCATTCCCTCACAGCTGGTGGGACCAGGTGGTGTAGTCCCATCTCCTTACACTCGGCCCTATATGATGAGCTTTCCCGGTGGTAGTAGTAATGTTAGCCTTGATGGTAGGAAATGGGGTAGTCAGGGTCTTGACCTTAATGCCGGGCCAGGAGCTGCAGAAACAGAGCGGAGAGATGAGAGGTTGACTTCCGGATTGAGGCAGCTTTCTGTTCCCAGTTCGCAAGCTCAGATAGAAGAACCTTTCAAGTTGTTTCAGGTTGGAGGCACATTGAAGAGAAAGGAACCTGATAGTGGGTTGGATGCTGTTGATCGAATAAGCTATAAGCAACCTTCATGGCAGTAAAATCATGGCACAATGCGGCTAACCTGTCAAGGCCTGGTAAGTTTTTCTAGCCTTTCCAGTTCTGGTTGTCATTATATTTAAGTAATTTATTTTGTTGGACATGTTTAGAAACCCATGGAGGTCTGATTACTAATGGAACTCAACTACTTGTAAAGTCTACCATGGCAATTTAAGCTCAGAGAAATGTTCTTGGATGGTGTCACAATTTCAGTGATGAAATTGAATTTATGTTATTCATCATAGTTTCTGAAGATATTTTTTTCCATTTCTTTATTATTGCAATCAGTTAAATTAAGGTTTATTATTTCATTTGGAAGCTTTGGTGAAATGTTTTCTTGTTAATATTATTTTCAATAAAATCCTTAGTTTGTTTCAAGGATTAGCGGAATATGGTCTTGTCTATAGTGCAAGTTGTTATTTGCAACCTGAGTTGCCATCATAATAAAAGAAGAAATAGTGTTTCCACCTGTGGCATTTTGGGAACTTTCATTATTTTATTGGATGGGTTTTACATGTTTATTATGCATCAAAATAAAACTCTTCCGCAATTCCCTTGAACATATCTTCTTAATTATGAAGCGTTCTTGCTTCTTGCAGCACTTCGGGGTTTTGCATTGGAAACATACAGGAGTTGTTTATTTGGAGAGTAAAAAATGCTAAAGGACAGGCACATGTGTCCAGTGTGCGGAACACCAATCCGCACCACCTCTAACTTTAGAAACCCCTGGGGTCCTGGAAGCAGTTTTTTTAGCTGAATCTGTTCTGATGGCCTCCGCAGACGAGTTTTTCTGTGTAGATATCTAACTCTTGAAAACATCTTTGATGTGCTGCCAAAAGCCGAGACATTGGTGCTCAGTGATGGGACTTGTGCCCATTCAGGTACACACCGCAATCCCAATCCTTACTGAATCCTATTTATAGGGGAGTTTGGTTGTATGAACCTCCCAGGCCAAGGCCGGGTTGTATTTTCTGTCATTAATTTTTTTTTCTCCAGTTGTTACATATATAGTTATTACTTAGTCAGGACTGCCGAATTTTGTTATCTTATCACATTCTGGTTATTGAAATTTGCACAGGCTGTCACCGTATTAATTTTTTTATTTGTATTATAAGTTATAACCAGAGTCAGGACCTTTTTGAAACCTAGAGAATGTTGGACAGAGAGTTCACTTTTGCTGCATTTGATTCATTTGTATTATGAATGCCTTTTGACCCAGTTGTGAAATTTCCATGGTCCTACCGGGTTTGCCTTTTTCACAGCAAACCAGTATACTCCCCAACGTTGTGTTGTGTGTTTTGGGTGTGAGGCCGTTTTGCGGTTTATATTTGGGTACTGATACTACAAATCTGAACATGTTGTAATCCACCCTGGCAACTGTTGTACAATTCTGGTTGCAGCTTAATGGAAAGAATATGGGTAGACGATGGATGTGAAATTAGCTCAGCTCATTTTCTCAAAGGGTCCTCCACTGCATAGTTGGATGTACTTGTGATTGTATGCTAAATTTGTTCTAAACATGTTACCCCCTGTTTCCGCCAACAATTCAATGTCTGGCTGGGTATGTAGCTCGGCACATCGTCTGTTAAATGTCTTTTCTTATGCACCAGAATATTGGCTTCTTTTTTTCTCCCCAGAATGCCGTAGAAAGTGCAAATCTGGGATCGTTTAACCTGCATGGTGATTTCTGTTTCTGGTCTTTTTGAATCTAGGATTTTGTCGACTGTATGAAATTTGATCACCACAACGCTTGCAAGTTGCAACCATGTACAAATCTCTCCAAGTCTCACAATGCCAAGGTTATGCCTGATTGGTGCGTGCCTTGTGAAAATGGTACAAAATGGTCAGAATGGCTGAACGTTTTCTTGTGAAAATACTCTCTCGCTCATATGGAGCAAAACGTTTTTCATAACTTTAGGACTTTCTTGCGACCAAGTTTTGGCATTAAAAAGGGCAAGAGAACTTTCAGTTGTCTGACACGTCAGTCAGAATTTTCATGTTTAATTTTTAAAAGTTGCCTTTTCGAACAAGCTATTTCAGGAATAAAGGTTTCATATGTCGATGTCTGGGGAGGGTACAAGTTCAACAAACACACATGTCGCTTTTAATTTTAATGCATTTAGGCTCTCCAGGTGTCGTCGTATGGTCCTGAGGTTTCAGAATCAGAGGGACCAGATGCAATTCGAATCCAAGTGTAAAAGATTAGCAAAGTATTTCATCATGGGATGGGATGCTCTCCTTCTTCCTTGTAGGAGGAGGGATGTTATGAACCTTCTTTTTCATTTGTTTTGTTATACCTTGCTTCAATACTAGAATGTCGGTAATGGCGTCCCTGTCTTTAGGACAAATTATCCCGATTATTTAGGGGTCATTTTTACATCTTACCATAACATTTTCTTTACATGAATACCTAATTAGGTCAAAGGTAGACAAATTTTAACCTTCAATATAGGAATTGATTCATATCCATTTGCAAAGCAAGAAAAGGTAAAAGGAAAACATCAAAATGCATTTATTGGCTTCTAAAGCAATTTTTCTTTTAGGGTCGGTTTGCTTTTGGTGGTATGAAATCGCATTCTCATGTTTGATAATTCTAGCTTTCTGATTAAAAAAAAAAGACAATAGAATTTAATAAGTGTACTTTTAGGAATATAATACTTGACTTATGGTATGAACGTAACATAGTTATTAGGCCTTCGTTTGGATTGGTGGTGTTGAGAAAGGAAAGGAAATGTCATCTCATCCAAATGATAAATGACGAGATGATGTATCATTTTATTGCATGCATGATGCATCAACATCGGATAAACCTAGACCTAGTCTGCACCACAACATTTGTTCATGCCCTCTTAAGAAGGAGGGTCATATGGAAAAGTCATTTAAAATCTCATTCGGATGTTTTCCACGTAGGTGGCCAAGGTGCACAAAATTAAGAGAAAAAAAAGAGTGGGAAACTAAGAAAAAATAAAATAAATATGTGTGGTTGGGTAGCCTTTAAGACCACTCAAAAAAAAACCCCCAACAAAAAGTGCACAAAATTTCCGAACCCGAAGAAATTGCGCCGAGTATTCAGGTCAATTTAGGAATGAGACCTACCCCCAAACATTCACATGCAAAGCTCACTCGTTTCAGACTCAGTTAATTCCATGGCTTTGCCGCGTGTTCACGGCTGACGTTACTTTCCACACAACAGCCAGCCATCTCTCATTTCTCATTTCTTATTTGCCCTTCTCTTCCAAAAAGAATTACCGTTGAATTTATAAAAACAACAAAAGAAAGAAAAAGGAAAGCAAAAGCTCATCATCCCAGTGAAGCGAAAAAAACCAAAAAGGTAAAAAAGTACAAAAATAAAGAGCCTCTTTGGCTCTCTCTCAAAACAAAGGACACAATCCACCAGTATCAATTTTACTTAATGATGGAGTTGCAGAATCTCCTCAGCCTTCCCCTTATAATTTCTTCCTCATAGCTAAATCATTTGCCTTATTTCCTCTCTCTCTCTCTCTCTCTCTCTCTCTCTCTCTCTCTCTCTCTCTCTCTCTCTCTATGCCAGACAGACAGTCATGAGTTTTTGTACTTTTTCCCCCAGAAAAGCTTCATAACAATGCCAAAAGGGAGAGAGGCTTGAACATGGGGAGCAGATTGGTTCCTTTCTTGTTCACTTCTCTAGCCATAGCCACCCTTTTCAGCTTTTTCCTTATCTATTCTCCAAACCCTTTGCTAACCATAGCCAAACAAGGCCTTAATTCTATTCAAATCCAGCCAAACCTTCATGCAGTACAAGAACAAGACCACCAAGACCTTGATCACAATAACATAAAGCTCCAACCACCTACAAGTAACTTTACAAACAACCCGTTTCTTTCATATCTTCTCTTTTGTAATTACTTTCTTTTTTTGGTCATGAATTATATAAACTCCTTTTGATGGGATGGGAGTGTTCTTAAAGATAATATTGGTGTGTCTGATTTTGTAGAGAAGGAGGAGGAGAAATGTGACTTGTATAAGGGTCACTGGGTTCCAGAATTAAGAGGGCCAATGTACACCAATTCAAGCTGTGCCACAATTCCAGAATCAAAGAATTGTTTCAAAAATGGCAGAAGGGACAGTGATTTTCTTAATTGGAGATGGAAGCCAGACAAATGTGAGCTTCCTCTGTTCGATCCCAACACCTTTTTGGAAATTGTGAGAGGAAAGAAAATGGCATTTATCGGAGACTCTGTGGCTCGCAACCATGTGGAGTCTCTTCTCTGCCTCTTGTCACAGGTAATTCTCCAAGAAATCACACGACCCTTTTTTTCCAACTTGTTTTTGGGTTTTGCTTGAATTGTGATAATTAATGTGGTAGTTTCGCACGACCCTAAGCATTCTGCTACTTATGGAAGACTAATTTAATTTGATACAAATCTCAATCAAAAGTTTTTACTATTTTTTGCTACTTGTTTATCAATTTGCTTGGTTGGTATAACTTGTCATGGTATGTAAATTTGGTATTTAATTAGCATAATTTTTTCCTCTGATGTACTTTTAATTAGCTTAATCTGGGGTTGGGGACAGAGAAAGTTATGAAGATGAGGAAGGAACGCGTAAATGAAGAATATTAATTATTACTGTTTGCCTGTTTGTCTCTTCAACCTTAAATTTCTTGTTTGATTGATTGATTGATTGATTTATCTAGTCCAAAAATTCTTGTTTGATAGTTTTCATATGCATGTTCTTAATGACGGTCGCAATCTGCATAAAGTCAACCCAAACAACTAATAGAACATGCAGGCCGTAGACATGCTTCAGAATTTGTATGGGTGAAGGAAATATCGGTCGAAGATGTGGACAAGGCAGTGTGCCTACCTCCTTATATTTCCGCTCTCTATATTAGACTAGTTTAAAATACCATCATTGTGTTAAAAAAAAAGAATAATATTAGTCTTACCACATTTTTTATACCACATGATGTGACAGTTGATGTGTACATACCACATCATGTAAAATACTAGTTTATGTTTTTCTAATTTTATTTATTAAAATACACTTCATTCATTTAATTGATATGACATATGATATATGGACATACCACATCATGTGGTATAAAAATGTGGGATAATAATGTGGTAAGTGTAGCATTACTATTTGTAGGCAAACTACCCTTTTATTTTAGAGTAATGTTACACTTACCATATTTTTATCCCACATTTATATACCACATGATGTGACATGTCCATATCATATGTCACATCAATTAAATGAATGAATGGTATTTTAATAAATAAAATTAGAAAAACAGAAATTAGTATTTGACATGATGTGATATGTACACATCAGCTGCCGCATCATGTGGTATAAAAAATGTGGTAAGACTAGTATTATTCTTTTTAATTTTTTTAATTTTTTCAACCATATTATTATACTCGCAAGTCATTCATAAAATTGCCGTCTTAAATTAAAACTTAGAATTACAATGAGGTTGCACTTTAGTTGGTTTAACTCTAATCCAACATAAACTGAGTTTGAGGATGATTAAGAGTTGCGATTTACAAGTGAGGCTGCAGCATTTGAGTTCATCTCTTGATGATATGAATCTTATAATATTGCAGGAAGAATCCCCAAAAGACGTTTACAAGGATTCTGAAGACAGGTTCAGGACATGGTATTTTCCTCAACATGACTTCACCCTCATGAAATTGTGGTCCAAATATCTTATAGCTGCAGATGAGAGGATGGTTAATGGTACAGGGTCCGGCACCTTTGATTTGCATCTTGACCGGCTCGACGATCAATGGGCGCGGCACCTCCCCGATCTAGACTACGCCATCGTCTCAGGTGGGCATTGGTTTTTCCGGTTAATGTACTTACATGAAAGTGGTAACCTCACCGGATGCGTCTATTGCAATCAACCTAATGTCACTGACTACAACATTAGCCACGCCGTTCGGATGGCGTTTCGAACAGTTTTCAAGCACATCAAAGATTGCAAGAACTGCAGAGGTGGTCTCATGGCCTTGTTGAGGACATTTGCTCCTGCACACTTCGAGAATGGGGCTTGGAACACCGGGGGGTACTGTAACAGAACAAGTCCTTTCAGTGAGGCGCAGATTGATTTGGGCACTTTCGACTGGGAAATGAGGAACATTCAGATTGAGGAGTTTGAAAGAGGAAGAAGAGAAGGGGAGATGAAGGGGAAGAAGTTTGGGGTTTTGGATATAACCAGGGCCATGCTGATGAGGGCAGATGGGCACCCTGGAGCTCACTGGGGCAACCAGTGGATGAAGGGCTATAACGACTGCGTCCATTGGTGCATGCCAGGCCCTGTTGATTACTGGAACCATTTTCTAATGGCGATTATCAGAAACGAGGGAGGCTTAGTTTCTTAGTTAAGGGTAGAGCTTAGTTAGAAGTAGTAACAGCATAAAACCATACAAATTCATATCTTAATAATGCCCACATTTTTTTTCCTTTTCATTTTATTGTATTTTTTTTTGTTACAAGGGCGTATAATAATTTTAGCTCCAAATGTGAGATTTCTACCATCGATTTATCAGTAAATATATATTTTTTTCCCAACATGAAATGGAACATTTCGTGACAGCAATTATGCGGTCAACAAAATCCCACCACTGACGTCCTGTCAAATATTGTTATGTTTTCTTTTTCCCCCTTAAACGACACAAAGTCTGGTATCTTTTGATGTGGTAGGGTAGCCAGAGCTAATTCCATGATGGGCAAAATGGCACATAACAGCTTCCCCTGCAAAGGGGAAAAACTTCCCTATCCCGGTTTCATAAAGAATCTAGATGGACGGGGTGGCCTGACTTTAGGGACAAAGCTCAAACGTGAAACATGCAAAGACAAGGGCCGGAATGTAGATGGATTGGGTGGTCTTTCACCGTCGATCAAAACTCACGAGACTTGATAAAATCGTAGTCAGTTTTGACAATTACTAGCGAAGAAGAGACATGGACAACCTCCATTATTAGATATCATTGGCTGTTGTACCAAATACAGAAAAACGAAAAGACACTTCCACGCTTCATAAAGAATCTACCAAGAGCATGAGATGCGCACAATCCCATGTAGAGCTTCATTGTCCATTGTAAGAACAATCAAAATCATGTTGACAGAGTGAAGTCCCCAAGAATGGGTTGCGGGCAACCAATGCAGCTCACAATAGGCAAAACTAATTGGTGGAAAGTATGAAAACCATAAGCAACATGATGTTACCTCTACAAAGCAGCAGAGAGGCCTTTTGGAAACCTTCGGCCTTCCCCTACCCCACACAACAAAAAACCAACAAAAAAAGAAAAAAGACCCCCGAAAAGATTCAGAGTAGACTGTCTGTATCATCACATTTCATGAACTTTTTAAAAATTCAGCACATTTTGTGAAACCAAAGTTAGTAGCTTTTGACATCATAGGTCACTTCAAAATGATATCTTTCAATAGTAGTTATAAAACAAATAAGCAGAGATATATACACAAGAATGTACAATGATGTAAGTTCCTTGTAGATAATAGTCTGTAAGATATGCACCTAGAAATCAAATATGTAAAAAGAGATCATATATAAAACGAAGATTCAGAGATGCTTGGCACACACACTCGTGCACACAGATGGAAGGCTGTCTTCAGTCAACAATACAGGAAATCCATACAAAAATTCTTGGCTCAATTACATATGAGGAAGAGTCTGAGAAAGATGATTACCACAAATCATACCTAGATTGTTGAAGCAGAGAGATTTCAAAATTCTCTGAAACAAAAAATTGCAAACCAATACTAAGGATCTATAGTTAATAAGAACAAGACTAGCTTTTGTTCATAAAGAAGTGCACAATCAGGAAAAGGAGTTCTAAAATTATGCAGTGCGTTTCAAACTTTAAGAGTAGAAGATTACAAAGATGAGAGTAGTCTAACAAATACACTGCACACAGAGCATACACAAGCGTGTACACACACATTCAGAAGATGAAGGTGATATCTCTTATGAGCCAACAAAACCAAGGCACTAGAAAGACTAGTAAAACAATTTTGATAGCTCACTCACTTGGGGCATAGGGTTTAACTGACATGATGAGGGCAGTAAAAATCAATCCCTGTGCCCTGTGGCAGAAGTTGCCAATTCATTAAACTAAGAGTTTGCCAAGTTAGTGAAAGATACATAACATAATCAGTCTACGATCATATTACAAAAGAAGTTGAAAATAGAAATTTGATACACCATCTGCCATAACCATACTATAGAAGAAGCGTATTACCCGTCACAAGGCTACACCACTAAAAAAACTACAGCCAAAACCTACACCATCAGACCAAAAGTAGAAAATTTAGAAATTTATAACCAAAACCTCCAGGGACCATATGAAGTTAAAAGGCATACACCTGATCAAATTTACCATCTCTGATATTGACTAAACATTAAAACCAACAGAATAGGATGGAAGAGTAAAAGTATTTCAAAATATCATCAACATGAACAAAACACATTATCAATCTAAAGGGAAGATAAAATGAAAATGTCAGAACATCAAATGCAAATTCTGTAACTAAGCTATAAGTAGCACCATAGACAGTAATCTACACTAACATCATAGGGTAACATATTCATTAAACAACAACTAAATTTTAGATTAACACAGAATGGCTCTGAAACCTCATGCTTCCACTGTGTTGCCTAGCACAAACGAGAATAACTCACGAACAGGCGAAAACTCCACCAACCCAATATCCATGGCATACCCAGCAACCGGCAACTTCAAGTCCCGTAACACGCAAAACGCTTCCGCCATCCGAGTCTTTGGCACTTCCTGAGCAACAGCACAACAAGGAACCCAAGAATCTGTGCGATACTCCTCCCCAATTTCAACGCCTTCTCTCTTCACTGCCTCGCACAATTGGGACTGAAACTGAAGCAACGAAACTGAAGGAGTTGGTGACAGAAACAGGACATTGTTGTCATGTGGAAGGCTCCCAATTGAGGAGAAAGACAACGCCAAAGGTTCTTGCTTCGAAGCGAAGGCTTTGATTACGTTTTCGAGCTTCGCTGGTTCAATGAAAGGGCTGGAGAAGAGGGTGATGTGGGGGCGTGATTCGATTTCAATGAGTTGGGTACTAATCTGACGGCGAGCGAGCACATTCCAAGCCTTCAAGACCTGGTTTTCGAGGGCTGGATCGAAGTAGAGCTCGATCGCATAGCCTTGTGACATTGCCTTCGAATTGAAATTCGAGGGAAAGTAAGCAAATTGGATCGAAATCAACACAACCCAGTGACAAAAACTGAGATCTCAGATTGCCCAGAAATGAAAAATGAAAGATAAGCTGAAATCAAAGTAACCCAGAATTGTAAAAACAAAAATAAATAAGAAAAGACTTGAGATTTAAGAAAATAGCAAAATAAGAAATACCCAAGTGAGATTGAGATCATACAAAGTCTGAGAATTGAAATCAGAAATGGGGAAGAAAAAGGGAAAGAGAGAAGAGAGTTTAACAGGGAGATGAAAAAAAGAGAAACAAAAGCATGTGAAATTGTGGATTAAAGTTTCAATCAGAAAGAGACAGACGGAATAAAGAGCAATAAAAATCAAAACACAGACTCAAAAGTGGTTTCCCAATAGACTCTGCATCAGCGAAGCTACGATTTTCTTTCTTCGGCAATCACAGTAAAAGATAAGATAAAGTGAGAGAGAAGGAGGAGGGGCCTTGCACCATCTGTTGAAGAGTAGGGTGCATGGTCACCGGTTTTTGGTGGTTGGCCTCAAGTTTTCAACACTTCAACTCTCTCAAAATGAAGTCTCAAGTGGAGATTCATTGGTAGGAGACAAGAAAAATATTATCCTTAATTGATCGCACATAACCAAAAAAATATTAATTGTTAAAAATTAATTTTGACAGAAAAATTATTACAAATTAAGTAGTGCATAAGCGATGGTAAAAATGCTACTCTAATTTATCTTACACCGGTCAGGTATTGCTCTTGAAATGACAACTCAATGTTTGACAAAAAAAAGGAGGATGGTTGTATATCATTAATTATACTTAGTTTTTTTTTTTGTTGCCAAATTGTACTTATGTTCATATACTCATTTGTAGGGCGAATAAATGCCATAATAGAGGATGAATTTTGATTTATAAAGTGTTAAAGGAAACTTTTTATCGCGTTTATATAATGTTTCATGCTATACTTTTGACTTCAGTTATAACTGTAATTCTAATAGAGAATGAATAGAATTACAAAGACAAAACTCAAAATGTATTCTAAACCAATATAGAAATGGGATGAATAGTTTAAACACTTCAATCAAATTTTACATCCTTTCATAAATGAGACATGCTGTTCTTAGGTAAAAAAAATTATCAACAAATGCATATATGAACAGTGCTGGTTGGATAAATGAGTTATGTCAAATGCACAAGCTGACTAATAATACATCTTAATTGAGTGAAAATACAACTTTAAAAGTTTTATTCAATCAGCAGATTTAGTCAAATTGGCTAGACTGGATATGCTCCTCATTTTTCAACGGTTAAAAAATACGGCATCACCTAAGGCCATATATAAGACTCTCACTATAGAATTCTTGCGCAAGAAAAAAAAAGAGAAAAAAAAGGAAGAATTCTTGCGCATCCTTGAACTCTACTTTTGGAGATGGGCTGTTAATAAGTTGTAGGCCCAAACTCTCTCACATTTCCTTCCTCAACTGTCATCTGCTACAGCGTCTGATTCAAAACAAGGAAGTCGTTGATTCTGGAACCTCTCTGCTTCTTCATAAAAGCCCTAATCGCAAGCTTCATCGCTCTCAGACCAACAATCCCAGAAAAACCCCATTTTTTGTATTTTCTCCAAAATTTAAAAAATGGGTGATAATAAAAGAAAGAGAGGTCCAAAACCCAAAACCCCAGCAGCTGAAGATACCAATATCACCACCATGGATATCCAATACACCAACCCCACCACCGCAAACGACGCCGTTTCAGTTCCCGCGAACGAAACCGCCACTGACCCCAGTAGCTCCCAGCCCAGTCGCCGTGGACGAGGCCGGCCCAGAAAGACCGAGAAGCTCAACATAGCGGCTTCACCGGAACGACGAAGCTTGAGACACGCGGACCAAAACGGCGATGGTGGGCACGCCTTGGCTGTCGTTTCCGAGCCACCGTTGATGGTGCCGAGCTGGGAGAACGTGGCGAGAGTGGTCCCGGCCATGGAGGCCGTAGTAAAGGTGTTTTGTGTGCACACGGAGCCTAATTTATCGTTGCCATGGCAGAGGAAGAGGCAGTACAGTTCGAGCAGTAGTGGGTTTGTGATAGGAGGCAGGAGGGTCTTGACCAATGCGCACTCTGTGGAGCACCATACCCAGGTTAAGCTCAAGAAACGTGGCTCTGAAACTAAGTACTTGGCCACTGTGTTAGCCATTGGAACCGAGTGTGATATTGGTATGCAACATTCGGCTTCTTTTATTTGCTTATGAACTAATTTTTCATGTGGTTTTGAATTGTTTATTGAAAAGAAGTGGGAATATTTTGTTGACAAGAAGTTGTAAAACTTGCATTTTGAGAAACTTAATTATTAAGAGCTTATTGGATTGAAATGGAAACAGAATGCAGTTTGTTTATTTTAAATATTTCACTAGATATTACCGGCAGTATCCTCATTATTGTGACTTTATTATGCAATTAAAGAGTTCTTTTTCCTTTTCTCCATGATGCTTCTTCAGCAATGCTTACGGTGAGTGATGATGAATTCTGGGAAGGAGTTTCACCTGTGGAGTTTGGCGAGTTACCGGCACTCCAAGATGCTGTGACCGTAGTGGGCTACCCTATTGGGGGTGACACGATCTCTGTGACAAGTGGTGTTGTGTCACGTATGGAGATACTGTCTTATGTTCATGGATCGACTGAGCTTCTAGGACTGCAGGTACTATCTTCTGGACAATGTCTTCTATGACTACCTACCCTAAATACCTGATCATTGACCTGTCCTGGTTTCCTTTTTCCTTGTGATCCATTTGCAGATAGATGCTGCAATAAACTCTGGAAACTCTGGTGGGCCTGCCTTTAATGATAAAGGAAAATGTGTGGGTATCGCATTTCAGTCTCTTAAACATGAGGATGTGGAAAATATAGGTTACGTCATACCAACACCAGTTATTATGCACTTCATTCAAGATTATGAGAAGAATGGGGAATATACAGGTTTGTTATAGATTTTACTTCATTAAAGCAAGACAAGCCGCAACAGAAACCTCCTTAACTGTAATTGTTGTTATTTGTATGTTGCCCTTCCAGCAAATGCGCCTGGCAGTCCAGTGGGGCCACATTGAACATTGGCTTATGATTCGGTGTTGGTGATTGAAATTATTCTCCTCTTCTTACTTTGAATCTGGCTGTTAATTGCCTTACAGGGTTCCCAGTTATTGGAGTTGAATGGCAGAAGATGGAAAATCCTGATCTGCGCACGTCAATAGGGATGAGAACTGATCAAAAGGGTGTGCGTATCAGAAGAATTGAACCTACAGCTCCAGAATCACATGTTCTGAAGCCATCTGATATTATTCTTAGCTTTGATGGGGTTAACATTGCAAATGATGGCACGGGTAAACTCTCCCCCCCTTCCATTTGTAGCATTCCATCTAAGGACAGAATCCTGTTACTATTCCTTTTCATCTTATGCACTTTTCAGAGAAGTTGAATTTTTAATTTGCATAAGCTTCTGTATATTCGATATTTAACACTCTTTGGTATCAATTTTATAGTTCCATTCAGGCATGGAGAGCGCATAGGTTTCAGTTACCTTGTGTCTCAAAAGTATACTGGTGATAATGCTCTAGTAAAAGTTCTTCGTAACTCAGAGATACTTGAATACAACATAAAACTTTCAACTCACAAACGACTCATCCCGGCACACATCAACGGCAAACCTCCTTCATATTATATCATTGCTGGTTTTGTTTTTGCAGCGGTATCTGTTCCATATCTGCGTTCTGAGGTGCGACCTTAATTTCATACTTCATACGCTCTCTTGCTCTTTCTGTCTCTCTCATATACATGTAGATATGCAGATGTGTGGTTCCTAGGAATCAGGGTGGGGTTTACTTTTTCACGCATAATAATGCCAGCCTTAATGTTTGGCCGGCGAGAACTGGTGGTACTAAAGGGCCCCTTAGTACAAGTTATGCTAGAGTGGTGTGCCCAATGGCACCTCCAAGCTTAATTAAGAAAATGAAGATGGATGATTTTAAGTTTGGTCTATAAAAGCAAACTTTCCATTACTATGTTTCCAAATCTTAACCTCTGTTTTTCATTACTTTTCAGTATGGAAAGGATTATGAATTTGACGCTCCAGTGAAACTGTTGGACAAGCATTTACATTCAATGGCGCAGTCTATCGATGAACAGCTTGTTGTTGTTTCTCAGGTTTCCCTCTCTCATCTATTTTTCTCATGCTTTTCTGTTTTAGACTAAGTTCTCTTCACTCTGCAATCATGGCTTACATTTATTCAAAATTCTTGTAGGTACTTGTTGCCGACATTAATATTGGATATGAGGACATTGTTAACACTCAGGTTAGAGATATGTTACACGACTTGGGTTTTTTTGCTTTGCTTCATTTGAGTTTTCATTTATTTTTAGTTCATAAAATATCTGAAGTTGTTCCTTTTTATTTTATCTTTTCCTTTCTCGTTCTTTCGTGTTTGTGATTCAACAAATGACAATGAGATAAAATTTCTGAAGTTACGTTGGTAGTGCTGTAGTGCACTTATTCTAATATTTTGTGTTCTGTTTAGGTTCTCGCTTTTAATGGTAAACCTGTGAATAATCTGAAGAAGTTGGCCAGCATGGTGGAGAATTGTGACGACGAGTACCTAAAGTTTGACCTAGAGTACGATCAGGTTCATTCTCCCTCCCTCTATGTTTAGCAGACACTGGTGCAGCATGTATGCATGCTCGGCATTTTTGTTTTAATGGCCGAAATGCTTGCTTGTGGGTGCAGATGGTTGTACTACAGACAAAAACTGCCAAGGCAGCAACTTTAGATATCCTCCTGACACATTGCATACCTTCAGCAATGTCTGATGACCTTAAGTCTTAAGACTCGAGAGAAGATCCTATTCCATAGATGAACTTGACAACGAATGCTCAAAAAGGGAACGGGGTATAGACTACGCCACGGATTTCATTTTCTTATGGAGAATAAGAATAGAATCTGGCAATTCGTGGGTTCTTTCCGTTTCTTTGTGTACCAATTAGACCCTCAGTTGGGGTTGGCAGCGAGGAAATGAAGTTTGGTTCTCCTAGAATGAGCAGCGTCTGATGATCTTACTTGTTTGTCGATTTCATTTCTTCCAGCTACAAACATTTGGGCAATATAATGTAACATTATTACCGGCTGATCCATTTGAGAAAATTATAGAAGTTGAGCTGTACATTTCCCTGTCCCTAGGGTCATTTATGTATTTGCTGTGCTCTTTTTCACTTTATTTTCATTTCATTCCTAAAATTTTCCCACATAATTATATAAATATGACTCAATCATATGATCATATGAGTAGTGTTTTGGCGGACGTAGGTTAGACTAGTTGACCACAACAATGTGCACATTGTCTTGCATCTAAGGTCAAATCCCTCTCCCCCATCTGGATTGCACAAATAACATTAAAAATGTTTAATAATACAACCCATTACATCGAATCCAGCCCAACCCAACTGGATTCACACCTTAAATAGTTTATAATAACAAAGGCCCAAGTCTGAACTCTCTCATCACCGTGTGAAGTGTGAACACTAGCTAAAAAGTTCCCGTCCCGTTCGTTTCTTGTCTTCTACTCCTCAACCTCTGGTTAGTTAGTTACCGCGCAGGTTCCAGGAAGCCACCTTTGACTCTGTATGAGTCTCCGGTCGGTCTGAAAATCCAGTTTTCTATTTTTTTAAATGACGACTGACTCAACGACCCCTTTTCTACGCCTTCATTATTATAAAAAGAGAAAAAAGAAATCCAAAATTCAAAAACCCACATTTCTTACAATTGTACCAATACCAAATACCCACCACCACCATGTACCTCCAATACATAAATCCCACCAGCGCAGCCACTATTAACGACGCCGTTTCCGTCCCTTCAACCGAGCCCAATAATATAGCGGCTCCCAGACTTGTGGACCAAAACGGCGACTGTGGGCACCCCTTGGCTGTCGTTTCGCAGCCACCACCGGAGGTGCCGAGGTGGGAGAGCGCTCCGAGAGTGGTCCCGTCCATGGACGCCGTGGTGAAGGTGTTTTGCGTGCACACGGCGCCCAATTTCTCGTTGCCTTGGCAGAGGAAGAAGCAGTACAGTTCCAGCAGTAGTGGGTTTGTGATAGGGGGCAGAAGGGTTTTGACTAATGCGCATTCTGTGGATCATCATACTCAGGTTAAGCTCAAGAAACGCGGCTCTGATACCAAGTACTTGGCCACTGTCCTAGCCATTGGAACCGAGTGTGATATTGGTATGCAACATTTTTAATTTTTAATATTAATTTCGCTTCTTTTATTTGCTGCTAACATTTGGGTTTTTATTGGTTCGTTGTAAAATTCATGAATTATGTTAAAGTTTGTTGCTTTTTTTGTTTTTGTTTTTCCATTTATTGGTGATGGTTCAGCGATGCTTACTGTGAGTGATGATGAGTTCTGGGAAGGGATTTCACCTGTGAAGTTTGGATGTTTGCCTGCACTCCAAGATGCTGTGACTGTTGTTGGGTACCCAATTGGGGGTGACACAATCTCTGTGACTAGTGGTGTTGTGTCACGCATGGAGATACTGTCTTATGTTCACGGCTCCACTGAGCTTCTGGGAATGCAGGTGGGATATATTATTTGCCTTTTAGTATCTTACCATGAAACTATAAACCACTTGATTTTGAGTCTTACCGTGTTTTCGTGGGTCCTTTCTCCTTGAGATGCTTTTTTGCAGATAGATGCTGCAATCAACTCTGGAAACTCTGGTGGACCTGCCTTTAATGATAAGGGAAAATGCGTGGGCATTGCATTTCAGTCCCTTAAACATGAAGATGCGGAAAATATAGGCTATGTCATACCCATACCGGTTATTATGCACTTCATTGAGGATTATGAGAAGAATGGCGCATATACAGGCTTCCCAATTCTTGGAATTGAGTGGCAAAAAATGGAAAATCCTGATCTTCGCATGTCAATGGGGATGGGACCTGATCAAAAGGGTGTGCGTATTAGAAGAATAGAACCTACATCTCCAGAATCTCAACTGCTGAAGCCATCTGATGTTATTCTTAGCTTTGATGGGGTTAACATTGCTAATGATGGCACAGGTAAACCTTTTATGATTTTGAAAGATTTCTGTTCCCTTTTCAAGTCACTTTTGCGTTCATGTGTGTGTTGGTATGTTGCATTCTTTATAGAAGAGTGGCATTTGAACATTCACAAATGAAGTGTGACATATGGTATTTGGACTGTAATTTATAGCATTCTTTCAAAGAACACATACTCGTTATTACTGTTATTATAACAGTATATGTCTAAATACTAGAAACTTCTTTATATTAAGTATTCACACCATTTTTTGTATCAATTTTCTAGTTCCATTCAGGCATGGAGAGCGCATAGGTTTCAGTTACCTTGTCTCTCAAAAATACATTGGTGATAATGCTGTAGTAAAAGTTCTTCGTAACTCAGAGACACTTGAATTCAACATTAAACTTGCAAAACACAAGGAACTCATCCCCTCACACATTGAGGGAAAACGTCCTTCCTATTATATCATTGCTGGATTTGTTTTCACAGCTGTTTCTCTTCCATATCTGCGTTCTGAGGTGTGCCCCCTCTCTCTCTCTCTCTCTCTCTCTCTCTCTCTCTCTCTCTCTCTCTCTCTCTCTGTATGACTGATATCTATGCCTATTAGTTTCTGCTCTCGTTGTATAATTATAAAATAAATATATTAGATTTCAGTACAATGTTTCTAAATGCTAACCTTGGGGTTTTCATTCATTTCCAGTTTGGAAATCTATTTGACGTTCCAATCAAACTGTTGGACAAGCATTTACATGCAATGGCACAGTCTATTGATGAACAGCTTGTTGTTGTTTCTCAGGTTTCTCTCTCTCATTCTATCTTTCCATGTTTTTCTGTATTAGTATAAGTTCTTGTTACCCTTCTTTTATGTCTTACATTGTTCAAAATTGTGCTAGGTACTTGTTGCTGACATTAACATTGGATATGAGGACATCGTTAACAATCAGGTCAGGAACTAAGCTTTTCTTTTCCCTTTCTTTATGAGATGCAGCAAATGATGTGAGGAAAAATTGGTGAAATAAGATTCAATGAACTTGTGAAAATTATTCTGCTATCTGTGCAGGTTCTTACTTTCAATGGTATGCCTGTGAAGAATCTGAAGAGCTTGGCCAGAATGGTTGAGAATTGTGATGACGAGTACCTAAAGTTTGGCTTGGAATACAATCAGGTTCTTTCTCTGTTTCTTTCTCTCATGCACACATATGCATGGATTATGCATGCATGCTCTGCAATTTTCTTTCGATGGCTGAATTGCGTACTTCCTGTGCAGATGGTTGTTCTACAGACGAAAATTGCCAGGGCAGCAACACTGGATATCCTCATGACACATTGCATATCTTCGGCCGTGTCTGATGATCTTATGACTAAAGAGAATACTTCAGAGGAAGTACAGTTGACACTTGATGACCCTAAGACTAGCGATACGATTTTAGAGGAAGTACAAGAGACTAAGGAAATTTTTTAAGAGGAAGTACAGAAGACCTCTTCTCCTTTAGCCAGCGACATAGATGAATTCTAGAATGCTCTTACAGGAAACCAAGTATGATGAATTCTAGAATGCTCTTACAGGAAACCAAGTATAACACTTGTCCCAACCAAATTTCAGAGTCATCATTATGGGATACGCTTTTATTTTTTTTTTAGTCATAGATTATGTGATAGTAAGGGCAAAAGGAAATAATGTCACTTGTACAAGAGCATAGTTTGGGATTGTAAAAACATATTCTTCATATGAAATCAATTTGATGCAAGTTTTATGGCCTCAAGTTTCAGGGTCTTGGATGACCTTGTAGAATTGGATTTCTAGCTGAGTGTTAAGTCCACCCTATCCAAATGAGGTAAGTCTCAAATCTCATTATTACCCCTCATGAGTGTCATGCATCCATTACAGAACAGACATTTGAGTTACATGCCGGGAACAACCCGCAGAACAGAGCAATGCGAAATACACTTAATTACATGCGTTAAACAGATTTTTTTGCAATAATTCACAATTTCCAACACTGCATTAGGGTTCTGCTTGCAAGAATTCAATCTCCCAAAACCTTATTTCAACATCCTTTCGGAAAAACCCATAAAATTCCCAAGGGCTCGTGAAGTTCAAGGGATCAAGTCCACTTTTGTGTCATTCTTCAACATTGATTGAGGCATTAAGTTTTGGTTCTTAGAAATACTGTGTCTGTTGAGAAGGCGGGCTTTTGCCGCATGGGGATTTACAACATCTGCAATGCATGATGTTCTCCAACCAGAACTAATCATATTCAACAGTTCTAGTAAGCAAATAGGCGTTGAACATCTTGTATCTGACTTTCACTTATATTTACATGTGCAAATGTTTGATCTACTACATCTTGTCGTTTTCAATATACTTTTGCAATAATGGGGCCTTGTGGGCAGATGGGGCTTCCAGGCTATCAGCTACAGAGTCTTCAACAGCCTCTTCCTTTGCTTTTCCCCACAGCACCGTATAAAACCCGATCGATATTATTGTTGCTCCAACTAGGCTGCAAAATGCAGAAAATTTAAACAGTGACCAGATGGAGGAGAAGGACTTGCATGTCACGGGAATAGCACTGTTTTGCTATCCCCATTCAATCACGGGGAGAAGCCGAAGCATAAAATTAAGGGAAGAGATTAGTTATGTTATCAAACCTTCCAAGATGAAGAGTGTCATCAAGGAAGATGACACCCATGGCAACAGCAATGGCCATTGACAAAGGCTTGAACATTGTCACATAGACAGGTCCCTTCAAGCGCAAGGCCCATGTGTGCACAGTATTGCTCAAAAATGACCCAAATAGCCCCTAAACAAAGAGAGGAAAAAAAAGAAGCAGCAATATTTAGATAGGCGCTGTTTATATGCAATAATACAACATAAACAAACTATTGCTCAGTATAGTCTGTTAATTTCTTACAGAGCACAAAATGGAGACCAATGCAACATTTGGTCTCAACTTCCAAGCACTGGAATTTGGTTCTGTAATCAGAGCAACAACGCCAGCTACGACGCCCACGCATACATTGTAGAAAAAAATTACAGTTAATTCGTTCGGGTACTCTTTCATAATTTGTGCCTGTAAAAGTTTTTATCACTTCGGAAATAAGGCTTACAATATTCAGAAAAAAACAGAGACAAAAACAGCTGAAGAATTGCATAATTTACCTGAACAATGTACCACAGTGGTACCAATATATATTCAGCTGTTAGCAGAAGGCCACCAAGTACCCAGTTTGAGTTTGTTGGTGGTGTTGAGTTTAGAATAGGTTGGTGAAGTGAAATTGACGGTGATTGATGAGGAAACACAATTGGTGGGCCCTTATAGAGAGTTACCACAAATGCACCTGCAAGTGAAACTATTGTACCCAAGATTTTGGCTTGACTGCTTCTGCTTCTCAAAGCTGCACTTTCCATCCTGTTTTTTTTTGGGTGGGTAGACAAGAGAGAGAATAATCAAAGTTAGTTTTTGCTTTTTTACCATAACAGCAAACCAGCAACAGTTATTTATTTACTTATTTATTTATCTCATGCTGAGTCTGGGCCCACTGCCACTCGCAGTCATAGCAAGAAAACAGAGGAGTAAAAGTACAATAGAGCCCACAGGTGGGCACACACACACACCCACCCACCTCTCTTTCTCTTGTCCTAATTCAAAAGCAACTGACTAATTTCACCGGTCTCTTGACCCTTTTCCAGAAAGCGACACCATTATTTAGGCCATTGGATTTTTATCACTTGAGGGTATTATGGTAAGTGTGGATGATCATGAAAGAGGGAAAGAACCTGAAAATGATGGCAAGAATGAAAGTAAAAGCAGGCACAAGGTTGCTGATGGCTGAAGCAAGAGTTGGAGAGCTGAAATTGATGCCTGTGTACCCCATGATCTGAGATGAACTCCTGCCCATATGCAGTCCAAGAAGCCCAATTAGTATCAAATCATTAAATTAATTAATTATTATTATTGAAAATGAAGATATATGTATGATTGTACCCTATAATCCCAAGAAGAAGAACTTTAGACATTATGGAGAAGTTGAGGGGAGGAAGCACCCTTGATCTGCAGATTAAGAAATCAGATATGCATGTTACAAAAGATGAAGACTTTGTTAATTTTTTATCAATTGTTTTGTTAAAGTAATGAACTTTGATGAATCTATATGAGATTTCAGAGAGAGAGAGAGAGAGAGAGAGACCTGTTAGAGATGAAGGGTGCTGGAAGGAGAAAAAGAGCAGCTACAGAGTAAGAATAGACAACAAAGACATGGTAGCTCATTCCTCTCAAAGTGGCTGCTTTGAAGAGAGTGTTTAAACCCACGTTCGCGCACTCCATAGTGACCATGGCCATGAATGGCAAGGCATCCCTGTAACAAGACCTCCCTGCCATCTCTGCTCTCTCTCTCCTGCACACTCCACTTATTAGAAACAGAGATGGTAAAGTTAAACAAATGGGTCTCTGAGATCACAAAGCAGCATCCTTCTGCTTATGGACGAAATAAAGACAAGAGGGAGAGTGACGGTTCGATAACGATATGAAATGTGGTATGATTATTGGCCCGTTAAGGTTCTCTTTTTCCTAACTAAATATTTTTTTTTCAAACAAAAACCTAAGTGACACGGCTCTTCGGTCACACTACTATCTAGGTGGGGCAAATAATAGCATATTCATTGCGTATTACTATAGAAGATTGCCAAAATGTATTTATTATTATTATTGGAGTCCACATAAATTATGACGCAAGCAAAGTTAGATGACTAGTATGAAAGGCATCTACTGTATAATAATTTAGGATGTCAATTTTCAATAATGCATGGTGCATCATTTCTTAGTTTCAGAATGGAGAATATGGCGAGTAGCGTGCTGCTTTGAACTTTTGTGATATTTCCCTTCGTTTTTTTTAGGTCTTGGTGCTTTCTTTGATTATCAGATACAAAAAATTTCATTTCATTTTTGCAGGATAAATTGGTCTGCAATCAGCGAGGGAACCCGTATATTTATATTGGCTCGTTAAGCTTTAGCTTATTGATGAGTCGATGTATTTTGGTAGATGTGGCTGAGTCAAACGCTACCAGAAAAAGTCGACTCATATATAAAGCTAAAGCTTATGACACTAAAAACGTTATGTGCACATTTGACAGCAGTTGTACGTAGATAGGAGGGCACATAAGGTTTAATTGTATTCATCTCTGTACACTGTACACAATTTTCTTTTACATATTTTCAACTTTGTGGCTTTCCAGCAAAGGGGTTTTTCCAATAGCAATAGGTAAGGCTCTCGAGCTTTCAAAGCGGAAGTCTTCACTCATTTCGTCTTCCTTTGCTTTACCCCATATCACAGCATAAAAGCCCACGGAAAGTATTATAGCTCCAACAACACTGCAAAATAAGCAACACAATAAACACAGGACACATAGAAGCAGCAAAGCCTGGTTGCTTCTTTCTTCTTGAAGTTGATTAAACAAGGAGAGACGAGAGAGAGAAAGAGAGAGACCTCCCAAGAGAGAGGGCATCACCAAGGAATATGACACTGAAAGCAGCAGCAATGGCAATTGACAATGGCTTGAAGATTGATATAAACACAGGCCCCTTCAAGTGCAGGCCCCATGTGTGCACAAGGGAGCCAAAAGACGAGCCAAGGCATCCCTGTAGAAACAAGGACATCTTGATAATTATACATCACCGGCAGCAGCACATGCTCTATTGATTTCATAGTTTTTTCACTTTCTTACCGAGCATATAATGGCGACCAATGCTATGCCAGGCCTTAGTCTCCAGGCACTCAAGTTTGTTTCTGCAATTAAACATACTGGAGCCGATATAATTGTCCCACACAAGTTGAATAAGAATACCAAAACTATCTCTGCCGGGTACATCTTCATGACATGGGTCTATAACAGAATGATCAAAACCATTTAGACAATCGTTTTCTAAACACCTATATTCTACACCTTCTGAGAATTAGAACTCTTTCTATGAAAAAAGAAGAAGAAATTATGCAATGGGCTTGTGGGAAATATGTGTACCTGAAGGATATACCAGGTTGAGGACAGAAGGTACTGAACAGCGAGTAGTAGCCCTCCAATAACCCAATTTTTTTCTGATGTGCCTAAAACTGCAGATGGAGGGGATAAAACTGTAGATGGAGTGGATAAAATTGGAAGGCCCTTGTAAAGAACCACTACCAGTGCACCTGATATTGATACCAAAGTGCCCATGATTTTGGCTTGAGTGCTAGAGCTTCTCAAGGCTAGCTTTTCCATCCTTTATAAATAAAAAAAATAAAAAACCAGCCAGTAATGTCATTTAGACATCAGCATCATACATAACATAACCAGCCAATCATATTATTAGCTCACAAGAAATCAAAAGGACCCATCTTTGAAAATTTTACTCTGGAGAATAAAATATCTGTCCTGTTGAAGATATTTGTAATAGAAATAGGGTCCATAGGTGCAGGAATTAAAAGAAAAATGGGCGAAAAGACAGATGGAACCTGAAGAAGACGGCAAGGATGAAGGTAAACGCTGGAGTGAGGTTGCTCATGGCTGAAGATAGAGTTGGTGAGCTGTAATTTAGACCTTTATATCCACAAATATCAGCCAAAAACCTGCTTGATCAAACATAAGCAATTTATATGTAAGAAAAACAGGTTTTTTATTTTTGTATAAATAACAAAATGAATCAAAATACCCAATCAGTCCGAGGAGGAAAACTTTGGAGAGCAGAGAGAGGTTGAATGAAGGAAGCCCTGTTCTGTAATCAGATTGGAAAAAAACGAAATGAATTAATTGGTACACGTTATTTGTTGGATGATATACAAAACTTGACAAGTCGGTCTGGTAAGAGATTGAAGACCTGCGAAAGATGAAAAACAGAGGGAGGAGAACCAGAGTGGCAATTGCATTAGAGTAGACGATGAAGACATAGTAGCTTAGCCCTTTTGAGGTGGCTGCTTTGAATAAGACGTTTAGGCCCACGTTGGTGCACTCCACTGTCACCATGGCTGCGACTGGCAGAGCATCTTGGTGAATAAACCTCCATGCCATCTCCCTCCCTCTCTCTCTCTCTCTCTCTCTCTCTCTCAAACCATTACCATCATGCTCTATATAACATAAGTTTGCTCAAAGAAAACCCCGCCAAAATTCAAGTTTCTCTCTCTCTCTCTCTCTGGGGTTGATCCTGATTATGGGTTAGTGTTTCCCATGGGATTTTGATGTCTTGATGACCATTTGGTTAGATTTTGGAACATTGGAATTTGCAATTGGTAGGGTTCAGATGAGAGTCGTTGAGAAAGAGAGAAGGGGAGAGAGAAAATGGTGGCTGTGGTTGTTTTGATGGGGCGGCGGGAGTTTGGGAATGGAGAGCTGCCGACAGAGAAGAAAGGCGGAGAAGGGGGTGTGGGTCTTTTACTTATTTAAATCTGCTTATACACTTTTTGTTTTTCTAATTTTTATTTTATTTTATATTGAATTTTAACATTTTAAAGTAATAATACCTAACATAACAAAAAAAGAAGTAATAATACCTAATTCCATGGTAATTTGGAAATTTTCATAGGAGATTCTACTAAAATTTCGGGAGGAATTTTACTTTTCCGAAAATCTGCTTAAAAGTTAGCCCACACTATTTTTGAATCCTAAGTCCATGCCTGATGCTAACAAAATCTTGTCATTACATATAATTAATATAGGCAATTTACATACACATTCTTATGACTTTCACTTTTGCTGCTCCAGTTTCCAGACATTAGCCTCTTCATACTTGATTGATACTGCTACTTTGCAACAGAGGAGTGGTCTGGGTGGATGGTTCCAATATTTGAGCTCCATTGTCAAGAGCCATCCTCTTTTCTTTGATTTGTGCACATATCACGGTATAAAATCCAAGCGCAATCACAAAAGATCCAATCACACTGCACAATAACTAAATCAATCAATAAACAGGAGGATTGCTTTTCTGTAAACTTGAACTCTATAGGCTATTAGGCTCAGTAAATTGGTTCAGATGCATTTTTGCATGCAAAGAGACGCATATTATTTGCATAACCCTCTGGTAGAAGTTTTTCTACCACATACCTGCCAAGATAAAGAGCGTCGCCAAGGAAAAGAACCACCATGGCCACTGCAATAGCAATTCCTAAGGGCTTAAACATGGCTACATAAACAGGACCCTTCTTGTGCAAGCACCAGACATGAACACCAATGCGGAAGACACTCACAAAGAATGCCTATGATGAAACGAAGATCATATTAGTTCCTCAATCAATAAACATTTTGTTTAACACATAAAAAAGTAGTAGTTTTTTTGGTTTTTCGCACCGCGTACACAATAGCAATCATCTCAATGCCAGGCTTCAATTTCCATGCATTTGGGTTCCTTTCCACAATTAAGGAGATAACTGAGCATTGACAGGTCAAAAAGAGGGTGTAGAAGAAGACTATGGTCATTTCCTCAGGGTAATCCTTAACAGCCGCTGCCTGAAAGTATAAGTTCATCACCATGTCACAAGAAAATTCTATCTCATAAAAAGAAGTATAAAGTAACAAGACATAGTCAAAATCATGATACCAAAGTAAGAGGATCAGTTGTGAGACTTTATTTTACCTGCGCAATGTTCCATGTCGAAGATACGAGGCATTGAATTGCAAGTAGAAGTCCTCCAAAGATCCAGTTTGATCGTTGTGAGAGGAGAGGCTGATGATGTTGCTGTGAGAGGCGAGGCTGATGATGAGTCAAGCCAGAAGGTGAGGAAGAAGGCTTCAAAAGAGCAGGGCCCTTGTAGAGGGTCACTATCAATGCCCCTAACACTGATACAATGGTGCCCAAGGATTTGGCATGACTGGTTGGTTTTCTCAAATCTAGCTTTTCCATCCTAAAGTTGAAAGTCTTTCTTAGTCAAAATTAAACCATCATAGAATAGAAGTATAAAATTGATGAACTAAAAAAATGGTTTTACTTCTGTGAGGAAAACAAAAAATCAAATTTTTTTTCTGTGTAACATTACAAATTAACCTGCACCCCACTACCTGAAAATTATGGCAAACAAGAAAGTGAATATAGGGGTAAGATTTGCCATTGCTGCTGCAAGAGTAGGTGAGCTGCTTTTGACACCAGCAAAGAACAAAATTTTCCCTGAACTCCTGCAGTTACAATTTCTCCATCGTTTATATGTTTGCATGAATTGTTTCAATAAGAAATTTAAGATCTGTGTGTGTTGAGAGAGCAATAAGTGTAAGTGTCCAGGTTACCCTATTAGGCCAAGGAGGAAGAATCTGCAAATGAGTTTGAAACTCAAAGGAGCTCGTTTGTTTCTGCACAAGGGAACAATCAAACTTCAAACGTTACATTGAAATAAACACTCCCCCAATAACAAAATACAAATAAAATCAGCAATAGTTAGAGAAAAAAATATTTAAAAGAAAGGATAGATCATAGATACCTTTGGAAGATGAAATATGGGAGAAGCATGAGGGTACCAAGGGCATTGTAGTAGACAATGAAGACAAAGTGGCTCATCCCTCTTGACATGGCCACTTTGCTTATGGTTGATACTCCAACTTCTGCGCACTCAACCATTACCATGGCAGCAAATGGTAAGGCGCTTCGCCATGCACGAAATTCCAATACCATCTCTACTCTCTCCACGGTCACAGAAATCGGAAAACTCCTTGTTCCTTTTTTTCTTTCCTCTAAAGAATAAGTAGCCGAGAGAAACAGAAGTTGGACTGACTTGTTCTCTGTCACTTTAATTTGATCATTAAGATATACACTAGCAAGTCCAACCATCTACATATATAATGAACTTATTACAGAAAGCAATTGCTAAAGTTCCTTTCATATTAGGTAATCCAAGTTCATTAGTTTACATACAACAAATGTGTCATTTTCAAAGACAAGCAGAACCAACTAATGCATCAAAAAATAAAGGTTGATGACATATGCTCTCGTGGCATGCTTCAGGCATTATTATCATTTTTCTCAACTTCGAAACGGCCAAATGTTAATTTTTTTTTAAAAAGGGAAATAATAAGTAATGATATACATCTTCAAGTTCATTAGTTTTAGGTACTTATTTAATGATTTCAGTAACCGAGTCAAGAAATGATTGTGATGGCTTATCCTCATCTTAGAGCATCTCCAACCGATGTGTCAAACGTGCTACATAGACATTTAACAGCTATAAATAATATCTCATATCACTCCAACCGATGTGTCAAAGCTGATGTGGAATGAAGGCTGGAGGTTGAGATGTTATTTTTGACATCCCAAAAGCAAGATGTCAAATGAATATTTTATTATTTTTTCTTTTCTTTTCTTTTTAACTAAAAATGAATCAACACTAAAATGTAATAAAATAATAATTTAATTTGACTTATCGGGTGGAGTGTAAAGTTGTGTAAGATGTCAAATTGCCACATCAGCCATCAAATTTAAATTTGATGTTTGGTATTTGATATCTCCCTTGGAGATACTCTTAGAGCATCTCCAACCAATGTCAAAAGTGCCACATAGATATTTAACGGTTATAAATAACATCTCACATCACTCCAATCGAATTGTCAAAGCTGATATGGAATGAAGACTAGAGATTCAGCTATTATTTTTGACATCCTAAAAGCAAGATGTCAAATGAATATTTTATTATTTTTTAAAGACAACTGGTTGTAACTTTCATTTATTATTTTCCTTTTTTTTTTCTTCTTTATCTTAAATGATTTGACTATTACAATAATTATTTATTTGACATATCGGGTGGAGTAAAAAACTATGTAAATGTCAAATTGCCACATCAGCCATCAAATTTAAATTTGATGTTTGGTATTTAACATCTCCCTTGGAGATGCTCTTAGCATCTCTAACCAATATGTCAAATTGCCACATGGACATGAAGTGACAAAAATTGAAGTTTAAAATTGCTCAAACCGAGTAGTCAAATCCTACATGGATTTGAAAGCTATAAGAGATATGTCAAAAATAACATATCAAAAAGCTTGATGTCAAATATTATTTTAATATTTTTTAGTCATGGACTCCACTATCATTTGCTCTCTTTTAAAATCTTAGAGTGTTGCTAAATGAACTCTAAAATTAACTGACTACATCCTATTACCAAACTACTTATTAAATTACTAATATGCCCTAATATGACAAAAAAGGATATATTAAATTATGAAACAAATGTAATTTTAATAAGTACACCCTACTTACTATATTCAACCCTAATCAAACGTAAGCAAAAAATCATACTTCCAAAAACCTTAATATTAACTCCAACAATTTATTTCATTGTTATTTATTAATTCATTTATGCAAACAAGTCTCATGGATGCTTCAGACATGTCGAGGGAGTCATCAAAAGAGGTATTAATTTTGGTTTTTTTGGTTTAGGTTGAAAGAAAATTTATATTTATATTTGTCAGATTGTGAAACCCAAAAAGCTCATGCGCATACCTTTCAACTTGGTACTTCAGATGCATTCTTCCATCCATGCCAATTGTTTGACGAAACGCTTGACTTGAGCGTGGTATTAGCCACAACAATAATAGAGGCAGCTTTGCTTAGCATCACCATCATGAAGAAGCTATTTATCTCTTTTCAAGAATGCTTGTTTCGAATATCAGACCCAACGAATTCACATTTGGCACTGTCATTCACTCGTCAACTGCACTTGGAGACCTAAACATAGGCAAGCAACAACTTCATGCATGTGCAACAAAGATAGGTTTGCATTCGAATGTCTTTGTGGGAAGTGCAATTTTGAATCTTTATGCCAAGTTGAGCATTACCCAGGATGCTAAGAACCATCACCAAGTGAATGAAATTTTATACGCATTCGAATTTCTTTGTTACATTTTGATTTAAATATTAGGGTGTACTTAAATCATAAGGTGTACTCAGTTAATTTTAGGGTTCGTTTAGCAGCATTCAAATTTTATGCATTATGTGTGCCCAATTTGTTTTTTAAATGTAATAAAAAATATGATATTTGGCATTTCTAGTGGAGATTTTGGGAGTTTTACTAAAACACCCAAAATGGGGGCTGAAATTATAAAAAAACCCAACACCCAAAACACTTTATAAACACACCCAAAAACCATCATTACACACACTCAAAACCTATTTATAAACACACCCAAAAAATATACAATTGTTGATTTTGCGTGTGTTTCTATATTTAAATAGTGCTTGGATTTTTTTATAAATACATGTTTAGGATTAGGTTTATTTATAAATTTGTATTAAATTTTTTTCCAAAATGTCAAATTACCACATAAATCATCAAATTCAAATTTAACATTTTCCATCTCATATCTCATGTAAGATAAATTGCAAGATAATGGCAGAGCAATCTGCAAGTCTTCTATATCCGCAGTGGCACGCAAACCGATTACAATACGCCATTATTATTTGAGCTGCATACATCATCTGTGATCAACTGTACATCACCTATGTATGAAGGAATTTATAGTTTCTAGATATTTTACAACAATCAATCACAGTTTTTTTTTTGTTGCTACAAAATGTCACAAGTCTGCTCTCCAGAGGTTTGGTGGTGGTCGTCGCGGGTGGAGCCCTGGTGGTGGTGGTCTGTCGTGACTCGTGAGAGATAGATAGATAGAGAAGGAGCCGACGGCTCAGAGGAGAGGAGAGAGAGGCAGCGTGAGTTTTTATTTAAAGGGAAAAAAAAAAAGAAAAAAAAAAAAAAAAAAAAAAGTCCCGACCCGCCCAGGCCGCCTAGGCGGGCGCCTAGCGCCTAGGCCGATTTTTCGAACGCTAAGCTTCACGTATGAACACCGACAAGAAAGATACTCCCAAATATAGCCTGAACAATCAAGAGCAGTGTATCAATCGTAAACATGAGACACTGAAATAGCAACATTTTCAAGGATGAAGTTTATAGTTCTTCTCACTGCACAGATAATGGCGATCATCTTTCATTGTGATCTCCACAGTGATTTAAGAAAATACAGTTTAATGAGAAGGATATAGTTCATTTATAATTATAGCTCCTCCTCCTCTTGCTTATCCGATCCATGACTGAAATATTTGCATGTTTCTTTGTCATATATTTTCTGAGGTTCTGCACTGCAAAAGAGGGGTCTGTTGGGTGGATGATGCCAAGCTGTGGACTTCATTCTCCATCACAATGCTCTTTTCTTTGATTTGTCCCCACATCATAGCATAGAATCCAATTGCAACAATGACAGATCCAATCACACTGCCGTAGACGTAAATATCAATCAAACTGGAAGGAAATTCAATCAAGTTTTCAATCTACTTAACTAGTAATACATGTCATGTCTTTTGATGGATTGACCATACAAATGCGTAGTGTATGTGGAATATGTTGAGTTGAATGTAATGACTTGGATATAAATAAAACCTGCCAAGGTGAAGTGCTTCGCCTAGGAAGATGACCACCATGACTGCTGCAATGGCAACTCCCAAGGGCCTGAACATGGCTACAAAGATAGGCCCTTTTTGGTGCAAGCACCACGTATGAACACCAATCCGAAAGACACTCCCAAATACAGCCTAAAAATATCTAGATCAGTACATATCAATTTATAATCACCGTGAATAAAATGGCATCAAAGAGACTGAAATAGCAACATAATCCAAGATTTATAGCTCATCTCACTGAGCAGACAATGGCGATCATCTCGATGTTGGGCCTTAATGTCCAGGAATTTGGATTTCTTTCCACAATCAGTGAAAATATTGTGCATTGGATTGTCACAAAGAAGGTGTAGAAGAATACTATGGTCACCTTTGATGGACAGTTGTTAACAATGGATGCCTGACAGATAGAGAGGGAAAAACTCAAGGTCAGGGTTCCCTATATGGGAGTTTGCTAGTTTGCAAGTGAAATTTCCATCTCTAAATGACTGAAAAGGTACCTGAACAATGTTCCATATTGCAGCCAAAAGGCAAGACAATGCAAGGAAAAGACCTCCAAAGATCCACTTTGTGTTTTGTGAGATGATCAAGTTCTGGTGGGGAGGGAAGTTGGATGGTGATAAAGCCTTGAACTTTAAGATTGCTGAGCCCTTGTAAAGAATTACTACAAATGCCCCAGATACTGATACTATAGTTCCCAACAATTTTGCTTGACTGCTTGATCTCCATAAGTCTAGTTTTTCCATCCTAGTTTAGAAAAAATTCCAAGGAAAAATGCAATTAGGAAGTGTTGAAATTAATGCATATTTGTAGAAAAATCTAGAAGCCTGAAGAAAAGGAATGTCGGCTCACACAACTAAAGTTTGAAGAAAGTTCCAGAACAACCAACAAAGCATGCAGCAATGAATTGTGAAGTTCACCAACTATGTCGGTTGAACATGTGGCTGGAAATAAAGAGCTCAAGTCGGTGGAGAAAGCATATGTCGGCTACTATCATCTATAAAAAGACTTGTAGCTAGCCTTCCCAAGCAAAGTGGAGTGAACCAATCAACTCCCAATCTATGTGGGAGCACAAAAGCTACCCAAACCAAGTCATATGGGGAGTGAAACAAAAGAACTCCCAAACTAAGGGAGCACAAAAGCTATCCAAACTATAAGGGAGCCAATAAGCTCACCAATCAAAGTGTAAGGGCCAAATAGCCCAAAACTAATCTAAATCAAGTGTGATGGCCAATAAGCTAATATGCTAAGTGTAGAAGGCCAATTAGCCTACACTAAACCATATTCTATTCTCCTCCAAATTTAATAAAATCACTTTGTTTTCCCCTCAATCTAAGAGGTAGCAAAACATATATGATCACTTGTCTAAAGCCTAAAATACCTATGTACCTGAAAATGATTGCCAGCACAAATGTGTAAATCGGTATAAGATTTCCCATTGCTGATGCAACTGTTGGGGAGCTGTAGTTGATGCCATTATATGCCAATATCAGACTTGAACTCCTGCAACAGCAATTTTTCTTCAGCCAAATGAGATAATTGAGGTGCTGAGATCAAGCATAAACACTAGACAGACACAATTAGCTGCTAATTAATGTTTTACCCAATTAGGCCAAGGAGGAAGAACCCAGAAAGGAGTGAGAGAGTAAGAGAAACCGGCTTCTTTCTGCAGAGTAAATGAAAGAATTTCATTACTTTACATGAAGGTATAAATAATCACTAGATTTACTTGATTAATTGCACAAAGGAAGGATAAGAAAGGGTGTGAGAATTACTGTCTATGCCCCTTACTGGAAAATGAAACAAGGAAGGAGAAGGAGGGTGGCTAGGGCATTAGAGTACACAACAAAAACATAAGTGCTCATTCCTCTGGACATTGCTGCTTTGGTTATAGTTGATACGCCCACATCTGCGAACTCCACCATTACCATGGCTGCAAAAGGTAACACACCCCACCACATACAACCACCCACCATATCCATGCTTCCCTGCTCGCTCTCTCTCTCTCTCTCTCTCTGAATTTGCAGACCACTCTTACTTATGTTGGTGAGATGTCCTAGTCGTGTATTAGGATATTTCTTTCTTATTATGTTAATATTTTATTTATTTCTTTTTTGTATAGATATTATGTAATTATGATTTTTTTTTAATTTCTTAGTATAATCATACTAAGATTTATAACCTTGTATTATAAATACCTCCCAGAGAATAAAATACATTTAAAAATATTATACCCATATTGCTTGACTAATTACTCACAAACAAGCATAGCATAGGAATATATGACCTAGAGGAAAAAGGTATTACTATTTTTTATAAGAAATATTTAAAATGTTGTCTATTTGCTACAAGAAGCAATTTTGGGGATTCCACAAGATAAATGAAGCAAATTCTTGATTAATTTAAGTTTTGTGAATATACAACAAGAAACATACATACAATACAAATGCAAATTCTTGATTAATTTAACTATCTACTACATAATAAAATCCACTAATCTCTTCAGTTTAATCAAATCAGAGTGATGCCATCATGATAGCACTAAAGCTATTAGAAAATAATTAAAATAAAAACTCTACTAGTTTTGATACAGACTATCAAACACATAGTCATACCTCCAAATTTCATTTTTATGATAGAGTTTCACTTATTTGAATGAGTTACGGGAAAAATATAATGTGGTATAAAAATGTGATTTGAATAATATATATTGTATCTATTTCTTCCTAAATCATTTTTAACTTATATTAAATAAATAAAATTTAAGGTTACTCCGCTTCAGTATATGAATATGACACGTCACGCGAACTCGCATTAGTGGCAGCTGCCCCCCAAATCTCAAACAATTCGCTCCAAAATGAAAATCTCAGACTCAACTACGCCTTCCATTTCCCAACCGCAAAACCCTAGACTCGTTATTTCGACGCGCTCGCTCTATTTGCGAATTCTTCGACCTCTACCAAATCTCAAATCGCAATCTGCTTCTCCTTCCGAGCTCCGAGAACTTGTTGGGAACGGGTAAAGACGACGGGAGGCATTGTCAGATTGCAAGGTTGAATTTTGCAGAGTCGTCTCCTTACTTTCTCTTTGGTTGCAGATATGCTGCCAGTAGTGAATATCAAGTGACCTCTGGCACTCTTCAAACATGTCATGGTCAAGGGTTTGCAAAAGAGCCCTTCCGCTCTCGCCTTACTTCAAGAACTCACAGCATTTCCCTTGTGAATCCAGGTATGTTGCCTGCTTACAAAAATGTTGTTAAAGCAGAGAACTTGATGATTTCCTTCTGCCTTTGGCATGAAATTTGAATGTTAATTGTTAATGGATGATGATCCAGATGCATACCCAATTATAATTTCATTGGAGGTAGTAGTAGCAGTGCATATCAGAGGCATTTTAGCCATGATAGGACTAGTTGGGGCTTCAAGCTCGGCTCTTTTGAGAAGTGCGGTCAGCTTCCACCATTGGCTTCTCAATCTTTGTTGAGAATCCAGCGACCCTATTCTTCTCAGGCTACCTCACAACAGAAATCACGCAAGATGCTGTTGTACCTTACGGGTTTGGTTTTTGCAATGGTGGCAAGCACTTATGCAGCTGTTCCTCTCTACAGAAGATTCTGCCAAGCTACTGGGTATGGAGGCACTGTCCAACGCCGTGAGGTCTGATTCTTTTAGCTCATTTGGGCTTTAATAATTTTTTTGTTTTTTCCCCAATTTGATTGATTACAACAAGACCTTACGGTTTTGCTTTCTGCAGAGTGTTGAGCAGAAGATTGCTCGGCATACTAAGGATGGCACAGTCACTACTAGGTCTGCTTTCTGCTTCAAAAGTAGCTTGTCCTCTTCTTATGTTTTTGCAGTTATTAAATCCTTATTTTTTGTTCTCCGGTTGATTTATCCTCTCCACCAGAAGCCTAAGATATTAGTAAACGAATGTTTGCTAGGTTACTACCCCTGTCCTAATTACATTAGTTCCACTCAACTTCAAAAGTTTTTATGTAAACCTTTGTTTTGTTTCTATCTTATGAAAACTTATTAATCTTGTAATTTAAAAAAATATATATATTATTCTTTTCTGAAAAGGTGTTATTCTCCAAGATGTATCACTCTATGACTTTGATTAAATGAAGTTCCCAGCATTGATTTTTCCATATGATAACCTCCTGCAGGGAGATTGTGGTGCAGTTCAATGCTGATGTGGCTGATGGAATGCAATGGAAGTTTATTCCTACACAAAGAGAGGTTTTTCTCATACATTATGTTTATTTATTATTGTTATAGCTGATTTTTCATAGTAAAGGACCTCTCTACAATTTTGATGCTTTACTAATTCTTGCTTTATTTCTGGAAGATAAGGGTGAAACCTGGAGAAAGTGCACTTGCTTTTTATACCGCTGAAAATCGAAGTTCAACTCCAATAGTTGGTGTCTCTACGTATAATGTTACCCCTATGAAGGTACTGCTCGATCTCTTAGTGTCTTGTCATGTGGGTTCTAAATGGATTGCTCGACTCTGCAATGAACAGTATTTCAATATGTTATTTTTATTGGTTTCATAAACCTTGATTATCTAGCTCTCATGTAAATGAGTTGTTGATTTATTTTTATTTTAGATGTTGATTATCTTTGGAGTTTTAATGGTCTAAAATGTTAGCATCTTGACTAGAATGTTTAAGGGAGTCCGAGAGAGTTATAACCTTAGACTTCGTAATTTGTCCAGAGAGTTGTATATCATGCTGTAGCTAATTTTGAAAGATATCTTGGGCAAGCAGTTAATTGGCAAAAAGAAAAGAAATTTTCAAGCTTTATTTTCCAATATATAATAAGTTGAAAGCTTGCTTGTAGGAGTCTTATGTATTCAAATTTAGAATGCTTGACTAGCGATAATTGTTGTTTTCCTTTTTCCTGTGAAGTATTTCATAGCTATTTTTCTAGAAAGTGATCTGTCATAATGATTTCTGCTTAATTTTATTTTCAGGCTGCAGTTTACTTCAATAAAATACAGTGTTTTTGCTTCGAGGAGCAGCGCCTTCTTCCTGGGGAGCAGATTGACATGCCTGTAAGTAGTGTTCTGTAAATCAGTAATTGTTTTCTAAGCAATACCATTCTACTAAAAGACCTCTTACTTTTGCAGGTGTTCTTTTATATCGACCCTGAGTTTGAAACGGATCCAAGAATGGATGGCATCAATAACATAATTTTGTCCTACACATTTTTCAAGGTTTCAGAGTAATAAAGATGATCTGCCATTTCAATAATTGTGAAGATGGTTCACTACGTAAGCGACCAGACTCAAAATCATCAAGGAAGAAAGAGAACAAAAAAAGAGCATTATATATCAATATTTGGTGTTTTTTTTTAAATTATAAAATTCATATTTATTACAGATCATGTTTCCTCAGTAGGTTGCATTTTAAAATGTATGCACAAATAAAGGAAGATTTTGAAATGCTATTAGAAACAGAATGTAAGAACCTTCTTTCATGCAAAATTAACCCGGGAAAGTCACTTGGCTTGATTGTTTATCAATAGTTCATAATCCTTGAAACTTTTTCCAGTTATAAATCTTTGAAGTCAATAACTGGCAAAAGCGCAAGCGATAATACTAAATACGGTGCTAATTATTCGGTTGGGTCAACTCCATTCAACTCCACTAATGGGGTGTTGGTTTACAGGTCTTTGGTATGTTCCTAAGTGGTCGTGAGTTCAAGTCCCTATGATATCTATGTGTTTCTTAACTTAAGAAAACTATCCATTCAACTCCATAATTCATGATTCGAATTGTTCACTTTTTAAGTTCTCGTTCAAGAATCACGTTCTACATAGTTTTACTTGAATTAGAATTTGTTTAGGCATTTAATTATTATTAGTTTTAATTGAATTAGAATTCGTTTAGGCATTTAATTATTATTAGATCAAATGTTTTGATTTGTGTTAACTTTTGCATGAATGATCCTTTAATGAACACTAAAAATATGATCGGTTTTGACGAAAAAAATGAACCAAAACTGGGTTTACTTACTTCACCAACCAATGCAAACTTTTTAGGTTTCAACTAAAAAAAAAAGACAATACATAATTGAAAGCATTTGGAAAAGGCAATTAGGGAGGAACAAAATGCAGAGGCAATGAAAAAAATTAATTCATGACAGAATTGAATGATGAAAGAAGAGGAGGGGAAGGTACACCAGCTATTCCAAGTTTACCAAAAAGATCAGATAAATGGTGAAATCAAGGAATCGTCTGGATCCTACTACAATCTTAAGCTTGCAAAAGATGCAGCAAGAAGGTGAAAATGTCTCTAAATCCTGGCTGCTAGCCACAATTCTATTGATCATGCGGATATCCAATATCTATACAGACACCTCCCAAAACACAGACCACAGGTGATTTAGTATGTGTAAACACCCAGCATACAAGTCTTCTTGTAAAAATAAGAACTATATACCAAAAGGCCCCACAATTGGGGTCGACATTTACTTCCACCACCAGAACTGTCTAAATAAGTATAATTTTCTCATTTGAGCATTGTATGCCATGAAAGCTCGAGCTTTGACAGGGTCAGCATTCAAATACTCAAATGCATACATCTGCTTAGCCTCTTCCAAGCCATCAATTTCCATCACCGCCTGTAGTAGTTCAGAGGCATCAATAGAGTATTTGCTTTGCTCCATTGCATCAGCCAAGCGACGAATGCTTGATGCCACAGCCATCATTGCATCCTGAAGGGCTTCTGAGCCACGAGGGCGTTTTGGAAGTTGTCTAAGGGGCTGGATCAGAGGGGGGTCTTGACTACCATCTGGCATCTTGGTATACTCATCTGGTCCACTATATGACTCTGTTCCATCTGTCTCACTTAGGTCATCGGAGCTTGGAGAGAGAAATGAGGCAGAATCATCTTCACAATTCTTCATGTCACTTGGATGGCCTCCATCCTTCATCTTAGCCCAGCGACTAGGGGCTTGATAATTTCCACATACAATTTTTAGTTCATCATACATCTCTATCTGCTTCCCTTGAATCCCTCTTGCGTCAGGGTGTGCCTATTTATTGAATTGACAATATCACTAATATGCACGCTATAAATAAAAGCACGAGAAATAAAAGAAGAAAAAGACTCACTGCGATGTATCTCTTCCAAAGCTCTTCATTGTCACACTCAATCATCTTCGTACTTGGATTCCACCTGAAACCATCTTGACTAAGCATATCCTTCATTGCCTTATACCTCTTCTTTATGGTCTTAAGACGATTAATGACTTTTTGATTGTTTAAATTTAAGTTAAAACGAGAGTTCACAGCAATACAAGCAGCAGTGTAGGCATTTTCATTAAAGCACTTGTCAATTTTGTTTCCGTTTCTAGCTTGAACAGCAAGAGCATCAATTAAACACTTATCCATTGCAAGTGACCAAACAACGTTCCTTCCTTTGTGCTTCAAATCCCTTCTCTGCCTATGGAGGTCATAATGATCCATTTCCAACTCCTAAAATAAATTAATAACAATCAAATAAGAAACCAGCAGTTTGGTGCTATATGAAAGAATATGGTGAACATAAACGTGGGAAGTAGTTATAATGCAATCTTGAGGAAGTCCAAGGGTATCAACATGCATAATGCAGGAAATGAAATAAAAACAATGCACAATGTTTTTCAAGATCAATTACTACTTGCAGTTTTCACCCAGCAATAATCTCCTGAATTGGCCACCAAGATGCCAATTTTTGACCTACTTGCATATATATCAAAACAGAATACCCACTTCGACTGCATTTTATTAGTAAAAGTTATAATAACGATTAATATGGCAACACTATATGACAATACGAAACCAACACGTGTTCTATCACATGATTTCATAGAGTAGGGATTTTGAATGTATGTGTTCTATAAACAGATGTGATGTGTTTGTGGGTGTGAATGAGAGAGAAATGGTTCTAACTACTCAGATTTAATTGACAAGCAAAACTGACACAAATTTCATTACAGGCTACCATAATTTTGAGATAGCAACTACCCAGAATTTCAGGTTGGAATTCAAATTAGTCACAAATGAATATGCTTCCACCTAAAGAAAATAAATTCATATGAATTGGTGGTGACTTCAATCTCTTTTCACAAGCAGAAAGTCATTACATATTTGCTTAAGCATAGACTTTGCACAAAAGTCAAAACCAAATGAACCGATGAACGATCATCCAACTACATAGAAGAATTTCGTAGTACCAAAAGAAGAACCAACAAACCCACTTCCAAATTCAAGCAATGAGAATAATTGTTATAACAAGGACCCAAAATGCATTCACTCATAGTGATAGACTGTAACTTGTAAGCATACGTAAAAATATACATTTATATAGACAGATTGAGAGAGAGAAAGAAAGAGACCTGGGTCAATGGAGAGAGGAAGTAGCGATCTCTGGAGGAGTGGAGTTCTCTCGCCGGTCAGATTGCCGATTCCGACTGCATCTGATCGCCGGGAGATGGAAAGACGTCGTTAAGAGGAGGAATGAGGACTACGGTCACACTTCATTTGGGAGATTAGGGTTTTTTATTTTCTATTTTTTTCTCGAGAAAACGTTGGAAAAATTTTCCCGAGCTACACTTTCTCGAAAACCAAACGCCTACAGGAGAAAAGAACATTTTGGTCGTCCGCTAACGTACGCAAGAGTTTGTGAAATTTGCAGGAAGGCCCTATCATGAAGTGCCACGTATACGACAAGACAAATCTTACCAAGTGCCAGTTAGTTGCTTTTAACAATTTCGACCAAAAAGAAAAACAGTTGCTTTTAGCAAAATCCTGAACGCACGATTTGTATCTGACAAAACAGTATACAGGCCCCAATAACAATAAGGATTTTGCTCTACCAAGATGTTGGGCCAAAGATATACCCCAAAACCAAGACGCAAGACAACCGATGTGGGCCTCAAAATAGGCCCAAACATGAAATTCATGGGTGGGTTTTGGGGTCCTTGGATTTTCTTTTTCGAATTACGTGAAGGCTAAATTGGTATTCTCAGCAGTTGGTGTCTGCAGAATTACCACAAATTTAAATAGGCCTAAACCGGCCAGTAGCTGAGCCAGGTAAAGCTCATAAAATGAGTACGAAATTGGGCTCCACTAAAAATAGGCCTGACATGCCAGACCACGATGATGATTACATAAATGCAGATAATCACAGAATGACGCAGACATATTTTTACAGAATTAATTATGCATAGCCTCAGGTCTGCCGCCTTTTTTTCCTGAGGAAAGGCATTGCACTTAGAGCTCCTACCCCCACGGATGGCTGTCCAGAATTATCTACAGTATTTTCCTGCAGTGACACACTCAACTTCGAATGATCGTCATTCTTTGAAGCTATTTCATCATTTATACTTTGTTCAGTATCATATGCACCTGTCCTCTCACAACCTTCAAATCCTTGTAAAGGTCTTTTGGTGCCAACGCTGGATTGAACTGAAGCATTACCAAAATCAACTTTATTGACAAAGCCGGAGAAATTGGGAAGGTCGGAATCTTCAGAGGCAGCAGCTGTAGCTTGTACACCAATTTCATCTCGGTCATTACCAACCTGACCATCTCTGCAAAGCCTCCCTCCCATCTTATGGTAGTCTTCAGAAACCTCAGCCTCGAAAGAAGGATCATGGTGTTGGCTGAGGCCAAGTTCACCAGTTTCATCTTCAACAGGGCAGAACCCACCTCCTGCAAGTTCACCAGTTTCATCTTCAACAAGGCAGAACCCACCTCCTGTTTCAAGATAATCGTTACACAGGCCCGCATTAGGAGACAAGTTCCCTGCATTCTGCTGTTTCTTCTCACTGAAACAAGAAGGACCTTCCTCGCATTTACCCTCATCCCAGGATAGTTCTTCCCCTGACTCTTCATTGGAGCATTTTGTATCACAGTGATCTAGTGGATCATCAACATCATCATTTTCTAAGTCATTGACTCTGTAATTTACAGGCTTCCGCAAACGCCCTGACTGAGAATATGAAATCCCAAAAAAAAACAGGAAAAATTAAAGAAAGAAGAAATCGACATACATTATATTCTTCAATATGATACAGATCTCAGGTAGTCATCTAAATGCATGATGCAGCACCATGTCAAATGGATGCACACACTACTCATCATGACACCCAAAGGAGGATTGAAAGCACAAAATCACACCATTTGACTGACCATGTTCAGAATCTTCGAACTAGATAGTAATAAGTTCGACGGCTTATGGTAGTTTCATGATAATATTAGTTCTTTATTTAGTAAGTAAAACCTTTAGCCAGGAGGAACAAAGAAACAGCAATCTAGGAAACAAAACCCTTAGCCAGGCCAGGACTAGAATTTTGCCAGGGTGGATTAGTGGCACAGTTTAGCTTATATATAAAGATGCTCTGATCCAAGTCACAAATCAATAAGAATCAGTGGCCTACGAAGTATTTCAATAATCAAGTTCTTTATATAGTTCAACCAAAATAAAGATACAGAAAATGCGAAGCTTACCCTGCGCACTTCTCCTGACCCTTCTACTGTCTCCATATGAAGGTCCATCCCATCATCATCATCATCATCGCTCTTACTAGAGCTGGTTTCAGATGCTTCAGCACTGGGATTTTCTTTTCCCTTTCCTCTTCCCAATACCTTCCTACCTCTTCCTCTGCCTTTTCCATTTGCACGCAATCTTCTATTAGTTGTTCGCGCCATTTCAGCAGGCTTTGGTCGGTCAGATGGAACAGGCACTTCAGTGGTCCTCCTTTTCCTCGACTGCTTAATAGTTGACTTTCCTTTAGAATTTCTCTGATCTCTAAAAACACCTTTCTCTGTTCCCTCTGACAGTTTCTCTGATTTGTCATCTCCAGCTTCATCAGTACTTATGCTTCCCTTCTTTCTACTTCTAGAAACTTCTTGAGCAGCATCATCTATCAATTCTGAAGATTGATTTCCAGCGATACCTTTAACAGCTTTCTTGATTCTCTTACTACGAATTCTTGCAAATCTTTCATTAAATGTGTAAAAAGCTTCCAGCCGAAGTTGAGTCTTCACCAAACAAGTAACAAAATGATGTCATGATCTTCTTTCACAATAAATAATTGACAAAGCTTGCTAAAATACAATGGACACGCATGTGTGTGTGCATGAGAGAGAGAGAGAGAGAGAGAGAGGTTTAAGTAACCTACCTCGCGTTTGTCGTACTCCTTCAGAACAGGTATTAGCAATTCATCTGCCTTCTGGGTACCCCAACCAAACTTTTCCCAACATAATCTACATACAAACAGAGTTTATCAGAAAAACAGACATTTTATGTGAATAGAAAGGAAGCACCCTATTATTAGCCATAAACAACCCTCATGTTAGGTGAGAACTCACTTGCGAAGAACAAAATGATCTGGCTTTCCCCATGTGAAGGGCTCAGTTGATTTGTCCACCTGTGGACAAGTATAAGCAACACTAACTGCTTCACTTGGAAAAGAGAGGGGAATATGCCAATTTTTGCTCACTTTCCTCTGCATAAGATAAAATATGAGCATCCAAAGATGAGGAATATAATTCGTTTACAACTTAAATATTCAGAGGAAAAGCCTAACGCAAGAAACAGGGTAATCTAATTACATGCTTATCCATGAAAGTTTGCTTTATTTCTTCAATAAGATCAGCTGACTGCTTGTGCTCTTGACCGTGGCAATTATTTTGGTCAAATGCAGAGACTTCTTCCTTGTTGCTCTGTGAATTGATATTCTTATCCCCAAATTTAGACCCCCTTTTCTTTGCACTTGATCCCGTTTCACCATCAAACTTCCCTAGAATGGTAGGATCTGGTGATTCAATCCAATCCCGGAATTTATGGAGGCCATCCTCCTCAGGAAATGCATTCACAACTTCAATAGCATTGACAATGCCGATCCCACTACAAAAGAAAAACCAATAGATTCTAAATCACCATCAAATTGAGAAACCCCAAGAATTCCAAATCTCTATAGTTGTGAACAATAGATTGTGTAAATTCTATAACTCCCGAAGTAGGTCCAATTCGCAACACGAATCTTTAGTTATTAACCATATACAGTTCCAAAAAGCTAAATCCACAAGGATGCAGCACCACTCCCAACATTTCCTAAGGACAAAAAACTTAATAATGCAACAGTTTACCTAACTCCTTCAGTATAATCACTTCCAAGAAGAAGTGCCATACGAATTAACTTCTCTCTGCTTAGGCCAAGCTCCTTCTCAACGTCCTGACAAAAGAAAATTGTATGAGCATAATATGCATTGCAGCCTCTAATTCAGGTGAATTTATGAAATGGGAAAACAAGAATGTCATGTAATTCAATAGAATCCCAGACCTTCATGAAATATGTCTCAACATATTTACGATCATCAAATATATTTTTGTACACACTTTGCGCCCCAAACAAGAACACATCGGAGTCATCAGTCACAACACCATCAACAAGGTTTGCAAGTTCCAAATATGCACATTGGGCTTCTGCTTCCATCGGCGCAATAATGTACGGTATACCGAACATTTGCAGTAGCTCCTACAAAAGTAACATACATAAAGATGCCAAGTCATTTATTTCTAAGAACAAACGTCCTGCTGATGGAAAATCCATACAGATAATGACAAAATTTGAGCACACACCTGACATTCAGTGAACATCTCACTGCTGACTGATTCTACATTACGTTCAAGCCTTCTCTGCTCATCTCCCAGATTCATACATTCTTGGCCAAGAATTAGCATTTCCTCCTCCAAATTAGCCTCCGTGGCTTCAACACGTGCATTCGCATCACTGTTGAGTGAAGATTTGTCCCAGCTGTGCTCACTTTCCTGAAAAAAATTGTCATGACTCTTTTCCTTAACCCATGTTTTATCAACATCACAATCATTTGTTAGTTTTTCTGTCAATGACCCCATTAAGGCAGCTGGGTTAGCCATCTCAACTATATGACATGATGGCTCTGCTTCAATTTCATTCTTCTGATCATCAACCCAATCGGTAGCATCACAAGACAAGGCATCAAAAGAATGAGCTTTATTTTTTTCTAAGGTATTGGGCAAGGTAGATAAACTGTCATCCTCATTTAAAGTACCCAAGACTTGTTCAGTAATCATATGGACCTCCTTTGTTCCTGACGGAGTAACAGATTCAGCACATTGCATTCCTCCACAGAAATTTTTCCTTTCACTTACATTCTGCATTGTTTGTGCTGGAGGAGAATCCAAGTCTGTAACGCTTTTCATCTTTTTGACTCCATCAACAATATCGCAAGATGATTCATTTTGTCGCTTACCAATTTTCCCGACCAAAACTGCCTCAACTATCTTAGTTTCTCTATCAATAAATTCAGCACCTTTATAAGCCTCTCCTCCAAAACATTGCAACTTTTCCTCTGCAGATGATGCATAAGCACACTTCTCATCCCCAAAATCCTCAAGACTTCTCCTTATTGCCTCCTGAAAATTAGCCTCTTCTTCAAAATAACCTTTGGAAACTGTTTCCCCACACTCACGAGGAAAAGATGAGGTATTTTCTGTAATACCACAAACTCCTTCCTCCCATTCCACTTCACTGTCATCGCTCATGTTGCCTTCCACACGAGGCACCTTACTTTTCACTTCAACAGTTCCTTCCTCCCAGTCACAGTCTGAATCAGAACCAGAAGATTGTTTTCTTAATATATCATTAGCATTAGTAGTTACAGCATTTCCTGCCACTAAAGAAGCAAAAAGATCATCATCACCATCAAAAGACTTGCTCTCACCACCGTCCTCAATAGATATTTCTATAGGCGTTTCAAGTTTTAATGTACAATGATTATTTCTGTCATTCAAGCTATTATCACCAACTGAGGATTCCAAAACCTTCTTTTGACCAGGATGACTTCTCAACACACCAGTGTCAATGGAATCACCATTATCACCGCATGATGTTTCTATGACTTTTCTATTACTACAGGAACTTTTTGAAATGTCAATGTCTCCTTCATTGAGCATATTCCTAGTGTTGATTATCTTGTTTGTATTTGTTTTCTCCTGTTCAATCTCCTTCATCAAATCCAAGTTCCTTTGTAAATCACGGGTCATACGGATTCCCATAGCTCTCACTCTACTGACTCGAAGATGGCCCCTCTCATCCAAATATGTCTCAATGTTGTCATCAAAAACACTTGTGGATTCGTCAGGGGTTGCTCCAGTCACATTATTGGTAGACGGAACACTGTTCCTGGAATTTGAAGGATGCTCTTTTGGTGCTTGTTGCTTATCTCCGTTTTTATCAGCTCTTGCAGATGCAAGTACTCTGACACAATTAAGCATAAAAACCCACAAAGTCATTACTCAGAATAATACAGTCAAAAGATCAAAAATAAAATATAATAACATAAGAGTTCATTAGAAGTCAACCAATGCAACAAAATTTGCAACTGGGCTATATCGTATTGTAGTTAAAGAGAAAAACTGTGACTACTCACTGTTTATCACCAGTAAATGATGAGGAAAAGATAAACTCTCTGTGTGCCTCAGAGGCTATCCGTGAGCTATGGACACCACTAACCCCCCTCCCAGCAGCAGCTTTCTGTACTTGATCTATCTCGCGACGGAAAGCAACAGTTTTAAGATAAGATTGTATTTGTAGCTCAGAGAACTTCCCAGGATCCTAAATGCGCATGAGAAGAACCCATGAAAAGACATCCATAAAATTCAAAAAATAGAACCTTGTTTAAGTGAAGCAACTTATCCTCAATAGGAGCTCCAATTAAAACATATGTATTACATGACTTAATAATTAAATAGGAACCAACCTTTTTGACTTTTTGATACTTTTGTCGGTTTTCTGCCATCAACCTCTCTCTAATCTAAGGGGGAAATAATCAACCACTGACATCAGAATGAGTATTGCAAAGATTGAAAGCTAATACCCATAACCTAACAAGAAGGCATAACCAGCATAAACAAAATCTTACTTGAACAAGAAGATCGAGTTGCAATGATGGGGGCAATGCAGCTAATACAGCTGGATCAACTCTACCATGCATTTCTGGCTGCAAGATAGTTCATAAAATATATACAACTGTACATTAATTTAACAGAGTAAAGAAATCCCATTATAAATAATAACACTTAATTAAACAGAGTAAATAAATCCCATGATTAATTAATAACACTAAAGCATTAGATCTAACAGACCCAAGAGGAATAATCATGATTGCCAAGTTGATTAACTCATCCTGACAGAGTATAGAGCAATAATACTCAGATCCAATGATTTTAACTTAATAGGTAGTTAACATACAAACATGTACCAAAGATTTTAACTTAATAGATTACATCCTTAGATAAAATCCTTGTTTCATTAAACCTGGGTGTTACATTGGATTTGGTCCTTGGATATCTATTAACAGCATACCAGTATCATCTTTTGATATATATTAAGGGCATACCAGTATCATCTCTTCATCATCATCATCGCCATCTTCATCAACATCCTCCTCAACAATAATAGAAGCAGTTGATGTTGACGCGTTATTAGTTGCACCAGCATCCTCCTCTGCCGCAATAGATGCTGCAATCCTAAATTTAAATTCAAAGAATCAATAAAATCATGAAAATACATGCTTAAATAACTCCTTCATGTTATATACAATTACATTTCATCTAGCTTTTCTTGATTGCAACTCCTTGAGACCGCTTCGCAGTTTTCTAAATTGATTCCCACCATCTCAGTTTGATCTGACATAACCTTCTTACCCTTAGCATCATTATCCTGCTTATTTGACTAGTCACAAAACTGTTCATCAGTTCTCTCAGCTTCATTCTCTGAAATCAAAAACAACAACTATGTATACTTACCTGCAAAAGAAGTCCAAGTTGCATGGATGGAGGCAAATTAGCTAATACAGCTGGATCAACTTCACCATGCATCTCTGGCTGCAAAATAAATGGCATGCAGCAACCACATTACATTTCCACATAAGTAAAAGCTACTGCTAAGCACCCATGACTGAGCCCTAAATCTCAGACCCATAGAGAGGAAGTCTTAATTTTCCAGTTATGGGATTTGAGTAAACTCCCAAATATTCTATAGACCAAAAATGAAACAATAAACAAAAATCCAGACCATCCATTTTTATGTAATGTGCACTACACTGGGGGCCGCTCTAGGTTGCTCTGAAAATTCCAATTCATACACAGTAAATTTCATCAGTCTTGTAGAACTCACTAGTATCATCTCTTCATCATCTTCTTCGCCATCCTCCTCACAAGGAACAGCGGCAGTAAATTTTGATGCATTCTTTGCTAAACCCCCCTCTTCCTCAGCCTGAATAGATGCTGCCAACCTAAAATAATAACAAAAACAGTCAAAATCATAAATCAAACCAGATTAATCCACTAAGACCGCGACTGTGTTCTCAGCTTACATTTCATCCAGCTTTTCCTGGTTGCTACTCAGCAAGGCCATATCATTTTTTTCTAAATTATCATCTCCCAACCTACCAGTTTGATCTGGTAGACTTTGCTTACCCTTGGCATCATTCTTTTGATTCTGCCTCTGGTTCTTAATATCCTCAGACAAGACTTTCAGCTTCATGGCCTTAAGCTATCAACAAACAACCAAATATAGATAAATCAACTGGAACTAAAACAAACCATCAATTTCACGCATCAATAACAGAAATATATGCTATTTATTTTCAACTACCTAGTCTTCATAAGCAGTTCAAGCTATAAACAAACGACAGCACAATAATTCTTCAACAAGAAAAGAGATCTGTAAACATAAATAACCTTGCACACCAAATGACAATCAAAATAAATTAAAATCCACATAATTCAAATTATAAGTCGAACAAATAGACAGGAAAGATCACTCTACAACTCCCAACTCCCACCACCAATCTTGCACACAAACCCTAACTCAAACCCAAATTTCCAACATCACATTCTACAATTCCTATGAAGCAATTCAAAACAATGAAAAGACAAATTGCAGATACTACTAACATGATTGAGAAGCAATTTCTCGGCAGTCTTACGAAGCTTGGACTGGGCGTTCTCCCGCTGTCTTCTTCGAGCGATCACTGTGCGGCGCTTGAGGGCTGGGGTTCCGCCATCGAATACAAAGACGGGCTTGGTCCGCAGGTACAGTAGCTTGCAAATTCGACGAAAGAAGCCGAGTACATGCGCGTTGCGAACCATCTCTCCCTTCTCGTCCCGCATTGCCTTCATAAACTGCACCATCCATATGCTCGCATCTGCCCAGTGAAACAGACGAAATAGATTAGAAAGGTGATTTTCTCATATCGAAAATAGGGTTAGGGTTCGGAGTATGGGTTGGGGTACCGATGGCGAGTCTTCTTCCGGCTAGAGTTTCGACGGACACGCGGCGGCCGACGGGGGCCAGTAGTTCCCATAGACCGTGGACTCCCATTCTGTGTATTGCTTGCTGAGGACGCTTCTGCTGACAGACAGTTTTGTCATGGCCGCGCGCGAGGAAAGTAAATGAGAGAGGCTGCGTGAGTCGGTGGGAGCAAAATGCACGAACCGACGTCGTATATAAGCAGTACACAAGTTGAATAAACAAAATTCCGTGCCGAACTGTAAAATATTTTCAAATAAGACAAACTAGCCAGGGAGAGATTTTTTTAAAAATAAATATAAGTTTAGTATCTTTAGGTCCAATAAATTTTTATTTTAAATTTTCTTTTCAGTAATTAAATAATATCTTAACTTTATTTCATAACTTTCATCTGTAATTATATTTTAATTATTATTTTTTTAGTGAATAATTAAATATTTTAAGCTATATATATAAAGTAAAAGGCAGAGAATGGTAAAACATTCAAAATACCAAAAAATATCTTTGGTTAATCCAAATATTAAAAATTAAAATTATTAATTAAATGAGGATAATATAGTAAATTCATAATTTTTCATATTTTAAAAATTAAAACTAAAAGAAAAATCAGATAATGAATCCTATTTTTATGTAACACAATTATCCATTATCTTTTTTAATTCTAAAATAAATTTATTTCTTTTTCTTTTTAAAAGCCTCTCTTTTTTTCTTTTTTTTTAAAAAGCCTCTTGCATGCGCGGAAACGCGTGCGGGAAGACTAGTTAACTTAATAAATGGTAATTATTATTTTTAATGTACTGATCTTCTTAGAAACATGCTGGTGGCAAACTGCCTTTGATCTTCTGTTGGGGATTTCGAAGCGTACTGATCTCAATAATGTACAAGTAAACTTCATGTACTCCTTATATCCAGAAATAGAAAGGTTAGATCTGCTATTTTTCTTGCAGATCCCATTATCTTGTTCTGGGGGTGGTGGTTCATGAGAGGTTTGCTCGAGGAAAATGTTCAAATCCCAGTACTATATTACAACCAATAGATGAATTTTTTTAAAAGAAAAATCACAAGTATTGAATGGATATGGAATGATGTCTAAACTTTATTTGATGCAGGATTGAATAATAGAGTACTGTGGACGTTATGCAGAGAAGGAGAAGATTACCGATAGTACTCAGTTAGAAGAGAGGACTGAGGAAATGAGTGATGAGGATATCAGAGATGGACAGACTGCTTCAAGTGCTAATGAAATTGCTAGACATGAAGATCTATGAAGGATTTTTTCCCCGTCTGCTTAAAAAAGTTCATGACATTGGTGGTTGTCCAATTTCTTGTACAATCATGAAAAGATAGTTAGAGACTAGATAGCAAGAGCGTTGTCTATTTAGATTTGGGCCGAACGAGGTGCTTGCGAATCTGTTTCAGAAATATCGACTTCAGCTTGAGCTCATCTTTGTCCTATGCTTTTAGTTTTGTGAACTCCAATATTCCCTCAAGCCAAGGTTGCAGTCACTACGATGGACCTGTTGATAGGCGATAGGTAGATTAAGAAATATGCATGAAAGCTAAGGAAGACTTAATTAAAGAACAATTCTTAATCATTGTTAGTTAAACAAGTGCAGCACTGTAGGACCATGACTGCTTTTGCGTTGTATTCCTGCAGTTGTATTACAATTTACATGGCATCCCCTGTTAATGGGTCAAAGATTGATGACATCTTGTGAGCCATTGGATCATAAAGTCTAGGTGACAAGATCAACTTCACCACTGTTAATAAATTAGGATTATGATAATCCAAAATCATTGTTAGTGTATACATTGTCACTGTAAACATAACCTCGTCAAAAAGGACTTGACAGAACATTTCCAACTTTTTTTGGCCTGCCGGCGCCATATTTGAAATATTAGTTATCCTAGCCAATGGCTTTATATGCATACTCTGTAGCATCAAGGTAAACAATAAAAATCCAAATGCTCATTGTGGAGCCGGCAACCACATTAGCATTGAGATTTTCTTCTTCCACAATCCCATATATGCCATACGGTGAAAACCCTCTTTGCATGAAGGGTTAGATCAATGAAAATGAACAAAATCTCCATCTGGGTGAGCTTCATTTCAATCTCTCTCTTCCTCCACAGTTCAACTTCTGTGGAGGATGAGGTTAAGAATTCACTTATTATCTTCCTTGCTAAGGTTTCTAACAATGGTGTTCAACCTGGCCTCACTTGGGGTTGGAACACTTCCTCTGATCCTTGCAAGGACCAGTGGCAGAATGTAATTTGTGATTCTCAAAACGTTTCTGTCACAAAGCTGTTTCTAAATGGCAAAAACCTCACCGGCACGCTTGATGCTGCTTCACTCTGCAACGTGAGATCTCTTGCCGCCAATCTTACCATCCTTGCCCTTGATGACAACAACATTGGTGGACAAATTTCAGCTGAGATTGCAAACTGTGATCAGCTCACTCGCTTGACTGTAAGCAGCAACCAGCTTTCAGGAAACCTTCCTGAGTCGCTTGCTGTGTTGAATAACTTGAAAAGGCTTGACATCTCCAACAACAAGTTCTCTGGTGAGTTACCAAAGTTGTCTCGGATTTCAGGTCTCACAGCCTTCCTTGCTCAAGATAATCAGCTTACCGGGCAGATACCAAATTTCGACTTCTCCAACTTTGACACATTCAATGTCTCCAACAATAACTTCCAAGGTCAAATTCCGAACGTGAATGGCTTTCTCACTGCAAGCAGCTTCCTTGGTAATCCTGGATTATGTGGAGATCCATTGCCAAACAAGTGTTCATCTTCCTCCGCGACAGCAGATGAGAACTCGAACACCAAAAAGGGTGTCTCAAAAAATCAAATGTTTATATACATGGGGTATGGTGTGTTGGCCTTAGTTTGTCTTGTGTTAGTAGTTCTCAGGATATGTAGGAAAAAGAAAAGCAAGGATCAGGTTGATGCAGTGAACAAAGTAGCAGCAGTTGATGAAAGCGCCAGCAAACTCAGTGCTGCGTCAAGTGAGGACAAAGGAGGTTTGAGTAAGTCACAATATTCGGTCACGTTTTCAGATGATGAGAGTGCAGCTATGGTTTCCTCCTCGCTCATAGTCCTTACAAGCCCTGTGGTCAATGGGTTGAAATTTGAGGACTTGCTCAAAGCCCCTGCTGAGTTGCTTGGAAGAGGCAAGTATGGTAGCCTCTACAAGGTCATCTTTGAGAATGGGATGGTCCTGGTTGTGAAAAGGATTAAAGATTGGGCACTTTCAAGCAACGATTTTAAGCAGAGGATGGAGAGGTTGTACCAAGCAAAGCATCCTAATGTGTTGCCGGCCCTTGCCTTTTACTGTTCCAAACAAGAGAAGCTTCTGGTCTATGAATATCAGCAGAACGGGAGCCTATTCAGGCTCATCCACGGTAAACATTTTGCACTTTCCTAAATAGTTGCTGATGATACCTTATGTGAACCCCCAATTAATATCGATAATACTATAGTCACACCCAAAAAAAATTTCCTAATGATGTGGCAATGAATTCGTGATTAGTTATTACGAAATAATGTCACATGTGACATGACAATATTTTACTTGTTAGAAACAAATAAGATTCTTGGATTCTAATTAACGTGTATACTGTATGATTCAGGAAGCCATAGGGGCCAAGCATTTGACTGGACCAGCAGGCTTTCAGCTGCTGCTAGCATTGCAGAAGCATTAGCTTTCATGCATCAGGAACTTCGAGCGGAAGGGATTGCTCATGGAAACTTAAAATCTTCCAACATCTTGCTGAACAAGAACATGGAGCCCTGCATAAGCGAATATGGCCTCATGGAAATCAACGATCAAGACAACTTCATGCCGGGCAAGGCTTCCGGGGCCAAGGCCTCCAGCACCTTTAAGGGAGACGTTTATGGGTTTGGAGTGATCCTTCTTGAGCTCCTTACAGGCAAACTTGTGCAGCATAATGGGGTTGATTTGACAGTTTGGGTTCACTCCGTGGTTCGAGAGGAATGGACTGCAGAAGTGTTTGACAAGTCCTTAATGTCAGAATATGCAAGCGAGGAGAGGATGGTGAACTTGCTTCAGGTAGCTATAAAGTGCGTGAACCGTTCTGCAGAGGCTAGGCCGCGCATGAACCAAGTTGCCCTAATGATCAACGCCATAAGAGAGGAAGAAGAGAGATCCACAGTCTATGATCCGCAGTCTAGGAGCCTACTTTGATTTGGAAAATATATTTTTTTACAAATCAAAGTTGGATATCTGTATTTCCATGTAGCAGTAAATCCATAATAGCATATCATTTTAGAAAGAAAAAAAAATTGTATTTTCAACTAATAAGATCATGACAGAGCAGTAACGATTCAACCACTTTCTCATGTCTTGTGTAAGATCTGAGTTTATTATTATTAACATGTCTTCTTTTGTTCTGATATTGTACCCATTACTTCTCTTTTTCTGAGTTAAATCTTTTTGGAATGATGAAAGTGATGAAGGTAAAACTTTCTCACTTGCCATTTGAAGTAGTGCTATGAGCTAGTAACAGACAAAATCATGAATTTGAACAGAAATTTGGTAGTGCACCAATACCCTTTTCACAAGAAAACGCTTCTAGTTATAGTCAAGCAAGAAATGATGAAGGTGAAAACCAAAATGGACATTTTCTCCATTCTGAAAGAGCGGACCTAACAAGCACTGATTCTCAAACCTACTAGACACAGGATGTCGACTCAAGATGAGAAGTCAACGGCTTTGGTCCACACATTATGCCCCAAAAGTTGGGCCATCCAAGCCTAATGCTCATCATGTGAAGATACTCATTCTTGAAGATCACGAAATTCATTCTCTGTTAATCTGTACCTATTCTCTAATGGCATATTAGCAGATTAGCTAACAGTTGGTAAAAGCTTTTTTTGTGTGGACATTTTTAATTGAGAGGGGCAATAACATACTAAACTCACACATACTACATAGATGTTAAAACTCGAACCCAGAATACGTTTCATGAAGAAACAATTGCTCTAAACTACTACACTAGTGAATCTTTACTTGATAAAAACATTTTAAAATCATTACACTACGCATTATTTGCCACCTGCCCTGCATTTGGTAAAAACAGGAAATCAAACTCGTAATTAAAATGTCATCACTGATAAGGACTCCACTGGCAAGGATTTGGCTGGTTAGATGAGAAATTATTATCCTCTGCAGTAGCAGGTAGTTTGCGTGGCAAATTAAACATCATCAAATGGCAATTATTTATGTTTAGCAAACTTGACAGAAATGAGGATGGTTAGGGAGAGAGAGAGAGACATCCGGCCAAACTAGCCTTTAATAGAATATATGGAATTATATGTCTCACTCACCTAACTACAGCCAACACTCTTCCTTTGTCATTTTTGTGATCAGTTTTCCAACTAAAATGTGATTGTTATCCAAAATCCTCACCTAATTGCCTTTAAACTAAAGATAAAGTGTTCACATTTTCATACTTTAAAGGCACACCCCATTGCAAGTCACCCACTAGTATTGTGGTTTGGAGCAATTGCTCATTTAGAAAAAATCTTAGGTTTGAGTCCTAGCATCCGTGTAGTGTGTATGAATTTAGTATATTATGGCCTCTCTCAATATAAAATGTCTTTAAAAAAAAGGCACACCCCATTTAAACCCCCCTTACACATTACATCTTTAACCTAAATGCTCAATAATTGTAACATATTAGTTGAATTTAAATATAGGTACAACAAAAAGTTGAATAATTGCACAACTATAATCAACCAAATTCTTTGTTACCCCCATGTTCTTCAAATTTTAAAATTTTCCCTCTTTTTAGGTAATTGATTGTGTAAGAAATTTAAGTTGATAATTTACATCATAATACCGAAAAGTTGGACCCAAAGTTTACACATCATAGCTGCTTACCTCTTGCCTAAAACTACTTGGATGAAAACCCTAGAAGAAGAAAAAAAATTGTGGATATAAATATGAGATTCTTTATACAAATTGAGTAAAAAAATTAGATTGGGTGTCACATCTCTAACACTACCAAAATTTTGTCATTATTAATTTAATTTAACAAAACTCAGCCACTTGGGTGTGCCCTAGAAAAGAACTCAGCCACCTGGTTCGTTATCCTACACCCTAATCCACTGGAATGACTTTTGAAATCAGGACAGGCCCACCTCGAAGCCCATGTTTTGAGGGTTAGCACTTTGTCGCTTGCGGTTGACCATAACACCCTCACGCGCTCCCACGAGCACGTGGAGCGATATTTTAGTTCCTCTTTTTGGCACTTTAGGAACTCTCGCCACTGTCACCCTTCTGGCCTCTCTGGTTCAATCAAGAACTTAGAGAGAGAAAGTGACACTTTGAGAGAGAGAAAAGAGAAAGAGAAAGGAACCCAAGCTCACTTTCCTCTTCTCTTTCGCTATATAATTTTAAGTGCCTCAAAAAGCCTGAGTCTTTAGGGTTCTCTGTTGCAAAACACAGCAAGAGCATCATCAAGTTCCAGAGTTTTTGAAAATACATGAATGGCGGACTTCCTGGAATCAAGTTAGGTATGCTCCATTTTTTTTCATTACACATATTCTATTGTCAGCTTCTCTCGCATAATCAGTCAATTTGATATGGAAATTGAATTCATACTTACAAAAGAAGTTGAGTAAATTTTGGCACCATTTGGGCAGTTACTGCTACTGCCATGTTCTAAAGTTGTTGGCGGCATGAAACTCTGGTGATGATGGAAGAAAAAGTTATTGACTTTAGCTTCGCTTGCTTGCAAAATAAGTTGGGTTTGTGTTTGATCTCTGAGTAGAGAAGAGCATGGTCTTTGGTTGCAACGATATATATGATCTGTCGAATGTCAGAAGGAAAAGATCTTAGATGGTTTTCAGGCCACACCCATTTGAAGATGTCTTGGGTTCAGCATCAAATCCAGCTGAAAGATGGTTATTTGAGCTACCCCCCTCCTTTCTCTCTTCCCTCTTCGCCCCCATATGTTGCTACTTTTCATAGAGATTCGAATCCACCAGCATCATCTGGTACAAAAATAAGTCCTGCTGTTCTTTTTATAATAGTAATTCTGGCTGTACTGTTCTTCATCTCTGGTTTGCTGCATCTGCTCGTTAGATTTCTTACAAAGCACCCATCTTCCTCAGCTTCTTCTCCTCAGTCGAATAGTTACCCAGAACTTTCTACTTCTGATGCTCTTCAGAGACAGCTGCAGCAACTCTTCCACCTTCATGATTCTGGTCTAGATCAAGCTTTTATTGATGCTCTTCCTGTTTTCCAATATAGAGACATAGTGGGTTTGAAAGAGCCGTTTGATTGTTCTGTCTGTCTTTGTGAATTTTCTGAAAAGGACAAGCTCAGATTGCTTCCTACGTGTAGCCATGCTTTCCATATCAACTGTATAGATACTTGGCTACTGTCAAATTCAACATGTCCTCTTTGCAGGGGTACCCTCTTCAATCCCGATTATTCGGTTCAAAACCCAATTTATGATTTTGATGAGTTTAGAGAAGAAGAAGGGTATCCTGGTAATGGAGAAAACGGGTTCACTACTAGGCAAAAGACCATGGACATTGAGGAAATTGTTGTTGAAAATGGGATTTTGCCTGTGAGACTTGGCAAATTTAGAAAGGTAGATGTTGAGGTAGGAGGGGAGACTGGAGTAGGAGAGACTAGTAGCAGTAATTTGGATGCAAGAAGATGTTTTTCAATGGGTTCATATCAGTATGTGCTTGGTGATTCAGACCTTCAGGTTCCCTTATCGAATGATCAACCAGACCGCAATATAAAGCTAACAAGAGGGATACAACACGATGGTAATCCTTCAATTGATAGTGATGTGGAGGGAAAGAAGATCAGTAGTGTGACTAAGGGTGAAAGCTATTCTGTTTCCAAGATCTGGCTCTGGTCAAAGAAGGGCAAGTTTTCGAGTTCTATTGATACACAGATGGGTATGCCTTCCTCTCTTAATACAGACTTGCCGTGGATGGGAAGAATGCGAGCAGAATAAGAGGTATTTTATTTATTGTTTCCTTGGTTGCTTAATAGTCCAATGATCAAAAGCTTGTTACACCTCAGTCTAGTTTTTCCTTCTCAAAATTTTTTGTAATGCTAATTATGTATCTGCGATGATTGACTGTGTGCCATATCGCGCCCTTTGAAACCAAACCAGGATACAATGTCTTGTGAAGAAGGCGTTTTCTAATTTTAGGGAATGACTATATTGGCTTTCTGTTGGTGAACACCATCTGAGATATGGGTTATGTCATTCTTGTTGTTGGGACAAAGTTATGAACACTTGTGTGCTACAAAAAGAAAAAAAAATTCATCTGATCACAGGATTGATTTGCTTTTTTTTTTTTTTTTTTTTTTTTTTTTTTTTTAACAAGTTTACCAAAGTTATCTTGGCTGGAAAAATGGAAATGCTGTTGTAGTCCATGGAAATGAGTCTAAACTAAAATGCTTGCAGCTAGAAGGTTTCTCTCCTCTTACAAGTTTTGACCTTTGCCCTGAATTGACAAATTTGTGGTTGTGCATTTGCTTTTTTTTCTTGCCTTTTGATGCATTGATCGGGAAATCTTATCCCTCTCTTTTCAGAGAATAATGTTAATACAATCTTAACGTACTAGACATAATTTACCGGTAGGGAAGTTGGACAGGATTGCAGTGGTGGTGGGATCCATGAAAACTCTGTACTCACAGAATCTTTTCCTGAAATGAGAAACTTTTTATTCAAATGTTGGCTGTAGTGGGGTCACTTTTTGCCATTCCCATGTGGCCATGTTGAAATCAATTCCCTCATAATTTTCAAAAATTGAGCAGAGGTTTTCCACATTGTATCCCTTGTGTTAATTTCAGTTTCAATTCAAATAGGGTAAGTTATATCAGATGTGAAAATTTCTAGAAATGAAATGCTAAAATATTTATAAAAATCTTTTTCTTTTTTTTAATGAAAAACTTCAAACTTGTACCAAGAAACAGATTTGAATGGCGTTAGTTTATTTTTTGTTTATTTTGAGATTGCATTCGAATATGTAGATATTGAATTCAATTCATGGTGAATTTGAATGGTGGTGTTTTGTTAGGGCCCCCCTACCCCCCACACCACAATGGTGTTTTGTTAGGGCCCCCCTCCCCCCCACACCACAATGGTGTTTTGTTTAGGCCCCCCCGGGCGCCCCCCCCCCAAAAATAGGTCGCTCCACACGTTCCTGCTGATAAGTAACATTAGGATGTCCAGACAAGCAAACTAAAATCACAGAATAAGATAAATTAGTGATGTTGACCCCAAAAAAAAATATAGGAAGTTTGTGATTCGTCCCTTATATATAGGCTATAGCTTAGGATGTGACGTATTATTGTACATAGGCCAAGCCCAACCCAGTTGTCGCTTCATAAAGATGGTCAAGTTTGATATTCTAATTACTCTAATGTATGAAGATGATAATCGAACTCGGGTGCAAGGAGGTTAGCACATTGTCAGCCTAACTCGTGGTTTTTTTTTCTTCTTGTGTGTGTGATGAATCTTGAACCTACACGTATCTATGTGCAGACGAAATGCCCTGTGATTGGGAAGGTGCTTCCAGAAAGAAAAGATAATAATGGAATGGGGGATGAAGAAAGTGGTGATGATGGGGGATGAAGAAAGTGGTGATGATGGGGGATGAAGAAAGTGGTGATGATGGGGGATGGGGATGACTTGCAGAAAGAAGAGACAGTAGTGATGAGAAGGGGAAATAAAGATAGCAGTAGTGGATATAGCTGAGTGAGTGAGTGAGTGAGTGACTGTGAGAGCATGATATGCAAATCAGTAGGGCCCTAATAATTAACAAGTTCCAGTCCTTTGGATTTTATTAATTTGCATGTACGAGGAGGTATCAACGCCACTCAAAAACACAAAGGAAATAATGCAACGAAAAAGGAGGGAATTGCATCAGTTAAAGGTAGTAAGCCAGAAAAGAATACAAGATTGTGTGACACTATGATTACTGACCTTGAAACCTAATTATATAGATAATTGATGTGTTAAATTATATTTTACATTGTATATATGTGTTAGGCCAAGTTCGAATGCCCCTCTCCGTACAGAAGGATGGACTTACCGTCATAGCCGGTTGGCTTAACACATGCTATACTTGTAATTACTTAAAACTTCTTATATATATCGTAATGTTTGTTTTGCACCTAACCACAAAGCTTACCTTCAATACACAAAAATTCGTTAGAAATCAATTCTTCAATTTTTTTCCCCTTTTTACTTCGGTCAATAAAATAACATCAATTAAAATGGAAAAAAAATCTGAACCTACAACCCCGAGTCAACCGACAGTCACGGGTCCCTAAAAAGCAAAATAGTCAACCGCCGCGCTTTTCTCTCCTCTTCTCCTCCTCCGTCAACTTTCCCGCAGAACTCCGCGCCAGCGCACGTTAGCGCACCGAATATCCCTCCGTTTCCTTCGTTCTCATTCACACACACTGTCACTCTCTCTCTCTCTCTCTCTCTCTCTCTCTCTCTCTCTCGTCTCTCATCATCATCACGTGATTCTCACGTGAAGGAGGGCCCGTCCTTCTCCAAATCCATGGACGACTTAGCGGAGGCCGGAATGGACGCGTACCGACAGGAGAAATCCCTGTACAAGTAATCGTCGTCTAAATTACCGCTTTGCCCCGGGCCCTCGTCGAAGTTGAGGGAGTAACTCGTGGGGTCGTAATGGAATTTGGAGGAGCGCTTGTTGGCGGTGCTCTTGTTGAAGCGGCGGATGAAGGTCTTCCACTTGGGGCCCGCCACGACTTCGGACCACTCCCGGATCTTCTTCCAGCCCCGGTTCCACCACGGATCTCCGTGGTCGCCGCTGTACCGGATCCGCTCCCAGGACCCGTCCATGGAGGACGGTTCGGAGCCGAAGCAGGGCATCCATAAACAGCACCCGCTTGTCTTGGCGGACATCAACTCCTCGACATCATCGGATTCGGCAAGGTCCGGTTTTGGAGGTGGAACGGCTTGGTAGGCGGCGGTTTTCGGCGGCATTTATTGACAATTAGCTAGGGCTTCTTAATCTATCAGATTTTTTTTAAGGATTTAAGGGGGTTCCTTAAATCCTTGTGTTTCTGCAAGCCCTAGCCCTTTGGTTGGTCGGCCTGTTTGTGTTTGTGTTTGTATACGAATATATATGATTTGTGAGAAATACAGGTCTCTCGGTTTGTAACGGAAATCTCGCTGGACATGGAAATGCATTACTGGCCCCCGGGTGTCAATTACGGGGCCTTCCTTCTCCTTGTAGTATTTGGCTTCCATCTTTGTACGTACTTAGCTTGTTAATCAAAAACTGATACAGAAATGCAACTTTACGCTTTTAACTTTATATTATTGTCATATTAGATAATTAAAAACAATAATATTATTGTGATGTGTAAGTTAACTGCTTAACGCCCGAATTTGGTGATTTTAATTAGCAAATAGCTCCCGCTGTGGCGCAACAAGTGAGGTCATATGACAAAAGATTTGAATGTCACTGGATAACATTATTTTACTATTTCCATCCAATTATGTACTGTTATGTTGAATTTTTATCACGCGTGATGAAACGTAATTAACTAAAAATAACAAAACAATGTTATTCTCAAGGCATACGAGTTTTTATCGGTCATATATATGGTCATATGCAGTGCGTGATTATGTTTTGGTCATTTCGTAATTAATTTCCGCTGTCTGTAGCTGGCGCCAAAGCATTAACTGACATCCAAGAATCAAATAGGCAATGGTCGGTGGTGGTATAATCATATTATATATACTACGAGGAATCTCTGATTTAATCATATTCATAATTCTGAGGGTTCATCAATTGGGAGCTTGTTTATTGTTAATTAATTAATTTTACTAAATAGATTGGCTGCTTTTAACTCAAGTTAGAAAATGAATTGATCAGCAGCAGCATTGGGCATTGGGCATTGGGCATTGGGCATTGCGCGCGCTACCTGTTGCATGCATAATGCATCTGGATTCTGGCCAAGAAAAAATGGCAGAAAATATAACACGTGTTTTTCTGTCGCCTCTCTCTTCTGTTCGTTTTCTCTCCTTAATTTCTGGCTATTTTTGGAAAAATTGCTAAAAATAAATACACGTTGTGAAGATTAGATTTCCATGGATCTCTTTCCATTTTGTCAAAGGAAATATGTTGACTAAATTAACCTAACACTAAGCAACTTTTTCTTTCTTGGCTTGGACATGAAGCACATTAAATTGTTTTGCTTGGACATGAAGCATAATGTATTGTTGACTTTGGAGGAGATCAACTTCTCTTTCTTTCTTCACCAATTTTATAATGACTGGGTTGCTCTCTCAAATTTCTCCTTTCTTTTTCCTCCTGAGTGTTAGGAATGTCAAATCTGATGTTTTGGAAAACATCTCCTCTCTCTTATTATAATTAATTACCTCATTTTGCGTTCCACGTGATAGGAATAAATAAATAAAGATTTCTCAAGGATTACTAATTTCCTTATCTTAAATGATGAATCTTTTAAATAGAAAACAAATTACAACAAACTTTTAAAGAGTATAAACAAAATTACTTCATTTTTATTTCTTTTTAGCTTTTGGCTTTCGATACAGATTTGCTTAATAATCTTTAGGAGTTGCGAACTAAACTGCTTTGGATAGTTGCTAACATATACATTACATAGTTTCAGTATAGCATTTTGTCGAGCACCTGGTGTGCACGCATGGGGTCACTAATTTTACAATTAGCTTTTTGTAAATTCCCTAAAAGGAACATGATGCATCTTCTGTAAAGCATTCTTGGGCACATTTCTACTCATGGTACAATGTGCAAGCTTCAAAATAAAAGTTTTGGGATGCCTAAAAGTTCGATAGCTTCACCAACTTATGAACTTGTATACAGTCATCTATCTAGTCCACTATATTGGGGACCATCTCTCCTGGCACTACACTAGAAGATTCTTTACTATTAGAACTGTGAATAATTTCTTTCCATGTCTAAGTATGCCCTTGAACTTGTGGTAACAACCAAATATGACTATGGAATAGTTTTTCAATCGACCTCCAAAACCAAAGCATGCCATGAAATGAAAGATTATGGATGAATAGATATGAAGAAATCAAATTAAAGTAACAAAGTACATAATAAGAATGAAAAGGCGAATGGTCCAATAAATAGATTCTTCCACACAACTCAAGTGTTAATGAATCACATATCAATTGGGTAAAGGACCTTCTTCAACACCATCAGAGGAAAAAAAATCCCACACGAAAAATCTCATGGGTTATGGTGGGATTTGAGATAGGTTTAGTATTTATAATTCACACTAAAAACTCCCATACAATTCCACATTTAAAACAGTCCTTTGAAATTAGCGAGATTTTGAATACCATAAGACTTTTTGTTATTTGATTAAAGTCATAATTGAATACCACTAGATTTGGTCACTCTCTTTTAAAAATCCTAATAGTCTGAATGGAATACCACAAAACTATTTTATATCATTTAAAAGTTTTAATTGAATACCAAAAGACTTATTTATCTCAAAATAATCTTTTAAAATTTCAATTAAATACACCGGTAAATCAACCTATACATGAAGCACGTTTAATATATTAACATTAAGCAACTCTTTTCTTTCTTGGCTTGGACATTAAGCCCATTATTGACTTCGGAGGAGATCAACTTCTCTTTCTTTCTTCACCAATTTCATAATGACCCGGTTGCTCTCTCAAATTTCTCCCTTCTTTTTCCTCCCGCGTGTATGAATGTCAAATCTGATATTTTGGAAAACATCTCCTCTTTCTTATTATAATTAATTACCTCATTTTGCATTCCACATAATAGGAATAAATTAAAAAAGATTTCTCAAGGATTACCGGTCTCCTTATCTTAAGTGATGGATCTTTTTGAAAAAGCCTAGCTAATAGTATCTTGGATGTATATTGCGGGTACTTGGTATAAGTTTCCATTGTTAATAATTATTGTTGGAATAAGTCGAATCAAACTTGACCAACTCCTATACGGCTTTAACTACTAAGTATTCAAAGCTTATTTGGACTACGTACATGATCAATTTTAAAAGTTAAAAATTAATCTCTTTTAGTCATTTACATAATAATGTATGAAAATCAGATAGTCACAATGTAATACACGTGCTTTTGGTTGCTGATCCAGATCAATTCAACTTTTTGTAGCGTTTGGTCACTGTAGAAGTTGTATCCATATTCGGCACTTTAGTTGCTTTGTACTTGTTTTTGTTTATTTTATTAATAAAATACTATCGTTGTTTTATAAAGAACGAAAAGAAAGTAATATACATGTTTTGCATATTCTGCTGCTGAATCAGTCAATTCTTTTTAGTCATCATAAACATATATATAGTTCAATGAGCAGGAAGTCACATGGCAAAAACTCAGATTATCAACATATTGCAGCGCTTAACCAGACTTTGAAATTAACTTGTGAGAGTTGCATTTGTGACAAGTCAAAGTGCGGCTAAGTCCTAAGAGAAAATATTGGTCAAAGCAAGAAAAAAACCTAGACGACCAGGCACATATATTCAAATTAATAGTACCTTACCGCGCTATAAAGTCCATGTTGAATCTGTCTCCCTGGATTTAAATTTCGTTCCTGCTTCCTCACCTCGAACCATTTCGCATATACGTGTCTGAATTGGCGTTCTAATTTTTCCTCTCTCATTTTTTATTAGTCAAACAAGCTCACCATATATTTCATCTATAAATACCGAACCCCACTCTACCCAACTTCATAACTCGAAAATCCTCGACCCATTAGCTACCTATACCACAAAACAAAAAAACCAGTGACTTTAGTTGTTGAGTTTTAGTCATGGCCAGAGAAATCAAGCTCCAGCGTTTCCTCGTTCCCCTACTTGTTCTGAGCTTCGTTTTGCTAGCTGCTGCCATAGAAGCCCGTCCTCTTTCTCATCATTATAAGAATCATCACCACCACGGCCACCAGCTCCACCACAACCCGAGGAAGGCCGGTCGGAGCCCGGGAGGGGTTGGCCAATACTTCGGTGATGTTCTTGCCCTCTGGGGAGTCAAGAATTCTGGTCCAAGCCCCGGTGAAGGCCACTAATGTTCGAATCTTTAGTTTGTTTGTTTGTCCCTCATATGGTGCACACATATAAAGTTGTGCTAGCTACTTTAGTATTTAGGGCTCAAATATCCAGTTAGCACAGCCCGTGTTATACTTGTGGAAAAAAGTTGCATTCTTTAATTTCTTCATCATTCTATTACAAAGCCTGTATCTTTCTTTCAAGATACGTATTTGGTTTCCTTTTTTTATTATTAATTGCGTTTCTTTTGTAATCAATTATCAAAGATGGGCTCAAAATGATATGATATTGGGCTGTTTGTTGAAGTTTGTATTTTTACTTCTTGTCCTTTATTTTGAATTTTGTTTATTTTGGCCATGTTTGTTTAAGTAAAGATTTTGGTGAAGCCTGTGACCCCAACTGTTTTCGCCTGGCTCTATAATAGTAGAAATGAAATCGAGATGAATGAGAAGAAAAAAATATTCAATTAAAAATAAAAAAATAATAATTTGGGGTAAGGAATCGCACTCTGAGGGGACCTATACGACTTATAGGTGATCCTGCCACTGAATCACTGATAAACTTTAGGGCAATATTGACTTTTCAGATTTCAGTTCTGCTCACCGATTTGGAAGATGTCCTAAAATATATTTTATATATAAATATTAAAATTTAAAGAGTATAGCCGTACGGCTATACCCTTTAAATATATTCAAATATTTTAACAATACAGCCGGGCTGCTCTTTTAAAGCGTATAGCCGCGCGGCTGTACTCTTTAAATATATTCTAATATTTTAAAAGTATAGCCGAGCGGCTATACTACACAAAATGGTTTTCTCTTTTGTAATTAAGTAATATCTTAGCAATTTTTTAATTCCTTTAATTAGTAATTATGTTTAATTATTATTTCTTTAGTGATTAATTAGTATTTAAATATTTTACTAATTTCATAAATTACTTAACAAATAGTAATGAATTATTTTAAATTATTTTGGGAACCTTATTTTTTATTTTTTATGTACAAAATTAGTTTGTTTTGTTTAATATTTGCAATTAAGTAATATATTAGCCTTATTTAATTATATTAATTATTAATTATTGTTATTTAATGAATAAATAGTATTTTAATTAATTTCATAAATTACTTAATAAATACTAATTAATTATATATACTTATCTAAAATAAATTTGTGGATTTTAAAATTATTTTAAAATTACGAATATATTTTTGAAATAATTTTAATTATTATAAAATTATTTTAGCATTCCAAAAATGAATTTGAACCTCCAATCCTTAAATCCAAGTCTCAAACCTAACCACAAGACTACTGGGAGAAGAAAAAAGAATAATTTGGGTAACGGTCCACTAAGGGGACCTATACGACTTGTTAGGTGATCGTGCCACTGAATCACTGATAAACTTCAGGTTTCAAAGTCATTTCTGCTCAAAGTGACTCGATTTGGAAGTTGTAATGTTTTTTTTCTTTGAGCCGGTGTTTGACCGTTTGATAAAATCCTACCTACGCTATCATTGCGACCCCACTCACTGTGGTTTAAGAATGAGAACCAAGAGATTAAATTAATTTCTTGTTAATTTCAATGAGCTCTAAAATCAGGACTAGCTTGATTCTTTGGATTTCTAAATAAAGGAAAATACACATCTAACTTAGCTAGCTTGGCAATATAAAACTTAAACATTTCCTTGAGAAAATAAGGAAAGGAACTATAAGAAACAGCAAAGCCCTACAACTCATCCTCACACCTTCCATACAACATAAAGGATATTTTTGTGTTCCTTGATGGACAGTCAATAACCAGAGGAATTATAACCCATATAGTTGAAGCGCGGTCGAATGTTGTGGTGACTGTATCTCGAATCTCCATAGTCTACAGCCTTTATCACCACGGCTTCACGTCGTCCATCCTGTTCTTGAACTGCCCCAAACACAATCTCATTTGTCTCGCTGCTCTTCTCGTAGAATGTTTTCGGGCTTGATGAGTATTGCCTGTGATGCTGCTGCTGTCGGTGTTGCTGCTGCATCTGCATCTGATGTTGTTCCTGTTGCTGCATCTGCATCTGATGTTGTTGTTGTTGCTGCTGCTGCTGCTGCATCTGCATCTGCATCTGATGTTGTTGCTGTTGGTGATATTCACCATCCCATGAATTATAGTACGCTTGACTTTGCTTCAAATGGTGGGACTTCTCCAGGTCTTTGGTCATGAAGGGGTAGGTTTTCTTTGGGGTTGGGCTTCTGGTTTCTATTGACGGCGGCTCATCTTCATCTGGAATCACAAAGCTCTCTTGCATAGGCCATGCATTTGAATGTTTGTTAGCTTGATGATACTGCTGCTGAATCTGATAATGCATAGGCTTTCTTCTAAATCCCATAAACAACCCCCCCAAGATTTCAGCCACAGATGAGCCAGTGTTAACGGCAATCTTCCCTAGTGAACCAAAGAAACCATCATCTAGTTTTTCTGGTTCATCTTCAGGTGGAATTAAAGGGGGCCTGATAGATTTAGGAGGCCTCTGATATGGTGCCATTGGTGCATCTCTCTTCATAGGAGTTCTTCGATCCTGTAGAATCAAAATAATTTGGAATTGGGTTGAAATATTGAAGACAAGGTCAAACAAGAAACCTGTGATGGCTTACCTCATCTGAAGAAAACATTGCTTGCACCCTACGCTGCAGCAATGCCAGCATGTAACCAAAGAAGGCAGCTGCAATCAGCATTGCTATTCCTGCAATGATGGACGACAAATTTTATATACCTGCATCACCTAAAGCAAATCAAAGGGTTGAAATTTCAAGCTGTTTAGTTATACCTAAATGGAAACTGCCATCGTAGCTGTCAGTACAGTCATCATAGTGGAGTTGGATCTCTCGAATTGCCTGGTTTCCTCTGTCTATAACCAAAAGAGAGCAGCTACTGCCAATGTATACCACGTCAAAATCACTAGAAAACTTTGCATCTTCACTTGGACCATCAACATGACCACCTCCTCTGCCCCATTTTCCACCAGCAATTGTCGTGACCCCTGTAGAAAGGAAAATTTAATTCAAATTGCTCTAAAAGCCCGTTCCTGTTGGTGACATAAGTTTTTCTTGCCATTACATAACTTGAACACCATGATAACAGAAGAAAGAGGCCATTCCTTAACCAAAATAATGCCTTGAACATCCAGAGACTTACCGGCATCACTTATCTTCCTGATAACCATATTCATTGTGTCTGCAACATAAATATTTCCTCTGTCATCCACAGTCAGCCCTTTGGGGTGGTTCATTCTTGCTTCTCTTGGCCTCCCATCCACATGCCCAGAGTACCCTTCAGGTGATCCAGCAATCAGCTTGGGTCGGCTATCTGCATATCATCCTCTCATTCAGCATATAAAAGAATGATAGGCTATACCGAAATATTTCAACAGATAACAAGCATTTAATAGGCAACTGATGAAGAAATTTTTTCTTTGTAGAAAGTGAGAAGATTTTAAGAGTGCAGAACTCAATTTGTTTGTGTATCTGATCAATATAAAATCAAAGAAATATGGAAGTTCATCTTTTCTTTATTTTCTTTTATATTTTGATAATTGATTATCGTAACAATGCAAATGAAGCTGAAATTATGAAAGAAAAAGTGTCATTAGGAATCATTAACCAATAAATAACGAAACAAGTTTCCCATGTGAAAGCACACAAAGTCCTTTAATCTAGGTTAGGGAAATGAAAAAGAAATATAAGATGAGTAAACAAAAAACTCTAACTGGTCATTAGCGAATCCTGGTCACAAACCAAAAGAAAAAGATAGAAAATCTCCAAAAAGATAGCACTTGATTATCCAGAAAGTAGAGTCTTCCACTAAACAAAAGCATATAAAAGCAGCAACAGTAAAAAGTGAATTTGGAATTTGGCTAGAGGTGAAGGCAAGAAAGGAATCAGAAAACAATGTCCTAAGTACATCAAGCCAAACAGAAAGTTTAACTATTAGGATGAGCTAGAGTTGGGTCCCTGGATATACATTAGTGGTAGCAAACAAGAGATGCAGAGACTTAATAGCATAATCCAAAAATTAACGTAGCAAAAGTGGCTTACACCGAGACAATGGCGTTGAGATCTTGTAGATGTTGCTATTTTCAGAATCCAACACCAGAAGGTCTCCACTTGGGGATACTTCAACTGTGTGTGGTTCAATTCCAAGCTTACTTCCATCAAACACCGTATCCACCGTATAGTCACCCTCAAATTTCACCATCGAACGGCCAGAAACAGCTGAGAAATTTGAAAACCTCCCATTACCATTGCAAAACAACATACTATCTAATTACCACATTAACAACCTCAAAATCGGGGACCATTGGAAAATGTACCTGTGCCGGTTTTGGTGGTGGATTTGAGTGACCAAAGCCATTTGACAAGAGCAGAGACCACATTGGAGACAACCCCAGTTACAATTTCTGCATATATTTAGGAAAATACAAAAGTACCGGATAAAGCAGATGACACATTTGAATCAGCGTGTGATCAAAATGCAAACTTTAACTTAAAATGGGCGTATGCTTGTCAATACTCACTTGCAGGAGAACTGGCTGATGCGGATGAAAAGTCCCCGGAGAGAACCACACAAATCAGAACCAGTGCAACCCAGTTCCTCGCCATTGTTGTTGCTGATCAGAGTTGAACATCAAAGAACAGAATACTCCCACCTGAGGATTGAAGCTCTGAACTTGTAGGAAACCCACTTAAGTAGGAGACACCACAGACAATGTTCTGCCACTTTTTCTACGTGTTAATCAGTATGAAACCTTTTTCAGAGAGAGAAGGTAAAAGAGACAAAGAGGGTATAAGGAATTTGGAAGGTTTGGTAGTAAACACAGTGGAGCTCTGTGCAAGAGAAAAGAAAAGGTAAAGGCAAAAGATATAGAGAGAGAGAGAGAGTGGTCTCACTGCTGTGGAAAGCCAGCAAGAGGGAATCATATACTCTGTTTTTTGTCTTAAATTTATATTAACCAAGTTGGGTTTATTTTTTACATCTGGATTTTAGCAGACTGAAAGAGCTGGGGCGAGCTTTCTAATTAATTATAGTTGGTGGTGTTGGTGTTAATCACTTCACTTTCCCCCAGAAAATATTATCATAGCCAGGGGCATTAGTGTCATTTTCATCACGAGGCTGTGGTTAGTTGTTCATGTTCCTTCCTAAATTTGGGAAAAGCAAGCATAGCATCATCATCATCAGATGATGTTATGCAATTTTGGAACAGCCAGAGAACATACTGAAAAACTGTGACTTGTAGGCTGTACGCCTGCAAGTAGCCTACTACAAGTTACTTCAATTATATGTTCCTTTGGTGCTTTGTTTATTGCTGTTGTCTTTTTGCTTCTTCACCCTCATCTCTCATCTCTGATCTCTCATCATGTGCTTTAGATCCCATTCGTTATAATAACAAACCAAAGTGGTCTGTCGCGGTCGTGAGAATGTTTTTAATCTTCTTTGTTTTTCCTTTAATGGTCAACAAAATCACCTTCTTTTTCTTACCTAATTCTTTTGCTTCTGGCCTTCTGGGATTCTTATGGGGCAGGGCAGGGCTTGGCTTGTAACGTTTGGATTACGCTACCTCTAATCATGCTTTCCATCCATCGCAGCATCATCACATTTGTTTATGCATCTTTGATATTTCCAAGTCAAGAATCTATCCATCTTTGAGTACTCTAATGATGAACAACGATAATCGGCAGAAAAAACTTTACAACCTTGTAGGATTTTCATTAAACCCAAATGAAAAGCCCAAAATTTGGCCCAATTCTCTTATTGATGCAGCATATATTTACTTGGGAAAGAACGAAGGGCGGGCCATGACTGTGATACTATCTCAAATGCAAACCCCAGAAGCATCACCGCTTCCGTTGCCTAAGAGCTCTAGAAGTTTTTACAGTGTAAGGGCAGCATAAAAATGCCATGATCTATCATATACAATATGACTGAAACAGCAAAAAGATAAGAAAAAGAAAAGAAAGCAAAGAAAGCATTGAGTACAAAGCTGTACCTACCGTATAACCAAAACTAAACGTGGTAGACCATCCCTACCTCTAGAGTAGATGCACGAGGAATGCTTAAAGCATAAGTTGGCCCCCGAAAGTTTCTCCGCAAGAAATCATACCCGACATTGATCACTAGTTTCTTCATCAAATTGGATCCTCTCTTTGCCTTCACATATGAGTGGCCTAATATAAATGCCATTCCTGCCTCCCTTGCTTCCATCAGTTCCCGCAACTCCTCTACTGCCTCCCTATCAATTTGTGGAGACTCTGGAACAACAAATCTCACCCTCTTCTTGGGCTTTTCTGTAGGCCTTATCTCCTGCAACTCTGAGGTGCTTGCCATTTCAGAGAAATCTGCATCATCTACAGACATTCTTATGCCATCTAAATTTGATGATGAAGTCCCAACAACTGTCATTTTCTCATCGTCTTCCAGTTTTTCTAGACTGACATCACATTCTGGTCTCTCTGACCGAATGAATTCTGCAATACTACAAACGAGATCTCTTTCAAATTCAATGTCATCCTTGTGAACATCACGATAACCATAGCGTGCTATGCATCTATAGAGCCGGTATTCCTTGGGACCAACTCGTCCCACTAAGAATCTTTCCTCAGGTCCAACATGTGGGACTGGGACGGACTTGATGCAGAGGAAAACTACAACCTGGTGGAAAGCAGGGAGGTTGGTAACAAAGTGAGAGAAAATAGCTGGGATCCCAGAAACGAGCTCAGTATGTATAAGGCCAATCCCCCGGACCCTAACAATCCCCAGAGTAGGACCTAAACTGAGGAGCCAGTTGATGGAGACTTTATTTTGGACATCAAACTCATATTTCTTGAAAGTGCCATAATGCCATACATACATAACCACTAAGAAGATGAATGAAAGAGCAACGGGGACCCAAGCCCCTTCACGAAACTTTATGAGCGATGCTGAGAAGTAGAGTGCCTCAATGGAGCCGAAGAATAATATAAAGCAAATTGCCAGGAAGATGCTTTTGTGCCAGCACAAGACTATGACTAGAGACATAAGGCAGGTAGTTACCAGCATGACAGTTATAACGGCCAAACCTATATAATAAAGGTAAAAGTTTCAGGATACAATAATGCGGTAAAAAACTTTAAACATGTAATAAGCATACTTGGTAGGATAATACATTACACACCATAAAAAATCCCAAACACACAAAATCAAAGGTTATGTAGAGTCTTGACTATGTGTTGGTATGTCCATGCAAACAAACATTGAAGTAAACTGTACCTGATGCATTGCCCATGGATTTTGTGTCTCTAAAACCAATGGTAACAGCCAAGCATAGCAACATTAATGTCCAGTTAATCTCTGGGATGTAAATTTGTCCATGTATTTTAGAAGATGTGTGGATAATCTTGACCCTTGGAAAGCAACCCAAAGAAGAACATTGTTTGATTATTGAAAAAGTTCCAGTTATGATGGCTTGACTTCCCACCACTGCAGCAAGTATGGCTATTGCCAAAACAGGCCATCTTATTTTCTCTGTGACAAGGAGAGAACTTTAATTAGCTTAATCTCAAAGTTAAAACTGCTGCAAGTATGGCTAGACACCTACCAGGAACTGATTCATAGAATCCAATCCGATAGTCACTCTGTATGACATGATGCTCAGAAAGGTATGCAGCTTGTCCCATATATGCTAGAATCAAGGATGGGTAAACCACAAAGGTGAAGGCAATCTGCAAGGCAAATGTGAAAGATTACTTAGTTAGTACAGATGAAAATCTTCACTTGACCAGTATAGATTATTCAGTTTGAATACCTTGATTGACAACTGTGAAAAGTGTCCAAGATCAGCAAACATAGCTTCCGAGCCTTCAAAGACAAACAAGATAATGTCAGAGAAGGAAAGTAAGCATCCATGAAAAGAAGGTTCACTCTGCATACTCTTGTACCTGTCATGCACAACAGTATACCACCCAAGGACATCCAACCTCCCTTTTGGGTCTTCTTCAAAAATTTGTACATGTAATATGGAGAGAGTGCTTGATAAACTTGGGGATTCCAACGGAAGATGTTGTATACACCAATGGAACTGATGCAGAAAAGCCAAGTGATCACAACTGGGGCAAACAAGAACCCTACCCGGTGGGTCCCGTAATGTTGAAGGGCAAACAAAAATATGAGTATAACACAAGCAACTGGGACTTCAACATCTGCACATAATCAATATGTTGAGTTCAAGTAAGAAATCATAACTTTTCAGGCATAACAGAATCCCGCATTAAGTTTCCTACCAGGTTGGTCAAAGTAGTGTACAGTTAAATCGGTTGTTGAAGCTTTAAAATAACTTTCCAGAAAAAGTAATATGCGTATATATATACAATAAATATTCACAAACAGCATTGAAACTAATAAGGCTACACTACTTGATCAAATGGCTGCTCAAAGTCCAATTGATAGAACAATTTTCTGTTTAGACAGCTTTTGTAACCCATTATGTAATTGTCATTGGAGAGCACATTGTCCACAAATAGCAAACACTAGAAAATTAAAGTTGACAGGATCATCAACAAATGAGGTAATAGATAAAAGTCCACCTGGAAAGGATGCCAATTGTGAAACACACACACACATATGTACAAGTACATGATATATGGCTGTATGCGAAGGGGATGTTTAAACCTGGTAAAGTTCTGAAAGTAGAGGTGTAACTATATTGTCCACTGTGACTACGAAGGTGATGATTTAATTAGAACACTAGTGGCACTTGAAAATATAATCATAAGATGGTGACTTCATACTGGTTAATGAAATGTTTTAGCCATCAGCAAGTGGGTCAAGGCTTGGTCAAAAGTTATAATTATGTATACCTCTTAGGAGGGCTCCAGTCATAACTCTAACTCAATTCGACAAGTCTAGCTATGACCATATTGCCAACTAGATAGATGTCTACTCTAGATCACTCTTCAATTTTTATTATATTATTCAGAGTCTTATCCAAAATAAGTTACTTTCTCCTTCATCTTATAGCTACATCTTCTTCACTTTATAAAAAGACACGACTTTTTACTCTCAATAGTATATTCATGAAAGTTGAAACTATATTTTTTTTCAATCACATGTTGCACCTTTACTTTTCTACAAAAACAAAGAATAATCAACTGTTTACCCCCACAAAAAAAAAAACAGAGAAAAATCAACTGGGCGTTCCACACTAATCATTCTAATTATATTTTATTAGCTTGATAGTGATTTGACTTTAAATTAAGCAGGATAATTTGTCTTAATATTTGTAGGGTCCTATGACAGTGTTTTCATTTACTAAAATTAGGTATTGCCTCCTTGTCACTAGTTCACGTCTGTGCAGTAGAAAGGAAGAAAAAGCCTCTGAAATTTAGAACACCCTTGATTTGCATCTACTAAAAGTAAGATTTAGATACCTAACAATGATTTGCATCTGCTAACAGTCTCGTTGCAGATATATTGGGAATAGATGCAAAGAAATTCTATGAAGCAGTGCAGCCAAAGCATCTTGGAATTAATATAGATGGCAGAATTTTCTCTACTGTGTTAGCAGTCTGTAATCCTGATTAGTCAATCTAATTTCAATTTCTAAGTTATTCTTTTAGTTCCTAATTGGAAAGTTAAGTTCCATCAAGATGGCAGAATGCCAGAGAACATCCACCACACAGCCAAAACCGGTTGTAATTAATATACTTATTAAACAGTGTAACTGATTTGAAGGCGTGAAATGAAAGCTCCAGTAGAAAAGAACTTACATCGATGCTGCTCTTTTGACATGGAAAGCTCCAGACCCGAAACAGCCGAAAAAACTGCAGCCACATGAAGCAATTCTCATTATTGAAATCCCAATTGCACAACTTAAAAACCCAAAATTTCAATAATATCATAAACACCCAAGTACCAGAAATTGCTGGTGTGAGCACCCCATCACCAATAACCATACAAGTCCCAATCAAAGCCAGAATAAGAAGCACCTTTTGCAGCACTCTATGCTTCTCCAATGTGGATTTTAAACTCGACCCAAAAGCACTGTTACTGGTTGAAACAACACCATCTTTAGTGTACTCTGATAGCTCCTCATCTGCAAGCTGGCAATTGGGCAAGGAGCTCACTCGGGCATGCCGGGATAACAGTGAATACAGAGCAAAAGTCCCACCTTCACCATTATCATCAGCTCTAAGCACAATAAACACATATTTCACTAAAGGTATCAGCGTCAGTGTCCAGAATACAAAAGAGAGAACCCCATAAATCTCCTCATTAGTCTCTGAATGATGAATGTCCTCTGCAAAAGTGCTCTTGTAAACATACAAAGGAGAAGTGCTTAAATCTCCATAGACAACTCCCAAGCTCTGATAAGCTAAAGTTAACAGTGTCTTCCATGAATCTTTCTGCAACAATTTATAAGAAGAAGAAGCAATTATCAGAAAGCTGGGAATTGGAATTGGAATACTATAATACTTATACTGCCACACTGTGCCACATGTATTACCTTAATTGGATGGCTACGGACCACACCCTCCAGATCCACCATGATGGGCTGTCTAAGAATTATACAAAATCCATTTTTTCAGGCAAGTTGAAGGAAATAAAGACGACCCAGGTGGATTAACACCCTCCCCAGTTCAACCAAGTCGAGAAAAACAAGAAAATTGATAAAGAAAATAATAAAGATACGGTCTTTATTTCTTTTCTTGTCCCTCTCTCTTTCCTAACGAGATTTGACAAAGGTACTAGTTTAAGACCAACCAATGTAGACCAAAAAAAATAAAAATACGAAACACCAGAAACGAATATAGAGAATGGTGTTGGAAAGAGGAGAGGTGGTTGAAAACTTGGAATTTGAGCTGCAGAATAGAATATGGTGTGGGGGTCTTAGAGAGAGAGAGAGAGAGAGAGAGAGAGAGAGAGAGAGAAAAGGGGTCTTCTTTCTTCTTCTTTTTTGTGTGTGTGTGTAAGTAATGGTAGGTTTGAGTTTGGTTTTCTCTTTCAGCTAAAGTTGTTTTGCTTTAGCTTGGATTCTAGATGGAAAACTATAGAGGAGGGGTATCCTTCTCCTGTCCACTTGGCTCTATCTGAGAGAAGAAAATACAGGGAGTGGAGAAAGTGCTCTGTAAACAAGGCATGCACTAACTGGAAATTCTTTAACACTTGACACTTAATATTTATATTTATATATCTATATATTTATTTTTCCTGGCTCTTCTCTTCTGACATAGCAATTAAACTGCAACCCATCAACTGCGAGTCTGTGTACCTCCCTGCTTGGCAATGAATCATTGGTCCCTATCTATAACTCAGACAGGTCGCGGGAATGGCATTTCTGTAAATTTTTCAGGAACTGAGTAGATTAGGAGTCAGGACTGAAAGGGAAAATTCAATTTGTTGTGTTTTTAACTAGAGTCCACAGAATTTTAAAGACTACTATAATAAATGGGTGTGTTTTGTGTGTGAGAGGATTTTGGTATTATTAGGAGAAAATGATTGTTCTTCTCATTTCATTTTTGCAATTGACAAACTAATTAAACAATAAATTGTTTTGTTCATGAATCATGATTGATCTTCTCATTTAGACAAGTAGCCTATCACTTATTAAAGAAGTAATTTTTGCATGTTTCTGGTACATCACGTAACTGGTGTATTATCTAATACATATATAACATTTCTTTAAAAATGAGTTGTTGTTGAATGACAATAAGCTTTGACTCCTCATTGCAAATGGGGGGATTTATTTGCATAGGCCTTAATAGAAATTAAAAAAATTTCATAGCTAAAGTTCTCATCTTTTATTCGCTCACCAAAGTGAAGTCGCTTTAAGCTACCTAGCTAGTGAGGTTTAGTTAGACCTAAGATCTAAAAATCTGGTAAGCAGCCCCTAAACTAAAAAGTAACCTAGAATTAGTTTAAGCAACCTTACAAGATAACAAGAACAAGATACTTCCTTTCCTGAGATTCTAACTGAATTTACTTCTTTCTAAGGCAGCAGCAGAACCTTGGAAAATCTGCTGCACTGCTGGCTGGCGGGCTAGCTAGAATTTGAGTTGTGCAAGCTAAAAGCTTTCCAATCTTTCAATTTTTTTTTTTTTTTTTTTTTTTTTTTTTTTTTTATTAATTTTTTGGTCTGACACCCAAAAAAAATTTGTGGCAAAGAAAAAGGGTATTGAAACAGTGTCCAAATCTTACCAACAAATTCTGGTGGAAATGCAGGCATTTACTTGCATGAATGGAGCCAATGGACCCCATCAGCCCCACTGTCCGAATTCCTGGATGCTTGTGCTTCATGCTTATGAAAGTGATTAAATTAGGTCGGGGACCCCATGGAATCCGTTTTAGTGCTTATATATGTGAGTGTGCAGAGAAGAACCTCACCTAATTTCAAACACGTGGTTCATCAGCAGCAGCATATTAGAGAAAATAACACCAACTAACCCAAGCCTAACCATAGTTAATCAAACCTAATTAAATTAATAGTTTCAATTCTGAGTTGGACCAACCGAGTTGACTCAGTTGAATGAACCATGTAAAATGCAAATACAGATAATAAGAGGGGCTGAAGATTAGATAAGAAGATGTGCTTACGACAATTTTCCATAATATAAAAAGGAGATAAGATGATGAATGATCGTGAAAGAAGGAAGGCAAGCCATTCACATGAGCTGAATGTGGAGAGGAGTAACACAAGTGTAGGCAAGCTATTACAAATTATAATTGAACCCAGTAGACGCCAAAGAGATCATGAAAAGAAACTAGCAAAGTGCAAATCCCATTTTGTCACATTAATTTCTTACTTTATTTCCTTTTCAAGTGGTCACCACACCCACTACTGGTTCATGTCATGCCCCAATATTGCCTTACCCATCAACCTTTTCTTCTTTCTTTCTGGTTTCATCTCTGGGATTTTCCATTCTAAATGGAAATATCTGGGATCAAGTTGGATCCCATTACCTTGAATCATCGACAAATTCTTTCACTTATCGCATGCTCAATCTTTTCTTTCTTTTGTTACAAGACATATCGACATGCTTTTGGAAAATATATCATTTACATAAATAGTTAATTTTTTAATATATAATGTGATGTTATCAATTCATTGTAATATTTTAACATGAATGCATTGACCGTGTTCAATGGAGGAATGTGTCAACTGAAAACCCTGTTACCGCATTATATAATTTTTGAACTCTACAAGGTTCTCATGCAAATTGCAATGCAATTAGGAGCTAGGTGATCTAGATCTATTACGTGTATATATATATATATATCCTGATGGAGAAAGCTAGCTAGCATTGAATTAGCAATGTCAAACAAACAGATACATAAAAACGCAGGAGAATCTCCACAAAGGATCTCCAAATGGTGCAAAAGGGGAGGCTATATTTTTATAGTAAAATAAATCGGTGGAAAAGAATTCATGTATATAATAATATAGTACAAGTTACAACCATCGAGAGCGAGGCCATAGAATTCGGGTTTTATGCCGCTCCCACATCTTATTTAGGTCATCAGCTGAAGATTGCATATAACCAAATAATTGCATCTATTTTTTATATAAAATTTGAAAACTGGAAAAAGCAAGATCAGCATAATTTATAGAACAACATGGATCCTGATAAAGCGATCCAATGCTCAAATTAGACTTTCTCTTCTTCTTTTATTTTCTTTATTTTAATTTTATTTTTTTGAACACAAACGATGGTCTAAATTATAGGGTATGAAATTTCACACACACACACACAACTAATATGTCATGAGTTTCGAATTTGAGACATCTTATAAGATAGCAGCAGGCTATAACTCTCATACCCAGCCGGGCAATATCAAACGTTAATTTTTTTAAAAATAAAAAAAAGGGTATTATTACTCTATAAATTATTGCTGGAAATTTGTTTATTGACTTTTTTCTTTCTCGAACCCATTTTTCTTTTCGTTGTTTGGATTGTCGGGATGTCCCCCTCATATGATAGCAATGCAGTTGAATTACATATTTCGTTACGTGTAACGTGTCATGTCCATAAATGAGATTCCTGGCTGGCCTAATGATATATGAAAGATACTTTTTTTTTCTTTCCGATATTAATATATAAATTACCCAATTTATTTATTTTGTTCTGGTTTAATTCAAAAGTTTATTTCTTGTATATGAGAAAGAAACAAACATTTGATGTAGAAGGCAGGCCCCAGAAAACAAAGCTGTACGTCTCTTTTTCTGTCTCTCTCTCTTCTACGGAAAGGGACCCAACTTCCATTCAATGAAACCCAGTTTAGGCAATGAGGTTCGTATGTGTGCCCAATTTCACAAGTAATTCATGATTGGTGTGAAGAAAAATCATCATTGGGGCCTTTTAAAGGGGATGCATCCACAAATTTGATCAACACCCTCATTCCTAATTTCATTTTTATTTTTCTACAAAAGTTGGTTGGACTAATTAATCACGGTAATGAGGATGTCCTTTGCACTTAAGTTCGAATTTCCCTCTCTGTAGACTAGAGTAATTTATAGCATATTTGAATCATTTTAATTCATGTTTCTCATGTGTTTACTAAGAACCAATACCCTCAAAATCGGGAATGGGATGAACTACGGGGAGTAGTTGATTCAATTTCAATTCCTTAATTCTTCTATGTAAGTAAACATGCACAGTAGTTTAGACTATATCACGGCCCAAATCACAGAGCCCATAACGAGCCGGACTCAATTAACATGGGCTTTGACATTTCGCAATCTGTATATCACGGCCCGAATAACAGGAGCCCATTTCCGAGGACCTGAATGCGAGAGCGGAAATTACAGTAAGCTAAAATTCGAGTTGAATTTGAATGGAACAGCGGACGTAATGTTAACCGAAGTCTACGCGTATTCTCCGGTTTCCCGCGAAAATCTCAACGGTCAAAAATAGCGAACCAATTCGCGGCCTTTCTCTCTCACTCTCACCCCCCACCCTCCGCCCCAAATGACATTGTACGGATTTCTGTGTCTCTGTCTCTCTTTCTTTGATCAATCAATAACTTCTTCCTTTTCAATTGAAGGTCATGAAACTTTGTATCCCCAATCAATTATAAGTTAACATAATTGACACTAGAAATTCATTCTCTTGATTTCCTAATCCACCGTAACCTTCGAGATTGGGTGTGCGTGTGCGGGCGTGGACCAGTACGACGAGTTCTATACCGCGGAGTCCGAGTTAACCCCGGAGTCCGCCATGGAAGATGAATAGAATAATCGCCACGCCGGCCTCTAAATTCCGCCCCCTCCACCCCAACAGCAACCCTAACAACGCCGACAGCTCCGGCGTAGCCATCCCAGTGGAAGAGCACCCGCTCCAAATCCTATGGAACCACCAAGTCCTCGACCCGGACAGCGACATCGTAGCCCACTGGAACCACGTCTTCCTCGTCATTTGCATCTTCGCCCTCTTCATCGACCCTCTCTACTTCTACCTTCCCAACGTCGACGGCCCCGCTTGCTTGTCCTCCAACAACGAACTCGCCGTCGTCGTCACCTGCTTCCGCACCTTCACCGATCTCTTCTACCTCCTCCACATGATCATCAAATTCCGTACCGCCTACGTCAATCCCAGTTCTAGGGTTTTCGGCCGCGGCGAGCTCGTCATGGACCCCCGCCAGATTGCCATCCGCTACTTGAAATCCGACTTCGTCGTCGATCTTGCTGCCACCATTCCAGTCCCGCAGGCATGGCATTTGCAATTAATTGATTAATTGATGTTAATTTGGAGTTGAGTATTTTCATGGTGGAAATTGAGGATTTGGTTTGAATTTTGCGCAGATTGTTATCTGGTTAGTGATTCCGGCCACCAGGAATTCGAGAGCTGATCATGCCAACAGCACTCTGGCTCTGTTCGTTCTGACTCAGTATGTTCCTCGAATCTTCCTCATCTTTCCTCTGAATCAGCGCATCATCAAGACCACCGGCGTTGTGGCGAAGACTGCGTGGGCAGGAGCTGCATACAATCTCCTTCTTTTCATGCTAGCCAGTCATGTAAGCAATCAACCATTTCCAAGCAAAGCACTCATGTAAATATTGTCCTAAGAAAATTTAATTAGTTTGCTAAATCTATTACATGGTTGGTGATAATGGTCCAGATAGTTGGAGCTGTGTGGTATCTATCGTCCATAGGGCGGCAGTTCTCTTGTTGGAGACAGGAGTGTAGAAGGGAGAGCGAGTCCATGATTGTGTCTTGCCTTACTAGTTTTCTGGATTGTAATAGCAAGGAGCTACCAGAACGGAAATATTGGCTCAACGTCACCAACGTTGTTTCGAATTGTGATGCAGAGAATGAGAAAAATATCAAATTTAAGTTTGGAATCTTTGGGGATGCTTTCAAGAATGAGGTGGCGAACTCGCGCTTCTTTGAGAAGTACTTGTATTGTTTTTGGTGGGGTTTAAGAAACTTAAGGTATGATTCTAATTAGCCTTCTGCGGAGGTGTGTAAGCTGCTGCATTTACTTTCACTTTTACAATGTAGCATTCTTATTGCTGTTAATGCTGATCATTTGTTTCTCTCTGTAGTTCATACGGGCAGACTTTGAAGACGAGCACATATCTTTGGGAAATAATGTTTTCCATTGTTCTCTGTCTTACTGGTTTAATTCTTTTCTCACTATTGATTGGAAACATGCAGGTATTACATGAGAGTTAATTTTTGGATACCACTACTCATTATGTTATTATTGATTTTCATGTCGCTAACAGGGTAAAGTGTGGCCTTACAAACATTTAAACAGCATAATGTACTTAGCATATACTTCACCTATTTGGTTTTTACATATGGAAGAAACCATAAATGTAGAGCCATCATCTAATTTGTAAAACTACAAAATGCTTAGAAGAAGAAATTCATGCCACCTAAAGCCAGAAGTCCCCTGCAAAACAAATCAGTCATAAACTAGAGCTATTACAGTCACCATGCATATTAGTCGGTAGTTGACCATGCAGTTCACTGAGAGAACTGTAAAGATCATCTAGATTAATATAAATCCATTCAGATTGCTTTACACTTAGCTGATTGTGTCAGGGTTGCGGTATGGATTTTATTTTTCCTAGTAGAACTCGTTTTGTAAGAATAGCGCCTCCAATGGGGATTCATGTTCTTCCAATCTCCGACTTGTAACATTTTGTATACTACTCACCTGCAAGTTTTCATGAGTAATACATGCAAATACTGGTGCTGTTTAATAATATTTTCTTTCCCCTTGTTGAAGACTTATCTGCAATCGATGTCAATAAAATTCGAAGAATGGAGGATTAAGCAGACAGATACTGAGGAGTGGATGAGGCATCGCCAATTACCTGAGGATTTGCGAGAACGTGTACGCCGATTTATGCAATACAAATGGTTTGCCACACGAGGAGTTGATGAAGAATCCATATTGCGCTCATTGCCTTTAGACCTCTGCCATGAAATCCAGCGACACTTATGCCTTAACCTTGTTCGTCGTGTAAGTGTATCTTCCTACTTGTGTTGTTATTTCTGGTGATGCTTCAACCCTGTATCTGGTTACAGGACCCACCCTTATGCAAAAAGTTCATTTCTTCTGGCTTTTCAGTCCTATCTGGAAGTTTAGCTGCGTCCAAAATTGGTGGACCTATCGTTTATTTCCACTATTCCATTCGATTTACAACTCCAGATTTCTCTATTCACAGCATAGAAAAGCTGATGATTAATACAACACATATGAAAAATAGTATTTTTACTGCATAACGGGATATATTTCTAAAGCAATCAGTGGATCATGTATGCAATGAAAGCAGTTGAATATTTGCCAACGGAGGAATCCTACTCTGATAAATCTTGTTCTGTCATTGTGCAGGTCCCTTTTTTTTCACAAATGGACGACCAGCTTCTTGATGCCATATGTGAACGTCTTGTCTCATCCTTGAGTATCCAAGGCACACATATAGTTCAAGAGGGTGACCCAGTAACTGAGATGTTGTTTATCATTAGAGGGAAACTTGAGAGCTCCACAACCAATGGAGGGAGGTCCGGGTTCTTTAACTCCATCGCTCTTGGACCGGGTGACTTCTGCGGTGAGGAACTCTTGACATGGGCCTTGATGCCAAGCTCTAGCCTTAATCTGCCTTCTTCCACTCGGACTGTGAGAGCCTTAACCGAAGTTGAAGCTTTTGCACTTCGAGCCGAGGACCTTAAATTCGTTGCAGGTCAGTTCAAGCGCCTTCACAGCAAGAAACTACAGCATGCGTTTAGGTACTATTCCCACCAATGGAGGACATGGGGTGCTTGCTTCATACAAGCCGCTTGGAGAAGGTTTAAGAAGAGAAAGATGGCAAGGGACTTGGCTATGCAGGAGAGCTTCTACTATATGCAAATCCCAGGCCAAGAGGAAGAGGGTTACTACTACTATGATGAAGAACAAGCAGATGGAAATTATGAGAATAATGAGAATGGTGGGAGATCAGGGGAGAGTACAAGCAATACTGGCTCGCATATTGGGGTCACATTTCTGGCTTCCAAATTTGCTGCAAATACGAAAAGAGGGATTGCCCAGAAAGCTCAGGCGGTTGAGGCTGCTTCTACCAGTTTGGGGATGCCTCGTTTGTTTAAGCCAGATGAACCTGATTTCTCTGTAGAATGAGAGAACAATTAGTTAGTTCAAGATTTGTAATCAGGGAACAGGAAAATGAACTAACGAAAGAATAGTTAGGAACAAAGTTTTGTGACATGGATGTAAATTATACATCAGGTAGATTAGCAGTGACCATCAATTTTCCAATTCTATAGTGTTGAATCATTCGCTCTCAAATATTAGGTACCGTGACCAGTAATAGATTAAATATAAGTGTACTAAAGGAGCAGAAGCAGTCGGAAACCAGTACAGTAGACTGACCTAGCTAGATGGAATACATTAGGCTCCTTAGCTTCTAACAAGAAGTATTTGGATTTAGTAACTAAGATTAAGTTTCTATAAATTGTCATTAAGCCACACAAAAATCCATACAGGTCGGTCTGAAGCACGGTACAAGCCGGTATTGAAATAGTTCTAATTAAGGATGATAGTATCATTTTAGTTTCAACAATCCTTGAGTTTAGAATGCTGGTTTAGAACTCTAGCACAGATCCATACACGAACATGAACTTAAAGTTATGTTCACAAATGCATTTGTATTCTGAAGTATTAGCTAATGGCATTGATGTGGTGTTACAATACAAACCCAAATATATCTAAGAAAACAAAATATTCTCCTTAGAATTAAAGTAATTAATAGTTTCTGATTCTGTTTCGTGGTTTTCAGCTTTCAATACTGAATGCTAGTTTCTGTTGAAACTTCAGGAGTGGAGGCCTTTGCCTCTGTTGACATGTCATGGGCCTCTTGCAATGTTGCAACAATTTGCTCCATGGAAGGTCTTTGTTGTTTAAGTGCTGTGCATGACAGAGCCAACTGAAGTGTGAGATCAAAAGCTTCCGCTGAGTATTCTCCTTCAAGTTTAGGATCAGCAAAATCATTGATGCCGCCACTTCTGTTGAGGCCTTTAGCCTAACAAGTAGAAACATTGATTATCAGTAACATGGAGAACACACTCAATTTGAATATAGAAAAAAGATTATGGGAGGAAATGGTTTCTGACCATTTTACTTAATGGCATTGGTGTGTTCAGATTCATGTTGACAACCTTCTTCCCCGATAGGATTTGTAGAAGTACAATTCCAAAGCTGTAGACATCTCCTGATGAATTTACATGGTTGTTGCTCCGATAGTTAGGATCAACGTAACCGAAAGTTCCTCTCACTTCGGAACTCACATAGGTTTCACCCAGTTCAATGATCTTAGAGAGTCCGAAGTCTGATAGCTTGGCTTCAAAATTCTTCCCAAGGAGAATGTTTGTTGGCTGCCAGGGGAGAAAAAAAAATTCTCAGAAAATGTAGTGTCCAACTTTCTCATTCATTTAGGTGACAATATATCAGCCAGGTATATAAAGGTACAAGGAAGTAGGGAGCTCAGAGCCTCAGACCTTGATATCGCGATGGACAATGCAGCCTTCTGGATATGTGTGGAGAAATGATAGACCTCGAGCACTATCAATCGCAATCTCAAGCCTCTGGATCCAGGGCAGGTTCCTATCTTTCCCTGTTGTTTACCATTTTATTTAAATTGGTTAGCCTGCACAAACCTATAGTTCAAAAAGCTAAAACTTCATGTTAAGGCAGGGGAATATATATACATACCAAAAAGCCATTCTGAGAGGTTTCCATTGGGACAAAGCTCGTAGACAAGGAAACACTCATCTTCGTTTACGCAATAACCAAGCAAAGTAACGAGGTTGGGATGTCTGATGTGTGATAAGCTTGTAACTTCTCTGGCAAATGTCTCCACATTTCCATCATTGATGATGTGCTTAATTGCTACATGCTGATTAGTTGACAGTATTCCTTTATACACCTTCCCTGTTATATTGAGAACAAAATATAAAAACCAGAAAATTAAAAACCCAACCAATCATCAGATTATATAATAAGTAAACTGGTGCTGCAGAATGCTGAATTCAAATTTTGATATATGCTTTCTTGAGAAGAAAATGAGATCCATTTTGCTCTATGTTTTATTTAAATGCTCACCAGCAGTTCCTTCACCAATGAAATTTGATTGGCTTAGATTGTTTGAAGCAGAATACACTTCCTTGATAGAAATTTTTGGACAGCCTGACTCTTCAAAAGGATCATCCTTAAATGCTACTGTTTACATACAAATCAGGCTTAATTAGTATGCACCATATGCAAGGCGTAACTTAGATTTGGTGTTGATACAGCTATGGAATATTATTGTTGGGCATACCGTCTTTTTTCGGTGGTGGACTTGATTGGATACGTTTCTTTGATACAATGCATACAGCTAGTACTACTAAAACGAAGACACCTACGATGCCGCCTCCAATCACAATCCATAAACCTAGCTCCATTGAATACCATAATAGATAGCAAAAGCAACCAATTCAGTATATATTTTCAGCTCTGCAAATGCAAGTGATAATTCAGTGATGGAAGAAGCCTTACCTGTACTTATTTTCCTATTTCCCTTTGGTGGTAGTTGATTATTATCTGCCAAGGAGAAAGAGATGGTTTACAGACAAACTTGATCAGCAGATATAGTGTTGAGAACTTGTAACATTTAACAAATCAACACACACACACACACACACACACACAGAGATTGTAAGAAGTTTCACGAGGCTACATACTGGTGAAGAACTTTTGTGACCCAAGGCAGGTATAAACTGCAAGGAGATGCGCTTTATTTTCAAGTTTAGTGCTTGTATGTGACACCAGGACTGCAAACCTGCAAACATTGGTCTCAACCTCAATAGATTGTGGATCGGAGGATGTGGAAGGCAATGCTCCTATGTCTTCCCAACTCTTCACACAGGAACCACACAACTGCTCATTTTTTCCATCATCAGAACTCTGAAACTTACAGTTCCCCTCAAGACTTTTCAACCTGTCACCCAACCTATTAATAACATCAGCAACAGTGAAGTCAGAACAGCCACCGGCACCACTTGTTAGCTTCTCAATCCCACAGCCAAAAACATTCTTCTGCAAATCCTTCATCGAAGCCAAGCAACTCCCCTGCTCGGCAGAGTTGAGATATATTTGTCCGGTTTGATTTGCCCTCTGCCCCAGCGCATAGAGGTAGTCGTTGAACGCTGAAGCGCAGCAGTTCTTGCGCAGAAACCCTCCCCAGTCTCCCTCTTCACAAGTTGAATTTGGAGAAGGAAAGTCAAAATGAAGGCTGCAATCAGACGCAGAAGGCTGAGAAGCTGCATAGCAGATGGTGGTGATGAGGATGAAGACGATAACATTTTGGTTTAAAAGCTTGCTCTCATCCATGGTATTATACAGTACTCCTTATGTGGAGAACAAAAACACATAAAAAACCAAGTAGTCTCTTGGAGGTAGACTCAGGCCAGTTTGGGAGTGCTTCTAGAATAGTTAAAAGCGCTTTCTGGCAACCAAAAGCACTTCTGATAACTTTTGGCAGAAATGTTTAGAAGCGCTTTTAGGCCATAAAAGCGCTTTCTGGAGAAGCACCTGTCGTATGATTCTTCAAGAAGCACTCCCAAGTGCTTTTCTAAGAAGCACTTATGTTTCTTATGAAAATTTCAACGTCTTTATAATAAAAGCACTTTTGATAGAAGCGCTTATAAGTAGAAGTGCTGCCTAGAAAAACACTCCCAAACGAGCCCTCAATCTGTAGAATTTGAGAATAATTGACCGAGGCTGGATTAGTTTGCAGCACATTTGGATAGAATTATGGACTCAAAATGTGTCACTGAAATTGATCAAAACAGAAACTTGAGCAGACAACTTCTTCTGTAACAATTCCTCCTTGTTTGAACAGTTTGAAGGGAGGCTGATAAATCCCACCTTGTGTTTAATGTGGTTAAAAGGGCTTGGATACTTCGTCCAAATTCATTAAAATATTAATTAATATGTAAATTATCTTCTGCCCATCCATTTTCCTTATTAGAAAATATTGCTGCCGGCCAAATCCAATGCAAGCGAAAAAAAACTCAATCAAATGAGAGAAATGGCGGGTAGTTTATAACAACAAGAGAAAACGTCGCTGTTTATTCATTATATGTTTTGGCTGTGTGTTCTCGAGCATACAAGGCAGACTAGACTGACTCAGCAGCATTATCTTTCCAACATCTACAGCAGCATTATCTTTCCAACATCTAAAGTCTTTTCCTTGTCTTTTGTCAAGCCAAATCCTATTGCCATTCTGTAGCAGGCACACATTCTTTAACCTCAACTTTGTTATTTTTTATTTTCTATACAATCGATATTGAGGAGGGAATAATTCAACCTAAGACCTCGTGTAAGCGACAAGCCCTTTCCGTCTTTATTTAATTTTAACCTCAACTTTAGTCCCAATGGTGAAAGCCCTTTGGTGGGGAAAAAATGAAATACATAAAATTTAGGCTCATGATCCTTAATTAGCCAGTGGAAAAATATATATATATATATATAATAAAGAAACAAATAATTACTAATTATTAGTATTACTCAAGATGTCTCGTTATGTGTGTTTGGTTGTCAAGAAAAATGTTTGCCTATTTTTTCTATTGGTGTGACTTCATATTTTTGACGTCACCAAAATCTAAGTTTTTCTATTGATAAGATGTGAGTTAAGCCAATTGATCCGAGTTAAGTCGAGGAGTGAGCCAAACCCCTTGCATCCAAGTTCAAATTCTCCTTCCTATAGATTAAATTAATTTAAAGTAATTTAGACTATCATTTGTATTTAAAAATATACATTTATTAATTTTTCATTTTTGTAACAATCCTTATTCTAGATGGTTTGAAGATTTAATTACTTTAAATAGAATATTATGTAAATGGAATATTTAATTACTTTAATTAGTAGTTATGTTTATACTAAATATAAACTTAGTATTTAAATATTTTTTTTAATGAAATTTTTTTTAAAAAATTAATTACTATTTATTAAAGTAATATGTTAATTAAAATTTTGAATACTAATTATTCACTAAAAAATAATAATTAAAACATAATTACTAATGAAATTAATTAAATGAGGCTAAGATATGATTTAATTAATAAAAATAAAGTTTAAAAAAAAATCTATTGACCTAAAGATACTATGTTTATATTTATTTTTAAAAGAAATATCTTCCGACGAAATTTCATCGGGAGAGGTCTAATCTGGCAAATATAAATCCATATTTTTATTGTTGGTGCAATGTGGAAATATCTTTGAAGAATAGAACCACAGGATGATCCACAAGAAAGGTGAATATTTAAAACATATAGCCGTGTGGCTATACTCTATAAATAGAATTTTTGAACAATATAGAAGCGTGGCTATACTTAATAAATATAAATTAATTATTTTGTGGACTTTTTCTTTAATTTGTTTTATATTAAATAATAATTAAAATATAATTACAAATTAAAGTAATTCAAAAAGGACGAGATGTTGCTCAATTACATATATTTAATTAAAGAAGTAGGCCAAAAAACAAAAGTAAATAAACTATTTTTTTTATATTTTAAAATAAAAACATAAAACACATGTCCCGACGAACATACGTTGGCACAAGTCTATGTCGGCGAAGCTTCCCATATTAAATTTTCTTTTTAAACCGTATAGCCGCACAACTATACTATTTATATATTAAAAAAGGACGCTCCCAGCACATAGGTAGCAAGTGTCAAAACAGTAATGCCGCTCGGCTATACTATTTTTTTAAAATGGAAACAAGAGTATAGCCGGCCGGCTATACTATTTATTAAAGAAAATTAAAATGAATCTATAGCCAGTCGGCTATACGCCTTATATATACCCCCCGCCCACAAGGCTGTACAATTTTTATTTTTAAAAAAATAGAAAAACTAGTATAGCCGCCCGGCTATACTATTTCAAAAAAACAATTAGGTAAAAACTGATATTTTTTTAAATATATATTATTTTTATTCAATAATATGTGAGAATTATGTGTATAATACGTGAATTTTGCGTCTTATTGAAATTTTTGTAAAAAAAATAGTATTAAACATGAGAAATATATGCGTACGTGTATAATATATTATTTCACATGAAAGTGCTAAAATCTTTATACGGGTAATAACTTTAGAAAAGTAAAAAATGAAAAAGGGACAATAGATATTCGAGCAATGACCTAATAGTAACGAATAGGGCTCTTGGGCTATGGAGAAATTTAATTAAGACACCCAAACGATTTCACAAAAGACTTAATAAATATAAATGAATTATTTTGTGGACTTTTTTAAAAAAAAAAATTATATTAAATAATAATTAAAATATAATTACTAATTAAAGTAATTCAAAAGGCTAAGATATTGCTCAATTACATATATTTAATTGAAGAAGTAGGCCAAAAAACAAAAGTAAAGAAACTAATTTTTTATTTTTTAAAATTTTTAAAAAAAATACATGGCCAACGTTCTATTTATAGAGTATCGCCGCGCGGCTGTACTTTTGAAATATTATATTTATGAAGTATAGCCGATCGGCTATATTGTTTAAATTAAAAATTATATTTACAGCCGTACGGCTATACTGTTGGAAAATTCTATTTACAGAGTATAGCCGCGCGGTTATACGTTTGAAAATTCTATTTATAGCATATAGCCGCGCGGTTATACTATAAATTCTATTTATGGAATACGATTGAAATATTTTATTTACAGAAAAAGTTTTTAAGTAATTGTCTTCAGAATTTTCTTTATGGGGTTTAAATAGAAAATCTCGAAAAGAATAAAGAGGAACCTCCAAAGACCAAGAACACGACACGAGCACATAACCAGTACCTTGAGGTTAGAGGAAGAAGAAACCACTGGATCGCCCTTCGTTGTCTTGACCCTTGAATCTTGAGTAGTAACACTAGTAAGTCTCTCTCTCGCTCGCTCTCGTTTCGCATGTTAGGTAGCTTCTGATAGAGAACGCTGAATACGATTAGGGTTTGGGATAATCTAATTCAAATATCATATTTTGATGCCGTCAGTAGTCTCTTTTAATTGGTTTTGAATCTGAGCGTGGTAATTGTTTCATTGATTGCAGGGTGGTTAGCTTTGCCAAATGGAGAAGGATCAGAAGGTAGCATCCGAAGACCCGAAGATTGATTTGTTTGAAGACGACGACGAGTTCGAAGAATTCAACATCAACGAAGGTAATTTTGGAGCCCCGGTCTGTTCTTGTCAATTATCATAATTATATTCATATTTATTAGTTAGTCTGTAGCAGTGCCTCTATAGTTGTTTGTTTCCCATTGAACTTAATAGGATTTTTTGTGAACCAAATTACTTTTTCATGAACATGTTCATTCATATAGTAGATAATCTGAAGTGGGTTTTGTTTCACTTGGCCTCCTGGTTATTTTTGATTAACAAAAAGTCATTCCCACTAGTTTACTCGAGCTGTTTCTAGATTAAATTAATCCATTTGATAAACAGATATTTGTTCTAAGGAGCATGTATTCATATATCCCAGTGTATACTCCATCTGTTATGGTCTACTAAGATAATGATCTTGATTGTAATATGAATCATCCAAGCCGAAAATTGATTTTTGCATCAGAGCACCAATGCCCTGCAATGATACAAAGGAGGTTTCTAGTTGAGATAATGGCATCATGGCATTGGTTCTTTCTGTTGAATAGGATGTTGCGTTTTGTTTTAGGAGTTTATGGGATCTCTGTCTTTGGTTGTGAGAACTGGCAACAGCCTGGTTTGGGAAAAAACAGCATTGGAACTTGGAATGTACAATATGAAGAAGTCGTATGACGATGCTTTTAGTTGTACCTGCATATGATTACAGGATTGGTATATGGTGGAGTAAATGTCTTGTGTTGGGGCTTCACCTCTTCATTTTAAACTGTTTATGAAAAAAAAGATTATGTTGAAATGGATAAAAGTGACAGGATATGCATAATAACTTTTACCCCTAAGTTATTAATAGTGTAAATCATTATCTTCAATTGATACTTTTTTCTTTATTGACTCCGTTGTTTTGTTTATGCCAACAGAGTGGGATGAGAAGGAAGAAGGGAAAGATTCAGCACAGCAATGGGAGGATGATTGGGATGATGATGATGTCAACGATGACTTCTCTCTGCAGCTGAAGAAGGAACTAGAGAACAATGCTGAGAAGAGCTAGGTTCATGTATTGTTGTCTTCCGTCCCTTTGAACTTCATAATCATAGTGATTTGGTACAATCGATTCTAGTTGACAGTAGTGTGAGAAACCAAGCATGCCTGTTATTTGGTGGGTGGCCAAACCCATTTCACTTGAAACTCATAACTGTGGTATTTACTGTTCTTAGTTGAAGAAAATTTCAGTTGTGTGAATGACTTTAATAACTGATGTGGTCTTGATCCTCTATCCCCTGTAGAGATATGACTATAATCTCTCAGTTATCATTGCCTGTTTTTGGATGTGGCCTGTTTCTGTTTTCTGAAATTAACATATGAATCAGTAGTCAGGATGCATTATCTTGACTGAAAATTTATGAGCTCTCAATAAATGTGCAAGTCTAGCTTGTGTCGGGACGAACGACCTAAAACTATATGGCATCGCTTGGCCATCACTCTGCACCATCTGGTAACCTTTCTCACCTCCTTCCCCAGCTACCCCTCCAACCCTCTCACCTTTCCTGAGCTCAGTCTCCTACAATGCCCCATATGTGGCTCTGACTCAATCTTGCTTTTAACCTACAAGGCTACAAAGAGGCAGTTCACCCTTGATATCTCCAGCCCATTGAAATAATCTCCTTGAGGCCCAAAGAAAATATACAAAACATATCTTCCTTGCACCATGTGAGCTTTTGCATGAACCCAACCCAATACACCAGCCGTTGGGTACACAAACACAGTGCCAATTCCAATAGTCGACAAAACAAATATCAAACCATAGACCTGTCATCTGTGGTTTCATTTCTATCTTTTGCCTTTTTAACTGATAAATATTCGTTTTCATATGCACTGGAAGATAATATGATGAGTACGGTCAGTTTTATTCATAGCCATACACTTGACTTTCGGCATTTACCCTATCCAACATGCCACTCGTGACTCGTCCCGTACAGCATCTATCGCCACCACCTTGTCTGATTTTCAATGGGAAACGTTAAGCGAAATATATAATACGAAATTTATCTTGTCCTTTCAAAAAACGAAATAAAAGAAAGAAAGAATATGGTTTTTTTGTAAGCCTTCTTTCAGTCTTTCTTAAGAATGTGAAGACATACCACATTCTTTTCTCATATATGCCATAAGAATGTGAAACAACCATGGTAGATAAATCAATTTTTTTTAGGATGCTTGCTATTAACAGGGGCTATAATATACTAAATTCACACACTACACATATGTTAGGACTCGAACCGAAGATCTTATATAGGGAAGTAATTGTTCCAAACCATTAGTGAATACTTTAAATCATAAATACAAACTTACCAAGATTTTAATATTTTTGTAAATAAATAAAATATTGATCAATTAAAGCGACGTACACGCCCCATCATCAACTGCTCATTTATTTCTCTTCCTAGTTGCTTATTGTCTCATCAATAACTGACTGCAACGTCCGCCACCACGACTAGAAATTATAGAGTGATACGGTATCACCACGTCAGCTGGTGATACTCCCACTCAAAATCTACCATGTGTCCTTTTTAAAAAGAAAATTAAAAATAATTTACACCTGAACTTTGTCTTACAAGTTTACCCTTCAACATTAATTACCCTAACCCCTCTCCTCCGTCTTCCTTGTGCTATCGACGTGACCTAGCCGCCTTTGCATCTCCCTCGCCACCCAGTCATCTTCCCTCCTCCCTTGCCACCCACCTGTCATTTCCGTGCCTCCCATGATTAGTAAAAAGTTAAACGTATTTAGAAAACCTAGAAATCTTGAAAATCAGTGCAAACCCATTAAACATAAAACAAAAATCTTCAAAATCTCCTATGACGACAACCCACTAGTGAAAGAAGGGTATGTTTGATGTTGATATTATTGGAGGGGGATTGCAGCCAAGGGGCGACAGTGCAAGGTAGGCAGATTGACGATAGGGGAAACTGCTACAGCCTCCTTGTTTTCTTTTTCCTGTTTTTTCAAATTTTATTTTATTTTATTTAGGGTAAAGTTGGAAGACAAAGTCCAACAGTGAAAAAAATTTAATTTTCTTTTCAAAAAAGACACATGGCAGATTTTGAGTGAAAGTATCACTAGTTGACGTGGTGATACTGTACCACTCTATAATTTCTATTTCTCCACGAGGACCCACCCTCCTTCACAGCCTTGCTTGTCAAGTCAGCAAACTCCTTCACCTTCTTCCTCACCTCCTTGCCCTTGTCTCCCTCCATCAACTCTTTGACCATCTTCTCCAACCCCTCTGACTTCACAAACCCTTTCACGACTGAACCATCACACGTCTCCACCCTCAGCCCCACCTTCATCTCCTCCACCACAAACCTCGCATTCAGAGGCTGGCGCCATTATCGGCACCCCGGCGCAAATGCTCTCCAGCACTGAGTTCCATCCTTAAAAAACCCTGCACGCTCCCATGCATCAGAATCCGCCTCTGGTCAACCCACTTTTTGACCACCATTCCCCTCCCTTTCACTCTCTCCTCAAACTCTTTTGGTTAACCCATCGGACGCTGTAGCGCCACTCTTCTTCTTCACAACCCACAAAAAGTTGACGTTCGAATTCTCCAACCCTTTTGCAACTTCTTGGAGCTGTTCAGCCGACAGCTCAGCCTGTGACCCGAACGCAATGTACAAAACCCAGCTTCCCTCCTCCAGCTTCTGATCTAGCCACTCAATCCACATGGGCTTATCATCATCTTCGTCATTAGTGCTATTAATATCATCATCTTGTGACAGCTGGAGAAGAGGGCCCACACTCAGTGTTCCAGTAGTCGGTGAAGACTGGCTCGAGCTCATAGAAACTGTTGACGATCATGCCGAAGCTACTGACGGTTGCCACCACACTTCTCATGTTGAACTCAAAAGTGTTGAGCAGCATCAGTGCTACTGTCTCTAAAAGATTCATGGAAGTCCTTTTTGGTAATTTTGATCCAAGGAAACTGAGTCACCGTGATTAACTTGGTGTCCGACTCGGGCCCCTCCAGGAGCCGGTTCTCGGCGACGACTTTGCCCACTGCCATGGGGAAGTTAGCGAAACCGTAGAAGACGAATCTGGGGAAGCCGAACTTGGCGGCGGAGACGACGGTCCACCAGAAGAAGGAGTCGGAGACCAAGAAGCTGACACGTGGAAGCGTCTGGAGGGCCCGCCCGAAGTCGGGTTGCATGTGCTCGGTGGAGATGGTGAAGGGAAAGAAGAGGTCGAGGGAAGAGAGCTTGTCGGTGCTTTCGATGCCAACGGGGATTCCGGGGACAGTGTTTTGAGGGAAAGGGATGTCGACCACGGTGGCGGCGGCTGCTGAGGTATCGGCGAGGGATTGGTCGATGAAGGGGCCGTTGGCGGGGGTGGTGATGATGGTGACGCGGAGGCCGCGAGCGAGGAAAAGGCCAGAGACGTGGAGGAGTGGAATTGTGTGGCCTTTGGACATGAAGGGGAACAAAACGACGTGGCCCTCATGCTGTGAATTTGACGTGGCCATCTTCTCTTTGATTTTGTTACAAATAATTTTGTTGTTACATATAATATATAAATATGTACATCATCAAATCATCAATCACATACCCACTCGTTGGATATCATTAGAGGTGAAACTTACTAATATAATGAGATCCGTTTGTATTAGAAAAGTGGTACATGATCATTAGAAATGGAGCCTACCAATATAATAAGATCCTCTTCTGTTAGAGCACGTCCAGCGCGCAACCCAAACTGGGGGAAATGCCCCCTGGTGAGCCCAAGTATGCTCCAGCGCGAGGGAAGAAGACTGGGTTCCAGCTGGGTCCCACCAACTCGGACAGGCCCAAGGGCAAGTTTTGCCTGGGCTGTTGCCCTCGGGCTGCTGACGTCAACATGATGTCAGCAGCTGATTTTCAAAATTTTTTTTTACTATTGGACCTACAAGCCCACATTGCCCAATGGTTACAAGCCATGTGGCTTCTCCTGGAGCCTCCGATCAAAAAATCTTGCACAATCCAACGGTTGTCCAATTTTTGGCTAAAAAAATTGAAAAAAAATATCAAAAAATTCTGGAAATTTTTTCTATATATACTACCAATATTATTCACTTTCCACACCAATTTAATTTCAAAATTTTATCCGAAAATGTTATCTTGATTTTTATGTGAGGATTTTACGATAAATATTAAGACTTGGGAATTGAAAATCTTTTCCGAAAAACTTATCAAAATCAATGGTTTAAGTATAAAAAGTAAAAAATAAATTTAAGTGAATAGTAATTGCCTTAGACTTTGCCCTCATAGGTGGAACCACAAATGCAAAGGCTGATACTATTCACGTGAATAGTGCAGCCCTTGCTTGCGCTTGCCTTAGACTTAGCCCTTGTGGGTGGAAGTGCTCTTAGAGAAGTGTTACATAGTATAATATAACTAGCATTTTTGTTATAGATTACAACAACGTCGAGCCGATATTACAACACCCTGAAAAAGAATAACATTCTGGAAGAACCGGACATACAATAGACGCCAAATAAAATGGAATAAAACTTGCAGGATTTAAGTGCATCTACGGCGATGGGGGGTGGTCCGTAAAGGCGGTGTGCCTAAATGCATATGCGGTTGATTTCAGAAGAAACCAGACTGTATGTATGGTGGATTCTGGAGGTGGCGACTTTTCCCACTGAATTGTCAATTCAAAATCCACTTATTTTGATAGCCAAACTCTTGTAGAGATTCACTATTATGAAAAAGCAGACCCCGAACTTAGAATGCGATTGTTTTCATTTTTCTTTTCACTTATTGGGTTTTTATGTGGTTGGTTTTAAATCTTAATGACAAGGATTTGGAGTTGAGAGTTGCATTTAGGAACAAGTTCTCACCGTATAAGTGAAATATACAATAGAGACTCATTGAGCAACATTATTTCTTTCAAACAAGCAGAGAAAAATAAAGTACCATCGTTGCCTTGCCACTTCTAGATTTATTTTAAACAGGAAAAAAAAGAAGAGAGAAAGAGAACAAAATAAATACATGCATGCAGCTTATCAACTCCTCATTACGAGGTCCCCATTCATAATGTTGTCTCATCTATAAGCGATTGCAACGTCAGCCATGACGAGCCACCCTCCTTCACAGCCTTGTTTGCCAGGTCAGCAAACTCCTTCACCTTCTTCCTCACCTCCTCGCCCTTCTCTCCTTCCATCAACTCTTTGACCATCTTCTCCAACCCCTCCGACTTCACAAACCCTTTGACTGAACCATCACACGTCTCCACCCTCAGCCCGACCTTGATCTCCTCCACCACCATTCTCGCATTCAGCGGCTGATCCGCCATCATGGGCCAAGCCAGAATCGGCACTCCGGCGCATATGCTCTCCAGCACTGAGTTCCATCCACAGTGGCTTACAAAACCCTTCACGCTCTCATGCATCAGAATCCGCCTCTGGTCAACCCACTCTTTGACCACTATTCCCCTCCCCTTCACTCTCTCTTCGAACCCATTTATATCCCAACCCGCAGTTTCTTCTGTCCCTTTGCTTCGTATGACCCACAAGAAATTGATGTTTGAGTTTTCCAACCCTTTCGCTATTTCTTGAAGCTGCTCGGCTGACAACTCAGCTTGCGTTCCAAATGCAACATACAAAACCCAACTCCCCTTCTCCAGCTTCTCATCTAGCCACTCAATCCAGATGGGCTTATCGTGATGATCATCGTGTGGCTCATCTTGTGCCACCTGGCACAGAGGCCCCACGCACCAGACCTTGGGCTTACACTCACTGTTCCAATAGTCAGTAAACACAGGCTCAAGCTCATAGAAACTGTTGACTATCATCCCGAAGCTACGAATATTTGCCACCTTAATCTTCATTCTGAACTCAGAGCTTTGACTTGGTTGGTCATGATAATCCTTTGTAGAAGCTTCGTAGAAGTCCTTTCTGGTAATTTGGATCCAAGGAAACCGAGTCACGGTTATTAACTCGTCGTCCGACTCGGGCCCATGCAGCAGGCGGTTCTCGGCAACGACTTTGCTCACAGACATGGGGTAGTTGCCGAAGCCGTAGAAAATAAACCCCGGGAAGCCGAGCTTGTCTGCGGAGTCGAGGGTCCACCAGAGGAAGGCGTCGGAAACCATGAAGCTGACACGTGGAAGAGTCCGGAGGGCTCGCTCGAAGTCGGGCTGCATGTGGCCGGTGGTGAGGGCGAAGGGGTAGAAGAGGTCGATGGAAGGGAGCTTGTCGGTGCTCTCGACGCCGGCGGGGATTTCGGGGAAGATGCTTTGAGGGAAAGGGAGGGAGATCACGGAGGCTGAGGTATCGGCGAGGGATTGGTTAATGAAGGGGCGGTTGGCGGGGGTGGTGAAGATGGTGACGCGGAGGCGGCGAGCGAGGAAGAGGCGGGAGAGGTGGAGGAGTGGGATGGTGTGGCCTTTGGACATGAAGGGGAACAAAACCACGTGGCCCTTATCCTCCACATGCTGCGAATTAATCGTACTCCCCATATTTCTCTTCTGATGATATTCTTCTTTCTTGTGAAATAATTTGGCACGTATAAAATGCGCATTGGTGCAATATATATAATATAGTAGGCAGTGGGTGTCAAAGTCGAGAAATTTTTATATGTTCCGAGTACACCACGTAACTGGTGTACCATCCAATAAATATAGGACATGTGGAATTATTTATTAACTTACTGCATTTTTTTTTATAAGAGCACTTCCACCCACAAGGGCTAAGTCTAAGGCAAGGGCAAGTAAGAGCTGCAACTATTCACGTAAATAGTGTCAGCCTTTGCATTTGTGGTTCCACCCATGAGGGCAAAGTCTAAGGCAAGTCAAGGGCAAAAAAAAAAATATATATGCAACAAAATATAAAATTGTTATGTATTTATAGGGAAAGTGAATAAAATTGTTATGTATTTATAGGGAAAACATCCATAATTTTTTGATTTTTTTTTAAAAAAAATTGAATTTTTTATAATTTTTTTGAATTTTTTTTTGCTCGCTGACGTCAGCGCCCTCAGGCTGAAGCTCATGCAAAATCTGCCATTGGGCTTGCCCGGGCTGGTGGAACCCAGGGCTTGCCCGGGCTGCAAGTGGTGCGCTGGAGCTACATTGGGCTTGCCAGGGGGGCCTTTTGCCCAGTTTGATAGCAGCGCTGGAGCTGCTCTAACATGTGGCGGACTGCATTGCAAATATTCCATGTCTTCCGTCTATTGGATGATACACCAGCCACGTGATGTATCCGGAACACCCAAAATTTACTCGTCAAAGTCATATGGTACCTCTGTCTCTGAATTCCCGACTCTCTTTTTAACCTTAGCCACACACAAAAATATCGGCCAAGTCAATGACCTAAGCTGATGCAGTTATATCTTCTTTTTGGCTTGCCTAGATTACCCACGGAAGCTGATCGTGATGGACGTTAAAAAGGAGAAAAACACACAAGGCATAATTTTAATTTGGTACAAATTTGATGTCGCTTTTTATAAATTTGAAAAATAACAAGAACCTCAGACTCATTTAAAGCATTATTATTTTTTAAAATTAATACAAAAATAATTTATTAATATTTTAGAAAGTAGGGGTTCCTTTACCTTAAAAAGAGTTGAAAACTAGAAGGATGAGATTAAAAACACCATTGCTGCCGACACCCAAAACGATTCACGCTGCATGCGCTGAGTGAGTCGTTTCAGAATAATAAGCTCATCAACGAACAAGTATCATTTCTGCCTGCCTGCTGCCACTTGTAGATTTACAACAATGTAGGCCCACAATTTATATAACATTCCGGATAATCAACTAAATTCTGGAATCTAATCTAGCTCAGTTTGAGTTACATGCACACTTCTAAATACCCCTATATAATTGGAAATGAAAAACCTATATTAACAAATAACTGTACGTGAAAAAGGGAAGAAAAAAAATGAAAAAACTCCAAAGAACGAAATGATTGAGTGAAATCTTCCATCAAAGATGACGATGGTCTAGAGCTGTTCGAGAGCAGAAGTATCACCTGCCCAAGCCACAAACAGATTCAAGTTACTTTCCTAGGTATACATAGGAAGGAAAGCTACCCAAATTCTCACGACAGCATCAAGCACTCCCACCTTGTTTTGCCTTAAGGACAAGCTCCTCAGTGGTGGTGCCGATGATCTCATTAGCACGTTTCAGCCCAACGCAGTAGAACCGTCCAACAGAATCCTAAATTCATGGGTAAGTTCAAGCGAGAAAGAAGAAAGAAAAAAAAACGAGAAAAGAAAAGTGCTCAGCATTATAGTTACTGGACTTTTGCAAGCAAGGGTGCCTGTTTATCGCATCCCTCATGATATCAGGGCTGCAAGGAATCTTACATGAGCAACAATTCCTAATTTCATCAACTTATGAACTGCATCTTCCACATCAAAATTACAGTTGGCGTTGAACTCTTCTTTAATTAGTTCCTCACACCACCTATCCAGATCCTATAATAAAATCATCCCCAAGTAGGACTTCATCAGTACTCTACTACTCAAGAATGCATATTATATTTCTTGCAGTACTTAGGAAACTGATAAATGTACGTAGAAAAGCAATCTAAGAGATGTGTACTTGTGTTGTAGCTTTCCCTTGCTCCATTAGTATATAGAAAGCAATTATCACCTCCTTGACCTGCACATTCAAGAAATGGAGTAACCGTATAAGCCTTTCGTCATGTATCAAACATAATCTCTTCCTGCATCAGTGCTAAATTAAGCTTGAATAAATTCAAATTTAAAATGACAAAAAGTTTTGAGTTATACTATTAACATGTCGCAACTGCATCCCATTCACCTGACATTGTTAGTCATACGATATCTGACCTTACTTACGCTTGATTATTCACAAGGTAGCCCTCATAAATCAAGCGTTAAATTGAAAAAAATTTAGTATGACATAAACCCCAAAAAAAATTCCTTCTAATTGCATTCACACTCATACATATGAGTGCACATAAGTACATGCAACCATAAGAATTAGACGATACTCCAATGGGTCAAGAATAAGCTCCATACGTATCAGTTAGATACATCAATAATTCACAAAAAATACAAGTTTATCAAGCTTGCAGCTTACTTCCTGTTGAATCACATCATCACACAAGTGAAGAAGAGTACCCCTTCCGCTATCGAGTTGTTTGTCGTACATGGACTGTGTTATTAAGTTCTGATATGCTACCAAGTTCTGCTGAAAACTGCATACAATTGAAAAGCCATAGGCACATGAGTAGTTGACAAATTATTCAATTAAAAGAACAACAAAGAAAGCGAGCCCTCAATGCAAACATGCAGCCACAGCCCATGGCCAGTCATCATCATCAGAACATGATTGATCATGTCAACTTGTCAGAGAAAAGTTTTCACAGATATATAGACCTCTTCTCTTTTTCATGTGTGACATGCATATTCATTTTATCAATTTTGCGCACATGCATATTACTTTCATGTGTGACAGACTTCCTTTTGTGTACATGTGTATTAATTAAAAGAATAATATATAATCCAAACATGAACTGTAATAAGAGACTTAACGTGAAGTATATCTTAGCACAGTAACCAATCACAGTGGAAAGAACTGCAAAAATGACCCAAAAATCAGCTTTAGGCATTTCAATCGAACCAACAACAGCAACCTGTAAAGAAAGAAATGGTAAGCTAAATTTTGATAAGAAAAAGTGACCAACAGTACACCAAGACAAACTTCATTGCTATCTCAATTAACTGACCAGCCCAACTACAGCAGAGCCAAGGAACTTGACCCAGTCCATTGGGGTTAACCCAGGGTTCTTCTTCTCAGGCTGTAAAAGGAAAAAGGTTCCTACACCAGGTCATCAGCAGTACAAGGGCTACGAGGAGTATAAAATTCCACAGAAGGAGAGAGAGAGAGAGAGAGAGAGAGAGAGAGAGAGAGAGAGAAACACACAAGAACTATCTCCATATCAGCCATTGGAATATTTCTGAAATGTTTCACATATATTCCTCGTTCCTCTTTTGCTTTGGTACTTGCTCGCCTGAAGAGTCATAATTCTCTTATCAATAACTTATTTTTCAAGGTTCTTTCGGGACTTGTTTCCTAGAGCATCAATCCAATTAGAGGCAAGGCAACTAAACCCCCTCACCCTTAAAATAAAAAATCTGTAACTTATGGAAGTATCATGCATTGAACGTTCACCAATATTAGACAAAGATCTGTTCAAGCCCTGTGTCCCTTTCGAAGAAAATACACTGCACAAAGCAACTAGGAGACTACATGCTCAAAATTATAATTTAAAACTGTCAACACTGATATGCCTAACCTAGTACCAGCCAAATTGCTCACAAGGAAATTAGGAAAAAAATTTGACATTATCAACAAAAAGAACAGTACCTGTAAACAACAATCATCCTATCAAAGGTTGGCTCTTTGATCGTGGTCTTGCTCAACAAATTTTTAACACTGAAGGACAAAGCATATAAATTTCAAAAAGTGGAAATAATCACAATAAGATTGAGACAAGGAACTCAAGTCAAATCAAAGGCATATTTCTATTTATATGTATGCATGTTTCATAAAGAGGGAATCAGATTTAAAATGGTTTTAATTGCTATTGCATGATCATCTATAAGTATAGTCTGAAATCAAGAGTATCACTGAAAATCCAGAGTAACAGAGAACTTTTAGCGCAAGTCTGAGAAAAAAAAAAACCTGGGAAATTACAGATTACAATGAAAAGAAATTTTTAGGACACTTGAGAGTAATTCAAGGCTTGCTACATGGAGGAAAAAAAAAAATCAAAGTTTCAATATGGATAGAAAATTTCAGGATCCATACAACCCAAATTTAAGCAAGCAAGAGTGAGGAAATAAGACCCAACTGCATAGAATAGCCAGCAAACAGCTTAGTAGTCTGCCAGAACTAACAGCTCAAGAAAAAAGAAAAGAAAAAAACAGTGCACTAAAACTAAAGCCGTGCAGAAAAAACCTTAGTTCCATGTTTTCTAGACGGATTCGTTCAACATGTAAGTCTTCATCCTCTCCATCTGCTTCAGAGCTAATTTCCTCATTCTTCTTTGGATCTGTCTTAGGTTCTCCACTTGATCTTCTGGATAAAAGTTTTCCGACCCTGCCACAAGAACAACACCAAAAAACGAAATATACAAAGAAATGCTTAAGCTTAAATCAAATAATATCTAAAGAACATTTTCTCAGCTATTTTCTCAATAATTTTGGTGATACCAATCACCAATGATGCAAAAGATGATGTTTCAAATAGACTCCATTAAATGACTTAAAACTGTCCACTGATTTTCAAGTTTTAACAATTTTGACCATAATTTCCAAAAATATATACTTTCCAGTAGCAGAAGTTCAATAACCAAAAACATTTAAAGAATTACTTACTTAGTTATTCGTAAAAGATAAGCCCAAAAGCGTGCAATGATCATGTCTACTTTCTCCATGAAAAAGTAATCAGTTGTCTGATCAAGTCCAACACCCCGTCGGAAGATAATGTACTGAAGTTATAAAAAATGCAGATTAGACCTCTAGAGAGAGATATAGAGGAAGGAAGAGAGGGAGGGTGGGAGATTAAGTAATATTTCCTATGTCAAACAAGGAAGAGGCGGATAAGCTAAATATGTGCAATCCTACATAATCAGCAACTCAAAACACTGGGTTTAAACATTCCAAATGTTTATAGTGTTTTATGCTGAAATTTACAATACCTTATCACAAAAATCGGGAAGGTTTGGTTGAGGACGCCTTTCAAAAAAATTCTTCAAAAGCTTCTTGTCAAGCTGCATTCAACAGGAACAATACATGGGATCAGCATATGTGAAGGTGGAATAAAAAAAAGCAATAAATAATAAGAAACAAGAGTTACATTAACATTTGCAGGTTTGCACTTAAGAATCTTAATGAATTGAAATTTAGAAATACATGTGTAAGTACAAACCTTAGACTCATCAACCACGATTGGTAGATTTAGAAGATACTGCCCTGAATGCGCAACCTCAATTTCCTCATTGCTTGCTATTTTGAAATTGCTCTTTTCCATCACCTGTATCATAACTATAATTTAAATATTCCACCCTTGTTGTAGAATGATAGTTCGTAAAACTCTATAGTAAAAGGATTTGGTTTAGTCCTATTTTGGCGGTTCAGATATTATTTAATTTCCTACACTTAAACTGGCTTTCCTTGGCATAAATATAATCATTCAATTGTGACAAAAGCCTTCGTTTCTCTTCTTTTTTTTTCTTTTTTTCTTTGTTCTTCATGTTTCTTTCAATTGTATGTGTCATACAAGGAAAAACTAAAAACTAAAACACAGTGAAGCAGCCATACCTGAAATAAGTACGTCAGGAAATTCTGTTCAAGTACATCAATTTCTTTAGGAGGAAGATTCTGTTGTTCCAGTTTTTTAGCCCCATTTACAGGGTCAAAGAGGGAGTAAAGTTGCTGCAAAGAAAATGTGTCAAACAAAACTTATGATAATCAGCGGAAAATATCAGCCTATAACACGAGAAAATAAACAATGCAAATTGTAGACATGAATAGTATCAGGGTCAACATGGCCCTCAAAACATGAGCATACCATCAAATCCTCGAACTGTAGAAGATACCAAGCCCGAATTGTGTACTCAACTCTCTTGCAGAGCTTTAAAAACTCAGCCCGATCAGAACTATGTTCTGCAGAATTACGAACACCCAGTTTTTTGTTAAGTAGCATGAAGCGAAACTAAGCAACACAAAAAACAAAACAAAAAGACAAATCTTTGCATCTAAACCATAAATGGTATCAAGAATCAAAAAAATGGATCAGTTTCAGAGAAATGCAGGGACTCTGAATCTGTAGACTGAAGAAACAAAGACGACGCATGAATTAAAATGAAGCCGCCAGTGCCCAAAGCAACAAACTTTGAACAAAACCCAGAAATCAATCGAAAAGGGCAAGCAAGGTTGAGCACGAACCAATGAGGTTGGCCAAGGTCATGATGATTTTGGGCTTGATAATTGGGATGACGGATTCACGCTCAATTCGAATCATGTCCTTCTTCTTTTGCTCCATTTTTTTGCTTTGCTTTCTTTGTTTTCTGCGAAAGCGGTATCGCCAATGGCACAGCAGCCCAACCTGTGAATTCAGCCCCTTTAAGAACAGGAATTATGAGATGACGGTTGAGCTTAGATTCTTTCTTGGGATTAAATAAAGGGTTTTTTTGGGTTTGGGGTTTTGGTTTTGGTATATATATTACCTTATAGCTTATACTAAGGGAGTGTTTTGTATCTTCCTTGCAAACAGAGTGTTTTTGTCGGGGGAGATAGTGAGGTTGAAGCCAATCCACAGAAACAGAAAGAAATGCCAAAAAGAGAACACTAGAACATTTTTAGATCACAATTAATACAGTCGAACGTTTTACGGGGGTCAACTAGTTTACGTTTATCAGAAAAACAACTGTTTTACATTTAAAAGCATGAATTTGATTTCCTTCCAAGTTTAGTTTATTCCATTCATGTGTGTATTTAAACTGTTATTTTTCAACCATTATACTTGAATGGTTATGATATATACTTCGTTAAGAAATCATATTCTGATCTAATTTCCATCGAAGAGTTTGCTTTTTATTTTTTATATACAAACGATAGTTTAAATTACTCTAAATATGGAGAGAACTCGAAAAAAAAAAGGACACACTGACCAACTAGTCAAAAAGAATAAATTTAACTGACAATAAGAGGGTGAATAAAATATTGCATGTGTATATACACAGAGGATTGACATATATTGTCTGTGAAATCATCTTTTGCAGCCTCATTGATTGGGAAATGCTCAGAGTTTGGCTCTCTAAACTCATTGCTAACATATTCACTTAGGTGACGGACAGGTGCCCACTTTCTGTTGTCCGGTTCTACCCCAGCTCAATTCTAATATCACTCAAATGCCTGCTTCCAGTTGTTTGACTTTCCCTCAGGTCAACGCTAGCATCTGTAACAGGCCCTTCTTTCCCGGGCTCAGCAGTCCTGCTTCTGCAAATGGGACAAATGGGTGTCTGTAAAAGCCATGCATCCACGCACTGAGCATGAAAACTGTGCTTGCACAGAGGCAACAGCCTGCACTTCTCGCCCATCTTGAAGCTGTCCAAGCACACTGCACAATCCACAGGGCTACTTGGCTTATCCCAATTGGCTACATAATCAAAGCTAGGAAGCTTCTCTAGGTCATCTTTGGACATGCTTGCTGTGCCACCTGTACTGCTGGCCATGGCAACCATAGAGCCATTACCAAACCCTCCTCTTCTGAAAGCCCTCCCAACAATCCAAACATGGACTAAGATCAAGAACCCAATTCCCACAAATAACAATATGACAGAAAAGAAGATTGCCATTGCCACAATCTGCACTACATCACCTGCGAACTTTTCACTCATTGTAATATCCCCTTACTTCTCATTCTGTATTGGAAAGCTAAAAGTATCTGAATAAAAATGAAGTTTGTGGGTTAGAAAAAGAAGAAGAGCATTAGAATGTACTAATTGGAAACCAACCAATAAGAAGGCAGCTCTGTTTTACAAAGAGGGAGGAGATTTATTCATGACAACATAAAGTAGATTAGATTACCTAAAACACTGGGTGAATGAGGCAAATTTTAAAATTAATTCAGAGGAGATAGGGTTAACTAGTCTCTATCACGGAGTAGGTGGTAAAAAACCAAATTGAGTCCAGACGAAAAAGAAACGTCAGAAGATCCAGAGATTTCTCACTGTCCCCTCTTGTTTTCATGGTTTTCTTTCTTTATCTAGGTTAAGGTGAAGCTCCCTACAGTGTTAATGAAAGTAAAACTAACGGCCGTTTGATAACCATTTCGCTTTTAGTTTTTAGGTTTTAGTTTTTATTTTTTTGCGCTAAAGTATAGAGAAAAATAAGAATGAGAGTGAGAGTGAGGAGTAGAGGAGATGATATGATTTATGCACACAGATTTTTGTGCTTTTTGTTTTTCAAATCATATGTTTGATTGAGCATGGGGTTTATGTGCACGAATTTTTATCTTAGAACAATCTTGTGCTGCAGTTTTGAATTCCGCTTATTTGTCTCCTTTATTGGATTTCAGGCACTAGCAAAGTTTGTTCTTACTTGTAAGATGGAGCGAGATATAATTTCCAATTTTCTAATTAAAAGGAAAAAAAAAAGGATGTAGGATGCTCCACCAGAAAAGTTGAATTAGATCGGTTACCCACCAAGCCGAACCATTCAGCAACTGCTCATCTAAAGGATTTTTTTTTTTTTTTTTTTATTATATATATATATATATATATATATTCGCATCTTATTGTTTTGTACTCGATAAGTTCAACAAAACAAAGCAGAGCACCTAGAAAATCCCAATTTAAGAGATGGATGATGAAAATTGCATTGGAATTTTCTTCTCCTTGCAATGGCCTATTGATTTTTAGACATGAAGCCAGTTAGAGCATACACAATCATGCTCTTTATTTTTTAGTTAAAATTTAACTAAAAAAACTAGAAAACTATTTTAAGAGCTCTCTATAAAATTTCAGCTCCAACTATACTCCCTAGTTTAAAGAGTCATAAATGTTTTTAATGTTTTTAAATTCAATTTTTGAATAAAGTGTAGACGCAAAAGCAACAGTAAAAAATAATTTACTTTAAATTAAAAAAATATTTAATTATAGGAAGTCACTATGAATCTTCTCTCTCCTTAGATTTAGAAGCTCCTAGAAGTCTCCCTATTTTAATAGCTAAATAAGGAGTATGGTTGGAGGTAAGTTTTTTCAATTTCTTTCTAAATTTTAACTAAGGATGTAGTTTAGAGGGCCCATTGTGGATGCTTTTATAAGACAAGTTTTTGTATTTACCAAGGAAAAACAAGGGTCATGATCACGAAACATCTAAAACCCAAAGCTAAGCGGGTGTAGTTAGCTATCATGAATGGCTTGATTAGACTTTTGACCCAATAATATGGGTGAGGAACATTGTCATTGTGGGCGCAGATTGACAGCAAATGATTGAAAAAAGAAACATCTCAACAGCGTTGATTGAAGGAACAAGGCCTAGAAGTAATAATGACATGTGTGTAGAATATGATCATCCGAATCTGGATCAACTACGTGCTCCCACCATAATACCAAACATATCAACCTTTCAAAGAATTTACAGACGCGAAAAATGAAAAAGATTTTGATGAACCAAATCAAATCGAGGGCAGATATAGGCTTTGCTAAAGCTCATATATGTTGCAAAATGGAGACAATACTACTCAAACTCGTGCGTGTTCAATATAAACCTGTGTCAGGAGCCCATAACGAGACCTTCCCGAGAGATATTGGTAACCCGAAGAACAGCTTGTGCACTAAGAGGCGAGAGTTTTGATTGACAAAAGTTCTCCCAAGAGCTCGGTTCTGGATGCTCAGATACTGATGCTGGAGTGAGATCATTAAATTTCTCATAAACAGTTTGCAGCTCCAGGAGGAGAATTCGAGCAGCCTCCCTAGACTCCGGAAGCTGGTCACTAAGCTGTGATGCAGCTGTCTGAATGAATTTGTCAATCCCATAAGCTTTGATGCCTTCAACGCCCTATTGACAGACACAGGATAAGTGCATATAACAGGAAGAAATCAAATGCACCCTGTTTTCATTATCTCAAAACGTGCAAATATGTGATAACAGACATAGTAGATAAAAGAAATTGAAATGGAAATGTACATACAACCATGTGAGAAAATAGATTCAATTGTATATGTACAACAGTATAACTAGGTAGACTCAGAGAGAACAACGGTTGACAGGAGAAAACACGTGATTGTTGTTCTTGAGCACACATTACGTGTAGAAGTAAATGGGCAAGTACAGGGGTCGATGGGGCAAGATGAATCTACATAATATAAATACAGGAACAAACAAATTCAAAGAAACTTCAGCACTTGATTTTGAAAGCTAATGAAAGGTTTAGCCATTTCCACCAATTCCAGTTTCACAACAAAGTCCAAACCATAAGCAGACCCTAAACCAGTATAAAGGTTTATATATGGGCAGATAGTAAAGGGGAAAAGAACCTAATAAGACTCTGCTCCACACAAAAGATACTACATCTAAAGCGGCACAAGAAAACAAGCAACTGCTGCTACAACTGAATAGAACTTAGACACCAATGTAATAGCAATTTGGGGGTGGGGGTGAAGGAAATATTACCAAGACCAATCAAAACATTAAAAGCCAAAAAGTATGAAAGAAAGTAAAATTATATGAGAGCACTGAATTGAAATGCTGTGTGTTACTCAGAAAAATAAATCAATTCACTTTTGATAAACAAATGAAAATTCAATAAACAATGTGGCAAGGAATTGAGCATATATAAGTCCTCATACCAGTCGTGGAACACTTCGGCAAAAGCACATTGATGCCTTTGCTCGAACTCTAGGATTTTTGTTCTTCAGATACGGTTGCAACTTTGGTAACAGCAATGGAGGGGAAACCCAAGTGGTCATCGCTACTAAAGCTCTCTCGGCTGCTTCACATACAAATCGTTTGTCTTGTGAAGACTTAAGAAGCAGTTGTAGAAGCTGCAAGGGTCGTGTTTGATTAAATTGGGGAAAAATACTAACAATTAAATCGAATATAAGAGCAGAATCCTTTACTATAAAAACAAAGCAGACCAATATAGCAGCAAAACTTCAAAGAATTCAAGTTTACCAGAGGGTCCAATGAATCAACTACAAGATCGTTGTAAGCATTGAAAATATCTGCAGATGTCATAATTGCAGTTTTGCAAACAGCACTTCTTGGATTTTTCAGAGACCTTACCACCAGTGAGATCACATCTCCCCTATTGAACAAAATGATGACAATAGTTAAATCGGTCAACACTGACAGTCATCAATAACACAAACTTCTGACAATCAAGAGCATTATGTAAGAACATGACACTTACAACATATCAAGCATGGCTTCCTTATGAAATATAGAAAACCGACGCACATTATTGAGTGCTTCACACAGCAGAACCCAATCTTTAGATTCTAGTCCAGTTACGAGTGTCTGAAACATCAAACAAGAAATGTATGCACATCATACAGTTAGCTACATAAATACACATATCAATGCATAGTCATCAGAGGCGAAAGGTCAGGTTTACACAAAAACATTATGAGAAGGCATATAATGAATACCTTGAGACTTGTATCAACATCCTCTAGATCATTCAGATTCTCTGACTCAATGTATTCTACTTCTGCAATTCCAACCTCAACACCAGTATTCGCAACTTCGGCACCATTTATAGAAAGTGCACCCAAAGCAGCAGTGGCTTTCTTCTGGCATTCTTCCTGATTTTCATTAGCATTCCCAGCTAAGGGCTTAGTTATGCTCCCTTTGCTAGAGCTTTCATTCTTCTTCTCAGATCCAGGTATGGCGTTGAGATCTCTCAGAGCTGTCTCTGACATTACTTTTGGCTTTCAACTCTGAAACAAACGAATTGCGATGGTGAACAAGCAAACTCGAATGCAATAAAACAGCATCCACAATAGCAAAGAATATAGATAGAAATTCAATTCCAGTTGCTTGAAAGATCTAGAAAACCACAAGCTCATCCTCCAATTCTCTAATGTATTATGAAGATACTACAAATAACGATAACAATACGCGGAACAAATTACATTACAGCTAATGCAAATCGCCTCCTCAAAGTTTCTCCTGAACGAACAAACGATGAAACCAAAATTCTTCCAATAACCAAACAGTATCAGTAAAACTGAACCTAGGAAAAGATCTAGGGCTCCAAGCACTAGCACCATGCTAAATAAATAAACAAATTATAATAAAAATAATAAAAACAGTGAAAGATGATGACGATTATGATGATGAAGTTAAAAGGTGAGTCTGAGCAAACTACAAGATCTCGCGGTACAGTCCCTAATCGTACTATTTTCCCCTTCAAATCGGACAATTTATTCCAATTCTACAGTGGTTATGGATGGGATTTGAGCTTCAAAATAAAAACAAAAACAGCAGCATCAATTATATGAGAGAGAAAGAGTACCGGAGAGAAGTAGAAGAGACTGATCGGACAGAGAGTGAGGAAAATGCGATCGAACAAAGAGCAGGCGTCAAACAAGCTTTGAGTAAGTCCACACTCAGAAAATAGGCGGACTTTAAATAAGAGATTTTTTTTTTTTCCTTCTGTAACCGTCGAGACTTGGGCTGGGCAGACAGATGATGAGACTCGAACGACGCCGCTTATGGTATTTGGGTTTAAAAAACCCGACCTGGGCCGGCAGACTCGGGATCCTGCATGTGACCGCCTCCCATATCATATTAATGTTGTTTGTTGCGATTTTGGCATCTCATACGCCCACGGTTTTCACTTAAATTTCTAAAACGCCACTGCCTCTCATTATTGTCGTCATCTTTTTATTACAAGACATTTTTTTTCGGTCGTTTCCTTGTTTGGAACTTGGATAGTTTTGAACTTGACGCTTCAACACAGGAAAATGAAATTTTGGCTTGCAAATTTGAAAGCAAATAAATAACGTAAATTTTTGGATAGATGCTCTATCATATTGGTGTGTCCACGATTTTTCGTGGACAATTTTAAATTATTGGGAAATAATGAGTTGAATTTGTGTTTATACAATTGATAGTTTTATTTATGAGAAATTCTATGATTATATTCATAATTCAGTCAAAAAAATTATTAACCACAAAATATTATTAATTTAACATCAAAATTAAGACAATTTAGAGCTTTTCCATTAACGACCACGCATGATGGAATAAACTTTGGTATATGCATCTCAACGACTCTAAATTGATACAATTAATAGTTTAAACTATTCTAACTTAATATGATATACGATGAGTGGGATTTAAAACTGATCGCTGCTCCAATCAACTAGTTTAATCCACCTCTACATGATTTGATTATTATTTATGAACAGGGGTTTGTCCCATTTCATAATTTGAGAATCCATTAGGATCGTATGGTATGGTAATGTGATAGGGTGGCCCTATTATTGAGGTGGTGATGGCCCGTCTTCGTATAAAGTTTTTGGAGTTTGGTTCTAAAACACTACAGCCACCCCATGCGCGCCAATGCTGTCGGTGCACCCGCCCCTTCCTCATATTCATTTTCTGGTGATGAGAGAGGATGTGTGGGGATGGGATGGGGCATCTATTACTTTTTAGTTTTTCCATTTTCATCGCAATCACCCATTTTTAGCCACATATCACGTTTCTTTTCCAACTTTGAACTTTCCATTTCGTAAATGACTGCCTAATTTGCTTAAATATTTATTTTTCTTGCCAAAGCAACAAAATGAGTTCTTAGGTGTTAGTTTTTTTTTATTTCCAAACTTTGCTGGTTGTACTTGGGGAAGTACCAAAAATAAAAATCATATAAATTAATATGACAAACACTGTATCTTGAATTTGAAAATAATAACCATCCATATACATCTTTCCTTTTGAGTATGTAACGAGAGAGAAACTATCATCTAACGAGAATAATATTATTTTATTATTCTCAATTAATAACACAATGACTCTCGGAAAACATGTAAGTGTTTTTGGTAACTAGGGAGGGGAGGGGTGGGTGAGCAATGATGACAACAGCCACACGATATGGGCCAGCAAATTCCATGTAGACAAGTTCCTTATATTAAATATGGGCCAAGAAGCCACAAGAGCAACATGTATGAAAGCTCGGGGTTATCTGGATTGGGCTTTTCTATATTCGTCTTATCAGATAATCCACCGCTAATTAAATATTTTGTATTTATTATGACAATGGTAACTTATTAAATATTCGTCTTATAAAATTTCAACTCTAGTTTAGAGAATTATTAATGCTTTAATTCTCTTATAAAATACTTTATCTTCGTATAAATACTTAAAATAATATTAAAGTAAAACAACATTTAATTATAGGAAGTCATTACTCATATTTAGGAGCTCATACAAGTCTTTCTATTTTAGGAGGTGGATAGAGAGCATGATTGGAGGGGTGTTTTTTCAAGTCCTCCCAAAATTTTATCTAATCATACGATTTAGAAAACCCATTGTAAACGCTCTAACCCATATGAAAACTTTGAATTACACCTAATGTATAAAGACTTTTCGATAAGAAATACTGGAAATTGTTTAAAATTGTATTGCCACTCTCTACTTTGCTAAAACCACCATTCATCAAAAGTTTATCTATGTTCAATCTACCCCCAAAAATCTCGAATTTCCACATTTGCTTCCATTGATAGACCCTCTCCATTGTCGCTAGTATTGACATTGACACCAATTTCCCATCCTCATCCCCCACCACTCTCTCTCATCCCTCTATTTATCTTTCTCTCTATCATCTCTCTCTTTGTTTTTTCGGAACGACAACTATGAAGTTCTAAAGTGTGGTTGTCACATGTTATAATATAGGTAGAAGACATGTTCCATATAACATGTACTTAGGTGTAATATTAATATATAGATACACGTGATATAATATGAGTGGATCTATAAAGTAATTTTATCAAGTTAGACACATGTCATTTACGATGATGAGAAATCCAATATGAAGTTTGTGGAAAAGGCAATTATGTCAAGTCATAAACTACACTGCCAATTCTTTTACAGTGCATGAGCTGAATGCATCTCATACACTAGACATTTGTCGTGAATACATAGCGATCATATTCCATTCATGAGACATATGGTATGGTCACTTCATCCCATATTTTCCACTTGTCATATTGTAAGTAAGTAACCGTATTGTCATTTATTTTGTCGTTAATGCACTGAATCTATTGCATCGGGCACCTCCCCTGCATTTTTCATGAGATCATTTATTTGTTGTGAATGCACCGAATCCGTTACATTGGAACTCATGTCTACATATTTCATAGGAGGTACGCGATACGCTTCCACTTTGTTTGACATCTCACACTTGTCACTTCATATGAATAGCCAAAAATGCATTGAGTTTATTGTCATGCCTCATCTACATATGTTACGAGAAACCAAATGACACTAAAAAATTCATAGCTAAAATAGACATTACACATCTTACAATGGAGATGCTCTTACCACCATCCATGATATGTGTGTATATATATATATATGTGGTATATCCAATCTATTAACCTTACTTCTAAGTAAATTATTATTGTACAGAAAAGAGGATGCACATAACATGTGATGAAAAGAGACGTTGAAAGAGCAGAGTCTTCTAGGGACTGCAAACCCAGGCGGTTCTCGTGTAGATTGCATCATTGTACTGTTTGGAAAGGCAAGTCCAGTCTAGGTCTCTCCTTATAGGTCCACATGTGCAGCTGTCGTTCAACAACAGCGAGTACACGCATATAAAAAATCCCCGGTGACTCCGCCCCACTTTACCCTTCTCATCCATTTACAACAGCAACAGCAACAGCAACATCAACAGCACTCGCAGTTTCAACAATTAAAGAAAAAAATAAAAGAGAAAAAGAGAGAGAGAGTCAGGTCAGGGCCCTTCGATACGGTCCTCTTTCGGTCTCATTTCTGTCTTCTTTTTCTCTTTGTCCCTCGAAACCCAAAACCAAACCAAAACCAAAACCTCTCTGTGTGTTTCGTTGTCAAATCTCAGCCGTCGGATCCAAGCAATTTCCCCCAGGCTCTGAACCCCAACAATGGTTCGAGCGTCACATCGGAACTCACCGACCTCGAGCTCCGAACCCCGACTCGGATAATGGAACTCAACGATTCAACTAGCGACGAACTCAGAGACGCCAGGCCCGCCGCCGCCGAGCCCACTCGCTCCGTGCTCGGCATCGATCTCAATGAGATCCCTTCCCCGTCCGAAACCCTACCCGATTCTTACGACGTCGTACGCTCTTATCACGACCACCCTTCTCCGCCGCCCGGCGGTCCTGCCGGTGTTCCCGGCTCGGCTCGCGGCTCCGCTTGCCCTTTCTGCGGCAAGCCCGAGGTTCGCGGCCACGTGGTCGTCTGCGACGGCTGCGAGCGCGGTTTTCACCTCACCTGCGCCGGAATGCGCGGCCGCCAAGCCGTGAATTTGGAGGAATGGGTCTGTGAGGAGTGTACGGGCACTGGGGTTAGGAGCAAGCGCTGGCCGCTTGGAGTTAAGTCCAAGCAGATTCTGGATATCAACGCTTCGCCGCCGAGCGACGTCGACGACATTGAGGAGTTGCGCGATTTGAGGTAGGTGGTTTCAAACATTTGCCAAGATATTCAATTATTAAACTTTTTTTTTGGGTTGCTTTTTTAAGTTCTGCTTTTGATTCCAGTTCCAAAAAAAAAAAAGGTTCTGTTTTTGATTCTTTGAGCTCGTATATGCAAATTAATTTAAAGAGAATGATAGTAAAGGCTTTTTAGTATCTCACCAAGAATGCCATCCCTTGATATTTTGTGGTTACCACATTTCCCATCATAAATTACTTGACTGATTTGGAGGCTCATTTCCAAGCCATGCCCAACCCCTGTTCACCATGTTAGTAGACTAGTGTTTGTTCCGGCACCAACTTGCTATCAGTGCATGCATGCAAGCATATGGGCCATGCTAGTGCCATTATTTAGTGACTGCTATGGAATTTACCAGTTTGGCACAGGGTTACCATTTTTTTGCACCCATAAGTCCAATTAACGCGCTTGATGTTTGCTTCCCTTGCTCGCTCTCGCTCTGCATGTGACATACGAAAGCCACTAGCTTTGTGTACACTTAAGAAGTTGTAGTTTTGGCATGGAAACTCTCCACGTGACATTCGAAACCCACTAGCTTCACATGCACTTAAGAAGTTGTAGTTTTGGCATGGAAACTGCCCACTTGACATACGAAACCCACTAGCTTCACGCGTGCTTAAAGAGTTGTAGTTTTGGCGTGGAAACTCCCTTCCAAATTGATACATTTGTATGTTAATTACATATTTCTTGTTTACCGGGAACATTTTTCTTTTTAAAAAAGTGACATTTTAAAAATAGGTGAGGCCTGTTTTAAGCTTCTTGTTTATAACTGCTTTAAATTGGATTGTGGAGTGGGATTATTGTATACATGCTAATCTCTCGTATAAACCATGTATGAAAACTAGAAAAAGGGCAGCTTTCAACTTCTATTTGGACCTTTGGTATCCCTACAAAGAAATTTAAGTAGATTAAAAAATTTCCAAAATGATTTTGTATATTTATTTACTTTTGAACAGAAAGAGTTTGCCTTTACACCCTGGAAAAGGATGAAAATATCGTGAATATAATATTGGTACTCAAATGTATGAATATATTGATATATTTTCCATATTTGTGACTGCCAATTTTTCGTGGTTGATGGGTAGTTTAATTAGGATTTGGTTTGGATTAGATTTGATTTAAAACATTTATTAGGGTTGGGTTTGTCGTCCTTGCGTCTTCTTCCTCTTCTTTCTTTCGATTTCAAATCAATATCGGTGGAAATCAAGCATTTCTGCTCTGTTGAAGGCCGATATAGGGGAAATCTTGGGGATAAAGGGGAAATCTTGGATACATTGGGGAAATTTCGAGGATACACTATCGGTTTGTCGGCAGATATTTTCATCCTTGCACCCAGGTAGCCCTGTAGATCAACTTCCATATTATGCCTTTTGTTGTTGTTCTCCACCTTTAATCTGCCACCACTAACGCAAATAAAAAATGGGTCGGCATAATGATGTGCAAACTATTTGCCTTATTTCTTGCATTGTCCACATGCATTTCTAACATTTTTGTCGCCTGTAGGTTTTGCCACTGCTTTAATTTCTAAAATTAAAATGGTAAAGTTATTCTGTATTATGGATATTTTCTTGCATTTTCTAAACTTATCATTCTTGCCTCTTTTGTCTGTTACTCATTATTGGTTAATATTTTATAAATTTCTTTAAATGCATGTTGTCCATAAGTAGTTACTGCCTAAACTTATTTTGATTATAGAAAGCACACTCCCGGTGGTAATTCTTTTGGTGGCAATCCATTTGGTGCCCCAGTGACATATTCAAACTTCTTGTACCCTGGAAACGGATTTGGCTCGGAAAAAGCTTCTGCAGTAATGACACATACGGTTAAAGTGGGATTTGAAGATATATTGCAACATACACAGACAATGGGTGGAAGCTTTGAGGAAGTAGATTTGAGGTTCCCTCTTGGAAAGCATAGGAGTAGTAATAATGCGTCTATTAGAATACCATCCCGGAGTCCTAGTGAGATATTTTTACAGGCTCTCAAAGATTTTGTTTCTGAGAGGCATGGTGTACTAGAGGAAGGTTGGCATGTAGAATTTAAAGAGTCAGTAGGCAATTGTGAACCATATTTAGTGTACCGTGCTCCAAATGGGAAGACATTTGATTCAGTATATGAAGTTGCGTATTATCTTGGCTTGATGCCTAACTGCAATTCTGTGGGATCTGAAATAAGAAGGGAGGGGTCTCTGTCTAATACAGAAAAGACCTATCTACCTAGAAAAAGAAAGTCAAGACTTTTATACACCAATGGATTGGCTGAAAATAAGGAGCTATCTTCCAATGGTCTAAGTATGGAAGCTTCTGCCTGTGGTTTGGGGAATAATGTAAAACTGACAGAAGTTGGTGCAGAAGAAAATGGTTGCATTGGCTCTCAGCAAAACAATGTAAGTTTATATGTTCTCTATTTGTTGTAGTGTAAATTTAATGATGATGCTCCATAAGCACCGTAGTGTGGAGGTCCTTTCAGCTAGTTTTGTTTTGTTGATTCTTGTGTATTTTTTTCTCTCCAGGAGGGACTTCCGGTGCAGTTTGAAGATTTCTTTGTTCTTTCTTTGGGTGAAGTTGATACAAGGCCTTCTTATCATGATTCTAACCTGATCTCCCCTGTAGGCTATAGATCGTGTTGGCATGATAAGATTACTGGTTCATTATTCGTGTGTGAAGTTTTGGACGGTGGTGATTCTGGACCTCTTTTTCGGATCAGAAGGTGTTCATGCTCTGCATTGCCAATTCCTAATGGTTCAACTATCCTCTCTAGGCCACAACTTGGTAACTTTTGTAGTCACATTGATCAGGAAAGTCGTGACCCTACTTGTGATAATGATGGAAGCATACATATGATTCTATCAGATCCTTCTCCGCTTATGGAAAATGATATTTTGTCTTGCCTGAGGAGTTGGTCGGAGGAAGCCAGTGATGTCCAGACATCAGCTGAATTGCAGTTTGAAGATAATTCTGGTTGTGGAAAACCTGGAACTCTTTCATCTGCTGATTTGGGTACAAGGGATGACATTGGTGAGATTTCAATAGAAGACCATTCTTCGTCTGCAGCTTGGGGAATGATTTCACAAAAAATTGTTAATGCTTGTTCTGAAATATTTAAACAGAAAGGCATTTTTAAATTTGTCTGTAAGCATGTTGAAAATGCCCAGGCCTTCCAAAATGGGGTTATAAGAAACGAGGATGACAAAGTGAACCATACTCCATTGGACAAGTTTTGTAGCTCACCAGTTTCTGTTAGCATCCCGTCTGTAATTCAGGCGGACGACGAACCTGGCTCGTTTTACGACATATTAGCGAAATGGCTGGACCAGGATAGATTTGGATTAGATGTCGATTTTGTGCAAGAACTTTTGGAGCAGCTTCCTGGTGCCCAATCCTGTTCTCAATATCAATATCTTAGCGATAGAGGTTTTAATTCTACTCAGCTAACTGTGGGAAATGGGCTTCTAGTGGTTGAAATGAGAGCTGGATTGCATGGTAAAGAAGAAGAAGTGTTAGACAATTTGTTTAGGAGGTCCAAAAAAGCGAAGTTGGTCAAGGATCATCCACCTCCTCTTGGGAAGCCATTGTGCTTGAGGTTTCCTCCTGCCCTTGTTGGTGACGTTTATCAGGTATGGGGTGCTTCTTGCTGCTTTGCACTTATTCGAATTGTGTTAGTTTTGTGTTTGAGATACCACATGATTGACAGGCATGAAACTTATTGGTCCTCTTTTTATCTACTCAGGTTTGGGAACTATTGTCACACTTTGATGAAATTTTGGGTCTAAAGGAGGCGTTCTCTTTGGAAGAACTTGAGGAGGAACTAGTTAACCCTTGGTTCGGTAGCTCAGATCGTACAGAGAAGTTTGAGAGGCAAATCCAAGGCTCTCAAGCTTTAAATTCACATAGAATTGATTATACTAGTGGACAATTATCTTCTAGCTCCGAGTCTGGCTTGGCCTTAGCTGGGAATAATCCACATGCGTTCATACACATGGAAACTGGAGCGATGAAGGAGGCAGCTCAAGCTAAGCTTGCATCTGTTACTTACAGCAGATGTTCTGGCATAGCTTTGACAAAAGCTCATGCATCACTGCTAAGAGTGCTCATAGGTGAGTTGCAGTCCAAGGTTGCTGCCCTGGTGGATCCAAATTTTGATTCTGGAGATGTGAAGTCAAAGCGGGGAAGGAAGAAAGATGTTGATAGTTCAATTCCAGTGAAAAGAACGAAGCTTAATATACTCCCGATTAATGAACTGACTTGGCCAGAGTTAGCACGGAGATACGTCTTGGCTGTTTTAGCCATGGATGGTAACCTTGAATCTGCTGAGATTACCGCTCGCGAAAGCAGTAAAGTGTTTCGCTGCTTACAAGGTGATGGTGGGGTGCTCTGTGGCTCTTTAACTGGAGTAGCTGGGATGGAAGCGGATGCACTTGTAAGATCAGCTCTTATCCCTTTATGGTGCTTTAGTATTCCGTCATTTAGTGCTGTGGAAGTACTTATGTATTTTTGCAAATGAACCTCCTTCTAGAGAAGGCTACATTATATTATCTTGATTACATAGAATATGACTACCCCCATCTACCGTGAATATATACCTCTTTAACATAACAAACTGCACCTGCCCATTCAGAACAAATGAGAAGAAAGAAATGTCCATAAATTCAGTAGTTGCTGGAGCCCGCACCTCACTCTAACCTGTGAAGAATTCACTTCCTACCCTAAGCTTTCCTGAGTAAGTTCTTGTATTCCTTAATCAGCCCAAAAACCGCAATCACTCCATACCTCCTTAAACATTAGGCATAACTATATCTTCAGCATTTGACCCTGACGAGGGATTGAACAAGGTGCTCTCTTAAGAACAAATATAATATCTAGATTAGCTTTTAAATGTATCTGGCCTTCCCTTGAGACTGTATCTTTTCGCACTGACAGTTGTTGTATATGACTGATAATTTTCAACGTGTTAGGCTGCATATAAGGCTTAGTTGGATGAATAGTTTCAGAAATTTGTGACATTGCAAATTGTTTGAGAGTACTCTTCTATTGTGAATTATAGGCAATACTCTGCTCTAATGTTAGAAACAGCATTTACTTGCTAGGATGTTGGCTTTACCCGTCTCTTCTCGGTTCCAGTGAGGGTTGATTCAGTTCATCTGTTCAGTTGCTGTTACTGCAGTATTATTTATCCTTTTCTTTTCTTTCCTGTTTTTATGTATCATTCTCTTAAAGTGTCGGTCTGGTGCAATGACATGTGAAAAGAATGCATAATAATCCTCTTGTTTCTTTACACCAGTTGCTTGCAGAGTCTACAAAGCAAATTTTTGCTTCATTTAACAGAGAAAATGACGTACTTACAATAGAAGAGGAGGTGTCTGATGGTGGAGCAGGTGCTAATGAGAAGAATTTGGGGAATGGTAGTAATACACCAGTATGGGCACAGGTGCTGGAACCTGTTAGAAAGCTACCAACTAATGTGGGAACAAGAATCAGAAAATGTGTTTATGAGGCTTTGGATAAGGATCCACCTGAATGGGCAAGGAAAATACTGGAACATTCAATCAGTAAGGAAGTTTATAAGGGCAATGCATCAGGACCTACAAAGGTGTTTTCCTCAGTAACATTGTTATTGCTTAACCATTGCTTTTTTCCTGGATCTGTACTTGATAAGAGTATGAAAGTTTGTTGGGAATGTCATGTGTGAATCAGCGGAATTTTATTGTGTTATAATATTCCTTTCAACTAATATTCTGATGCTGTAATTTACTTTACAGTTTCGGGATGCAGTAAATTTGCTCATAAATTTACCTTACAAATGAACCACAACTTATTAGTTTCATAAGTTTTAAAATGTTGCTTAACTTTCTTAAGTTAGCGTCTTCTTTTTCTAAACTTAAATTGGAAATTTGCTTATGTCTCTTTGAATATCTGCTGTAAAATGTCACTGAATTCTGTTGCTTGATTAGGTGCGTGGCAGCTTTAGGCCATCTTAAAAGTATTTTTTGGCTCAGTACCCAAGAAGGAATATTTGTGAATGTTTGCTGAACTTGCTTCTTGCTTCATTTTGTTCCTTCTCTTCCTCATCCTCTAATGCTTAACATTTAAAGATCGTGTTATAAATTTAAGAAGAAAAGTCATTGTACACTGGCATACTAAACTTTTTTTTGAATTGGTTGAATCTCTTGCTTGATACTAAACTAAGGATTAAGGTTTTGGAAGACTCTCTCCATATGCCAAAATTTTGTTTAGCAAGTTGTTATAACCATTGTTCTAAATTGGACACCTTTTCTTGTTGATTGCACACAGAAAGCTGTTCTTTCAGTGCTAGCAGATGTATCGGGTGAAGGCTTGCTACAAAAGGCTGAGAAGGGAAGAAAGCGGAAGATTAATATATCTATTTCTGATGTTATTATGAAACAATGTCGCATTGTATTGCGTCGTGCTGCTGCTGCAGATGACACAAAGGTTTTCTGCAATTTGCTGGGAAGAAAGCTGATAAATTCAAGTGATAACGATGATGAGGGGCTTCTTGGATCACCGGCCATGGTATCTCGGCCTTTGGACTTCAGGACTATTGATTTGAGATTGGCAGCTGGATCCTATGGGGGATCACATGAAGCTTTTCTTGAGGATGTCCGTGAGGTTTGTTTTCTATGACAATGAGATTTCTTGCAACATCCATCATCAATGCAGACTTATCTTTCGAGTGACCTTAGAAACAGTACTGAAACTTTAAGGCTGTAAATTGTAGTTTACTATAATTTCTATGGTTGTACATAGATAAGTGTACATGTTAGTAAAAGTGAATATCTGGTCTTTTTCATAATTGTGCTGTATCCCACCTTTTTAACATAGTAAAGTACACTAATCTGATTGTTACTTTCACTTTGCAGCTATGGAGTAATCTACGAATTGCTTATGGGGATCAGCCTGATTTGGTTGAGTTGGCTGAGACGTTAGCCCAAACTTTTGAAACATTATATGAGAAGGAGGTGTGTACCTTTCTATCCCTTCCCAATACCCGCAGCCAGGCACATTCATGTGCAGGCTATTCACTTAAGTTCCTTCCCAGATTCAGTTGTTCTCTCCATGCAGGTTATTACGCTTGTTCATAAGCTTGCAGAGACTGCGAAGTTGGAATGCTTAAGTGCTGAAAGGAAAAAGGAAATCGATGATTTACTTGCTTCCACAAGTGGGATTCCCAAAGCCCCTTGGGATGATGGAGTGTGCAAAGTATGTGGCATTGATAAAGATGACGACAGCGTACTGTTGTGTGATACTTGTGATGCTGAGTATCATACTTACTGTTTAAATCCTCCTCTTGCAAGGATCCCAGAAGGAAACTGGTATTGTCCCTCGTGTGTTGTTTCTAAACAAATGGTTCAAGATGCATCAGAACATCATCAGGTCATTAGAAAACGCCGTCGTAAAAATTACCAGGGAGAAGTTACCCGCACTTACTTGGAGGCACTTGCACTTCTAGCCGCGAAAATGGAAGAAAATGAGTATTGGGAATTCAATGTGGATGAGGTTTGTATATTGATGCCTTTATGCATATTCTTTTTCTAGTCATACTACATTTGCAAGATGGCTAACTACAAGAGATTGCATTGTATTATTGGTCTAGCCAAATATTTGTGGATCTGGCATGGTGCCAGTTGAAAATCACCCCATTTTTCGCTTCAATCGAAGCTGTACAACAGTGGAGCTCTTCATTTCCTTGCTTCTCTTTGCATTTCTGCATGCTGATTTTTTCTGGTTGTTGAAATAGTGCATGCCTTTTTCTGGCTGTGCCCTTTACTTCTAAGCTTTTATAGCATTGTCTTCACTTACTATATAGCTAACAAGCAGAACTTCTAAGATTTGACTATAGTGGTGGATCAGCTGGTTAAATACTCTAAACTAGCAGTTGTCAGGATGTTACTCTGCATTGAAAACAGCCTTGAAGAGGTTCATTTGGGCGGGTATAAGTGTGGTCTCAAAGTGTGTCCTTTTTCACCTTGCTAATCTTCACAGGCTTGGATAGACCCCTGGCAAGTTCTCGCCTTCCAGATGTGTTGGCTCCAACTTTGGACTGGGTACCGTTTGTGCTTTGTTGATCATTTCGACAGCGAAGATGAAGACTGAAAGCCAATTAATAATAATTTTTTTTAACAAATGAAAAGAAATGATAAATACATACACTTAGTGTTCAATATTTCTGTTTTTTCGGTTCAGATACACAACTCTTCTTTTCTTGGACCCCCTCCCCCTTCCCTCTCTTCCAACCCAACTGTCAGTATCATTCACATGTTGTAAATGATAACATTTTAATATAATATATAACCATGAGAAAAAAATTGATTGTTGCCATGAGATAGGTATTCCATGCTGGTATAAATGTGCTAGGTCACTTGATAGATTTGTTGTGTTATCTAATCTTTCTGTAATAAATTATAAACTTAACAGCTTTCCCATCTGTGCTTGCAGAGAACATTCCTGCTTAAGTTCTTATGTGATGAGTTGCTTAATTCAGCTGTTATTCGTCAACACCTTGAGCATTGTTCTGAGACATTGGCAGAGTTGCAGCAGAAATTGCGGTCTTTATCTGCAGAATGGAAGAATCTCAAGTCAAAAGAAGAGATCTTGATTGCAAAAGCTGCCAAGGTTGATCCAAGTCTCGAAGAAGACGGTGTAAAGGAAGGGCTTTCTACTTCGGTTGAAAACCATGAAAAAATTGTTCTTCAGGCACATGCTTTGAGTGGCAGGTCTAACTCCTTTAATGTAGTCTCCGATGATCTACCAGCACTAGAGGGTGCTCGAGGGTTAGATAAACACCCATCTGCCAGTAATGCAGAATATAGTAGCCAACATTCTGTAGATACTGAAGCTAGGGCAAAAGATGTCCATGCTGCTGTGCATGACACCAGTACACCAGGGAATGTTTCTTCAAATGCGGCTTCTGAGAAAAGTGACATATCCTCGAGACTAATTGAGTTCCCTTCATCAAATTCTTTGCCACATGAAATCAATGGCTCTATTGGAAAAATAGGTTGCCTTGGTCATCCACAAGACAATATGGAAATGGATGTATCTCTGCCTTTAGATCAGCAAGGAGTTTGTATCCCTTCAGATGTGAGGAGTAATCATGTGGGTCAGCACACGTCACCTGCTTCTGTGAATGAATCACAATCCTACCACCTTGAGTTGAATTCTGTCAAAAGTGACTTATCACTTTTACAGGATTCAATTACCAGTGTAGACTTTGAGCTTTCAAAGCTGTCCGTACGAAGGGAGTTTCTGGGAATTGATTCTCTGGGTGGCTTATACTGGGCTTCAGGACATTCTCGGATTGTTGTAGATCGAACCGTGTCAGTGCAGGATGGGATGAATATGACAGATGGCAGAGACCCCGTATGGAGGGGTTCTGTTATGCAAAGTTGTGCTTCAACTGGTGTGGATAGTTCTTTGCCGTTAGAGGGGTCTAAAGCTGGCTGTCCGTATTTATTTGAACCAAACAGTGCTGTTGCTTTTAGTGCACCTTGGGTTTCTTATCAAACTGATGCAGAAATTGATGAACTTATAGGTTGGTTGAAGGATAAACACCCCAAGGAAAGAGAGCTGAAAGAGTCGATATTGCAGTGGAAAAAGTCAAGGTTCCAAAAGTTTCAGAAATCTAGAAGCCAAAGTCAGGATGAGCTCCTAACTGCTATTTCAGTGGCTAGAAATGGTGAAAAAACCGAATCTGATTGTCTTGTTACTAGGGCAGCCACTTTGCTGGAGAAGATGTACGGTCCATGCTCAGAGTTGGAAAACACTGACATCTCAAAAAAGCGGGGTAAGAGGGCTAGACTAACCAATGATGAGAGAATGTACAGGTGCGAATGTTTGGAACCCATTTGGCCCAATAGACATCATTGCCTCTCTTGCCACAGAACCTTCGTCACTGATGCTGAACTGGAGGGGCATAATGATGGTAGGTGTGTTCCATTTTCAGCAGCCTGTGAGAAGGGAAAGGAAATAAGTGATTCTTCTAAAGTTAAGGGAAGTTTAAAGTGTGAGATAAATCGGGAAGAGTGCAGAGGTGAACTAAACAGTGTTGAAACTTCCAAAAGCATGCATTCTGAGCTTAGTGCGAAGTTGATAAAGTTTCAGAATGGAGGGTTAGTCTGCCCATATGACTTTGAAGAGATCTGTTCCAAGTTTGTGACAAATGATTCAAACAAGGATTTGATACAGGAAATAGGTCTTATAGGTTCACAGGGAGTTCCATCTTTTGTCCCATCCTTATCTCCTTATCTCAGTGATTCTACACTGGAGTTAGTCACTCAGAAAGATGTCGGTGTGCACAGTAATGGACCAGAGGCTGCTGAACAGCTAGTTTTACAAGGAAAGACTAATGTTGATATTGCAGGCTGTAGCAGTCTATCTGGGAAAGGTGGTGGGTTGCTAAATGCCAACATCCCAACTTTGGGATGTCTGGAAAAAGGAGAGAAGAGACCCTCAGGTAGTCATTCTTCTGTTGTGGGTGCTGGTCGCTTCTGTGTGGTCCCCCAGTCTTCTTTGAGGCCCTTAGTTGGCAAAGTTTGTCAGATCTCTAGGCGACTCAAGATCAATCTACTAGATATAGATGCAGCACTCCCTGAAGAAGCTCTTAGACCATCAAAGTCACACTTGGAAAGGAGATGGGCCTGGCGTACGTTTGTTAAAGCAGCAGTGACAATATATGAAGTAAGTCTTTTATTCCCTCGATTCTTTCTTTAGATACTACTTTCATAATCACTACTAAAATTGTATTACTCTATGGAATACTTTCAGCATTTTAGATTAATCTTCTATAAGCTAAATAACTAGCTTTTTCTTTATTTGAGGTTGTAAAAGTTCTGTTAATAATTCAGTTATTATGTGGTGGAGCATTCTTAAACCCTTATAGAATTCAGCGGTTAGGCTCACCATCTAATTGTCAAATAATATGATAAATATCAAATAAATAAAATTTTGGCAGTTTTCTACCCAATAGAATTCTTTAGCATTTTAGCAGAGATTTGGCTGTTGGTTGGAGATTTGATAGTAGCTTGTTATGGTGTGATTTTTATTACTTTTAATAGAGTATACCAGTGAGTGAAAGACACCTGAAATTTCCTATTCTTTGGCATAAGTGAAAGACAATAGTGTATTTTAAAAAACCTTCAGTTATTCTTTGCATAATATTTTGTTAGTTTAGTTTCTGTGGTAACTTTTTATTTGTTTGAAGGATCAGTATGTTTATTTGTATGTCTCTTTATCACTTTCTTGTTATGTTCACTACTATGTATATCTGTACCGTTAAGTCCGTAGATTTGGCAAGATTGCAAATAACACGCTTTGCTTTTCAGATGGTTCAAGCGACAATTGTGCTGGAGGACATGATAAAGACTGAGTACCTAAGGAATGAGTGGTGGTATTGGTCATCATTCTCAGCTGCTGCTAAAATTTCTACGTTGTCTGCCCTTGCCCTGCGTATATACTCCCTTGATGCTGCTATCATGTATGAGAAGATGTTTCCTAGTTCAGATCCAGCGGACAAGTTGGAGCCCAGCAGCGTTCTTGACCTGAAGCTGCTTCCTATTTTGGATTCAACAGAAAGAACTAAGTTAAGTAGGAAATCTAACAAGAAAAGGAAGGAACCAGAGGGTTGATCTTGGGTTGTATGATTCTGAATTTGTGGAGATTAATCCAGACAGGGTTGGTTGGTACAGTGGCCATGAAGCAGCAGTAGACAGATTTTGTAGGTGGAAATGGTCATGGAACCCCATTTTGGGTTGGGTTAGGTTGGATCAGAATTGAGCAGACCACTAGTTTTGAAAAATGAAGGAGGTCACTGCTTCTGCTGCTGCTGAACCATGTATCATCTGTACATAAAGGTAAAGCTGACATGCTAACTTGGATGCTGGTTATGAAAGCAGTGTGTTCATACAACAATATCTGCTTCGAGGATTCGAGTGAGTGCCCGTACAAATTTGATATGTGCAGATAAAATCCAATTTTGGAATGATTTCTGCTGCAGCTTTCAGAATTTGTTGCTCGGAAAGGGAAAGGGGAATCAAATGACAAATCTTACAAAAAGAGCGAGACCCATATATGGATATAGCGGGAACTAATGTAAAGAAAACAAAAAAAAAGCAAAAAGAAAGAAAAGAAATTGGCAAATGTTGAAGTTAAGCAGGTTTAGGCAATATTTCATTCTTTATACATCTCTCTCTCTCTCTCTCTCTCTCTCTCTCATTTATTTGTGCTGGCTGGTGAGTCCCAAGTCTCACTGGCTCAGAGGTGTTTTGCTCCGTTTTCACCTATAATTTAGTAGTTAGGTTGTGGTTTTCATTTTTTTAGGGGCTATGCTATGCCATTGCCGGCTGAGGAAATTTTCTATTCAAGTAGTCTTGGGACAGCCTTCCCTTTTTGTAGCCAAGTAACAGGTATTAGTAGTAGATAGATGCAAGTCAATTATCATGATTAGCTCAATAGCAATGATTGTGGGGGTTTGCTTTAATTTGTCTTCGTGGGAAGAATTATATTAAAACTTGGGAGTTTCTCAGCTTTTGCCTCACCCCTACATTTGATTAGCTTATTTATTGCCAAGCCGATGGTTGCCTTGAGCGAGTGTATGTTAGGACCTAGAAAGCTTAGTAGGGTTTGCAATCAATCTTTACATTTACCCTTGTTATCTGCACTTGACTTTGAGGCAAGTTCGTGAATAGGGTAAAATACGTTTCTACCCTACTACATTTTATGCCCTCAAATTCTCAATCGCCCCCAAAATTTAGATGATCTTGCAAGTTATTACGAGTCTGGGGGTGTGTCTCTGAGCTGACGCAACCCCAGTAGAGCAAAGCATGACGTTCCTTCTCTTTCAGCCTCCAGCACGCCGTTCTCAGCATCTCTCTGAGTGCATGAGAAGAGCTGAGAGCTAAGGTGGAACATGAGCGGTCGTTTGGCCACCACTTGCTCCCATTGCAACCCTCTCCCCTCCACTTTCAGCTGCACAAGCCCATTGTCAGGTTCTTGAAGGTCCCTTTCCTTCCCTTTCTTTACCCATTTTGTTAATTATGTAAAATCTTTTGTTTTTTAGATTAAATTCATCAAGTTCTTCTCACAGAGAGGCCCTGCTCAACTCAAAAATGGGGTTTCTAATTTTGGCTATTCGATGTGTTTGTTCTTTTTCAACGTATTAAAAAATGTCGTAGGAAATTCCGCATTGAATATAGGACAGGCAACGGTTAGAATATTGGACAAGTGGGAAGCCAAGACGCCATTGACGAAAACACTTGCATTTATTTTTGGGGCACAGATTAACATCGAGTATCTGAGGCACAAGTAAGCTGCCTCGTACACTAATATTACACATTTGTATTCGTAAACTGTGAAGAACAATGAGCTCAACATATAGAAACACCCCATACATACATAGTAGGACACTTTTAATTTTAAGGAAATTATTAGGACCACACCCACCAGCCCATAGACACACCCTCCGCCTGCTGTACCTGCTCCTCCACGGCAGCCGCAAACACATCGGAGAAGTAACCCCGCCCGTCGTCACTGCCGTCATCTTCTTCTGAGTTGACCCCACTATGATGGTGATGATGATGATGAGGGTAATTATTGTGGACGTTGTCCTCGTTGAGAAAATTGTAGGAGTCACCGCTGTCCACAAGCTGAGGACCTTCGACCTCGTCCACCACTGCGCTTCCTCCGCTCCCGGAACTCAGACGGTCCTCAACTTTGACGCTGCAGCTATATTGCAGACCAGCGGCATAGCTTATTGGAACAGCATCCCTCATCTCATCACCAGCAGGAACAAGAGGGTCGCACTTGTCGTCGTCAGGATGATCAGGTGCAAATGCTGCTGCTTTGATATTGCTGGTCTCCTCTTTAGCTTCAAGTTTCTGGTTTATGGAAACCACCTGCGCATTAATTGATTTCATTTAATTAATTAATTAAGAACAGAAGTTACAGATGATGATGAAATAACCACTAATTACCATCCTGCATCTTATTTTAATCAGAAAGAAATAGTCAAGGACGAATATGCATCTTTTTTATACCCTATAGTATATTCGTCCTGTGACTCTGAAAGTGGCTTTTTTTAATGTGCAAGTTCAAGGTGGGGTTTACAACAGATGCTATGTTGGATGGAGACAAATGTATATTTGCCAGCTATATATATATATATATAATAAATTATCATATACACACATCTAGACGTTATTATCGTGCAGACGTTATATCTTTTATACTACCCCTCCTTAAACCCTTAATAACGTACGGACATCCGGACAAAAGTGATTTTGAATTGTGTTTCTACACCAGCTGCTTAGCTAGGTTTCCACTAGAGTAATAATAATTAAAGAGTTGATTAAACCATTTTAGCAAGATAATTATATAATCTATTCACTAATGAGGAAGCAAGCAGTAGTCGTACCTCGGATTTGAGCTTGTGATTCTCCTTAAGGATAGAATCATAATTAGACAAAAGGGAGTCGTAAGAAGATTTGAGAAGATCAAAATCGCGCTCGAGCTGCTTTGTCTTCCAGCGAGCCCTGCGGTTCTGGAACCACACAGCCACCTGCCTTGGCTGCAGCCCCAGCTTCTTGGCCAGCTGCGTCTTCCGCTCTGGCTCCAGCTTATTCTCTGTCTCAAAGCTCTTCTCCAGCATATGCACCTATTCATCAAAATTAATTTAACACTAATTACTAATTAAATTAGAAAATAATCAATACTTTCTAATTAGTCACTCAACCCACCACATCCATCACTTCATTAATTATAAGTCAAAGCAGAAGCCAACAAAATTTAGATAGATCAGATCAGATCAGATTCCCACTAGCAAAGGAGAGACCTTGATTTTCATGAATTTGATGCTGATAAGGTGAATATGCCATCATCAACATATATTTCATTTTTTGAACCACAATTCATATATTCCTTCCTTATTTTGTTTTATCTACGATAGTCTAAATTAATCTAATCTAAGGAAAGAATATCTGAACTTCTTACGAGCCAACTGGTTTAATCCACGTCTACTTATTAAGCGTGAAGGCAGAAGGAATATTATTTTAGACAAATAAATTAACGTATAAGATAGTAGAATAACCTGGTCAGGAGTGAGGCGGCGCTTCTTTTCCGGTAACTGCTCGTCGTAATATTCTTCGTCGAATAGTTCGTCTTGCGATGACGATGAGCTGAAAAAACTTCGCCTCCTCGAGCTTTCTTGATCCATCAATCCCATAACCGATCTCGGCCCTTCATCATCATCATCAACATCCCAAACGACAATATCAGCTAACTAATACTCTCAAAAAATAAAAATTCAAAAATTTACGCAGAAATGATTTAACATAATCACCTCGAAAAACGTGATCAGCATTCCCGAGGAACAGCATGTTGCCACCACCTTGCTGGCAAGCGGACGATGTCGTCGAAGGGTCAAAGAAAAAACGGCACGGCTCCATCGTCGGCCACTGATGATGCTCTGTTCTGGTGAGTTCTGAGCGCGGGTAGGCCAAGGGGGTTGCGCTAGATCTCCGCCGTCGATTCTTGCTTAAATAGTGATGATCAGTACTAATTATCAGGTGGGTGGCCTGAGAATATTATTAGTATGGGCTCTGCTTGTAATTGAGGGGGTGTGTGGGTGTGGAATTAATTAGAAGATCATAATCTTGTGACGGAAGAAACTGGTGCTCCACAGCAACCTCGCCGGAGTCTCCAAGGGGCATATACAAAATCCCATCACACCACCACCGATGTTTTCCAGCTCTCCGCTTCCCAAATTCCTCCGCACCTCCGAAACTACCACCTCCGCTATATTATATGGAGGGAGATCAATAATAATTTAGACTAATTAAGACGGGTTTAGGTCCTAATAATACACACGAGTTATTTTACGCACCAAACCTCCATGAAAGAAACGTAGGCGGTGCTAATATGAGATTTAGAAAGAAATAAGGATGGGATTTGGAGATCACCGGAGCTTAATTAAACGTCCGGCGAGGAAGGTGATCAGTGTGTGGCGCTTCTAGGTGTTTTTTGCAGCTAAACTTGCAAGAGGCGACTCCATCGCCTTATATATTACTTCCCCCCTGTATTTCAAATGACGAAACTGCCCTTTGAAATTGTATTTCACGACACTTTCTTCTTGGAGAGTTGCGTAATTTCACACTGCTTTTGGACTGGAGCTTAATCTGAATGATGGCACAATTTTATTTATTTTAAATTGTTGCCATGACAAAAATGTCTATTTCAGCCTTTATATATATATATATATATATATATAGAGTGTTTAGCGGTAGATTGACTACTCTCGGTCTATTTCAGCTTTTGGTCATTTACAACCTTTTTTTTTTTTTTTTTTTTTTTTTTTTTTTTTTTTTTTTTTCAATAGGAGAATACATACACATCTTCTCAATGCATTTTTTCACTCGACTAGATTTTTTTCGCGAAAGAAGATGCACACATTGAATATTGTTAATCTATTAAACATAATAAAGTTGTGAAATTGCAAATGGGCCCACTGCGCATCTGTTCATATGGGGGTGAGTAGGGAGTGGGATTGAAGGCTTATGGTTGTTGCGGATGCCAGCCAATCTGGAACGTTAAATAGGGCCCCATGCTCGGAGGTCGGGGGATTGTCGGATCCACATCTCCCAATTGTTGCGTTTGCGATAAACGGTTCTGATTCTCTTCTTTTTAAAATCGTTCTTGACCTGGCCAGCCAAGTATACGTCTCTCTCTCTCTCTCTACATCTTGTCATTTTTTTTAGCCAAACCCTAACTCCAACTCCCTAATTGCTAAATGCATGCTAATGGAGAATCTCAACATTTCATTTTCATTTGTTACTTGTTAGACTAGTCTTTCTTTCTTTATTTCTTTTTTGAAAGAGAAAGATAGAGAAATTAGATATTCGTTTATGAGAAGGAGAAAGTGAAAATCGATCTTTGGTTGATCTGCGAAATTATCAAAAGAGAGAGAGAGAGAGAGTTGGAGAAACATCACACAAGAAAAGCCTTTAATAACTGCAAAACCTAGCTGTAAACCCATATCCTTCCCCTATACAACGTCCAAAACAGAAGAAACAAAAGGAGGGGTGGCGAGGAATATATTGGTGATGTCATGAGTGGCAAGGATTAAATTAAGTTGATATGCAACTTTTACTTTTCTCATGTAAGTTAATGCACGCAGAATATTTCATTTCATATTGCCAATATTTGACGCGACTTGTGATCTCAATCTCAAAAAACCATAGACTACATACTTGTTTCGTGGCTACTATTCTCTTCTTTAAGTGACGCTGTCACACTCATGTAAATATATTTATAAGGTAAGGTAGTGGCCATCCATATTTAGTGCTTGTGGTGACATTGTACGCACGCACTTATGAAGCAGTTGATTATGATGTTTTCAATACTTCAATTATAGTAGTGCCACAGTTCTCTCTCTCTCTCTCTCTCTCTCTCCCTCTCAAATTTACTATAGAATTCGCGACCTCAAAAAAATATCGACTCTAATAAAATTTTATAGTCAAGTTATTTAAATGCGAGGAAGGAAAATAAGAGTATTAACAAATCGATAAAGAGTATGAAGATAAGCGATGCACGTTTGTTGTCGTGTTGTATGTAGACTGAACGGATTAGCAAGCTTCATGTTCACATGTTACACAAAAAGGATCCATTGATGATGATATGAAATATAATATTATTTAGTTATTTATATATTTATATATTTGTGTGTAAACAAAGTAAACCCAGCGAATAAGATTATTGGAGATTGGAGCTAGCAACAAAGGAAAATAAGAGTTGCGTTGCAGGTAATAGTTTTGATGTTTGTGCATGTATTGCATATCGTTGTCATGGGCTTTAGCAACTGCACTTGGAGGAGAACCACGTCGCTATGGGACCCGGAGAATCGAAGCTTTTCTTTTTGTAGTGGGAAATAAAGGAAATAGTCTAAGCTAGGTAGCTATAGGAAAAGCACCAAACATAAACACTTTTAAGGAAAAATTATACTTTGTTTTCTTCTTTTTAATTAAGTAATTCCGGTCGACTTACATCAAAGGTGGAAAGACACATTTTCAAAAGGATGGTATACTTTTGCTAGTTTTGTTGTTTGTGTTTTTTGGCCAGATTAGATGTATGTAACAACCTTGCATGTGAATATATCGTATACTATTACAAATGTTTAATGCTTCACTAACTTATTTTTAAAGGAATATTAGAGGAAAGGTTTGACCACATGACCTCAAGTGCAAAAGTAATTGCTCATAACTACTTAAAACTACAACTCCTTGTATACTTCATTAACTTTGATTCTACCTACGTGAATTATCGTATATTGGTTACAAGCAAAAAGCAATAAAAAGATAGATAAAGATGCACATTTGGTGTTTATTACCAAGGTGATCCATTTGATCAAAATTGGGAGGAAATTTCCTTAATGTCAACCCCTCATTGGTGGCCTAATATCTAGAAAATTAGATACACTTATAAATAATTAATTGGCAATTTTAAACAACATTGACTTGAGGTATCTAGATCAAGACATGTGGTGTATAATGAGAAAATGATGGAGGTGCACATGTGTGTAAGCATCTTGAATTGAACAAGCGCTGGTGATTGAATCCTATATATAATTGCAAAGTAGCTAGCTTATAATTAACATGGAATGATTTAAAAATATGGTTTGAAAAAGAAAACTAAATAGATTATCATTTCCATGTGTTGGCCAGTTGTCTGGCAATGGCTTGCAACGTGGGAATATCTCTAGTCTCCTCTCCCACTTAAGAAATAAGATTGATTGATTGATAAATGAACACTTACCATCCTAAGAAGGAATGAGATTCACTTCTCCCCAGAAGATAACACGTTCTGAGAATCTGTTTCTTTAGGCAAGCAAGAAAGATGTAAACATTTTAACATCAGCAATATTTATATATATATATGTACAATCTTGTCAGCCTTTTATTCTCTTCAAGCCAACATCAATGTCGTTTCACAGTCAGTAATGGAATCAAGGAAACAGCTTTTTATCCTTTTCAATGGACTTGTATACAGGGCACATTCCGGTTATGTGGAGGACGGACGAGTTGAGAAAGTATTACTTATACTGTATACGCGATTTAAGTCTTTTAAGGTGTTGAATCGTAAACGAGGCGAGCAAGAAGATCAGGAAGAAGACCCTTAAAGCATCGCAATCTCTCTCTGAACTTAGTTAAGTCATCGTCGTGATCAAGTTGGATAAGATTAGTATCGAATTTAGGGACAAATCTTATAAAAGTAAATGTTAAAACAAAATTCTTAAAAAAGAAAAGAGCACACAGAATAAACAAAACAAAACAAACCCTAACTAGTAACAACCACTACTTAATCATTTGTTAAACAGTTAAAGGGATCATGTTTCGTGAAGATGGTAGTGGGGTATAACTGGGTTCATGTTTTCAGAATTAATGTGGAGTATATTCCAACTAGTACTAGCACCATTAACATTAATAATACAGTTTCACACGTTAAAAAAGGTATCAATTCTCTATTTGTTTCTCTCTCTCTCTCTCTCTCTCTCTCTCTCTTTGATGCAATGCAAGGAAGAGAGTGTTGGGTGGCTTTGCTTTGTTGTCCAATTACTTCATTGGTAAGGTAAAGAGACTAAATGGAAGGAAGGAAGGAAGGAAGGAAGGAAGGAGGGTATCTTTTGACTACAATTGGATTGGAGATTTCAACTTTAGACAGGTCCAATTGTGCTGCAGCTACTTACCTTTTGAAGTCCCTTTAACAAAAAGTAGGGGATCGATGAGAATGAATTGGTGACCTGGAGGAAACTATGCAAAATGAAGAGAGAGAGAGAGAGAGAGAGAGAGAGAGAGAGATGGAAAGCTACAAATAAAAAGGAGGAGGGCACCAGGCACCTGAGAAGGATCAATGCTTCTGATTTTGAAGATATCAGATATGTTTTGTGTTATAGTGAATATGTGTGTGTATGGTCCATAATGGCCATTAATATTACCCATCATCATCATAAAGTAGAATAAGTATAATACTGCTCTCTTTCCCTTTCTCTTTTTTAAAATAAAAAAAATAAAAAAAATACAAACGATAATCTAAACTACAAGAGAAAGAGATTTCTCACACACATACTATAAAATGTCATAGGGGTTCGAACATGATACCACTAGTTTGCAAGTCAAACTCTCTCTCTCTTTTTAATTAATTACTTTTCAAATTTTGTATAATTAATTTAACAAATGAGATTAATACCATGAGTACATGTCACATCCATTTTAATTTCAATGCCTTTGGCTGGACTCTAGGGGACCATTCTATTGACCTCTATATTATGTATATTAGCTAGCTCTCATTCAGGTTGATTTCAAATTTGCACTCACCATCTCACATCTTCATGTGGTAATTAAATTAAGGGAGCTTTAGTAATATACCCAAAATGGGACCTGAATTTATAAAAAAA